GATGAACCAACCAGGATTCAGTAATCAACCAAACCATCCAGCTCAGAGAACACAACCACAACAAAAAGTAATCAATCTCTCTCTATCTGCACCTACATAGATTACTTCTTAGAATTTCGACTCTATCCTACCATGCTATTGTGTGGTTGTGTGTTAATGCCTGCATGCAATGCAATGTAGTGCTGAGCTTTCCTCTAAATTACTGATCTTCTCGGTGTCAACCATTCTTACATTAGCTAAATTGTAATGTTCTGACTATCTCACTATCCCGGATCTACTAGTTTGACCTATGTAGGTGGTTGACCTAACTCCTCACAGTCATTGCAGGGAATTTTGTAAATGATATTATTATTTTGTCTGATTGTGCCGACCAGGTCGTCAAAATGTCATCAGTAAATATTACTGTATAGCACTACACTGTGTGAATTTATCAAAATAAAATTTTATCCATAATGGAGTAGTTATACTCTACCACCACAGCGCCCAAATTCGCTTGAATTTATTGCTGACCGGTAATTTTAAGTCAGTTTTTTCTTTCAGGCTTCTTTCATGCTTTTTCATTCTAAGTGGAACACAGAGCATCATGCCTGAGTTTCAAAGTTCTAGTAGCAGTGGGATTGGCATTCTCAACTCTTATAACCTTCCCTGTTCACCTGTTTTACTGCCGGCTAAGCCAAGTGTCCAGGAGTAGGTAGGTCGGCCGGGGACCCATACGACCTCATATCACTTGCATGACTGGCGATCGTTCTACCAATGGAATCATTCTAAGACACAAAAAGCAAATCTGCAACGTTAAGCACTCACTACACTATTTAGACACAGTGATCGCTCCGTCCTTCTCTATGGCTCTGAAACATGACCAATACGAGTTGAAGACATGAAAACGTTGACTGTTTTTGATCATGGATGTCTACGATCTCTTTCTCACGTTAGGTGGTATAATAAGGTAAGTAATGTTGACGTTAGGCGTAGAGTGTTGGGCAAAGAGGGAAAATCACTCGAAGAGGCTATAAAGTTACATAGATTGAGATGGTTAGGTCACGTGCTGCGTATGCCTAACCATCATCTCCCCCTCTCGACGGGCATTACTAGCTGATATAGGTGCAGGCTGGAAAAGAGTGAGCGGTGGCCAAACAAAAACATGGCATCAATCCATGAAATCCCTGACAGTTAAACTGAGTCAGGTAGGGAGGGAGATGCAGACTTCCGGGTTGATCGGGGCCTTCGGGACTCTAAGAATCAATGGCTGGAGACAGACAATAGGTGACATGGCTCAAAATCGTTGTCAATGGCTTACGCAGATGTATTCAGTCTCTTGTGTAACCTTTCATATTCCTTTCTACCATTACTCATTCTGTTTCACTCTTATACTTGTCAAAACTCTATTGATTCTCTTCACTCATTTTCTTGTCTATCTTTGTGTGCTATTTGGAAGTTGGCAACTCGAACTGTTGCCCTTCGGTATCAGGTTCTATGTTGAATCCAGACAGACAGACAGCCACAGTAATTACCGTGGTGGAAATTGTAACACATTCTCCTACTATAACTAAATCTTTTCTGTCTTTTTTGCAAGTTTCGTGACCAAATGTGTGTGTTGGTTAGCCCATATGTGTGTGTGCTTGTGCTACAGGATAGTGCGACGCTTAAATCATACATGTGTTTGTTATTCTGCATAGAATCTCACTGTACACACACACACAAAATCAAATGTATCGGCCACTTTCACACGGAATGCATTTAGTAATCTAGCAGGCACCTAAACAAAATATATAATATTTAATCTGAATTCCTCGTGCGTCGGTGGTATAGCGGTTAGGAAGCTTGCCAACCATGCACATGGTCCAGGGTTCGATCCCCGGCCGACGCACTCCTTTACCTCGCTCTCTAAGCCAGAAATAATGCTGGTGAAGAGGAAAGGTTGGCCGGGCATGAGGCTAGCAACCCCATCCTGTAAAATAAACACACTGCTACAGAAACTTCGAGCCACTAGCTTGAAGCCCTATGTTCCACTGGGGAACGTGAAGGAAAAAAATCTGAATTCCTCACTACTTATTGACCGTATCATCATCCACCTGATCGACCAGGCATTACTCATGAATTGCATTCATTTTTTAAACAAGAACCAGAGTATCTAAGATCATTCATTATAATAGAGGTTGTTTTCTTGTATTACCCAAGGAATGAATGAAAAACAAAACGATATTGCTGTTTTTACTGACGACGTTTCGCTATTTAATGCTGCTGCTAATAGCTTTATCAAAGTAGTATCATTAAACCAGAAGAATTTACAAAATCCACTCAGCATATATACATAACAAAGAGTTAAGAGGTGGGTGAGAAAATAGACTACTTAGGTCAAGTTAAAAGGAGGACATATTGAAAGTCAAAATAACAATGAAGATCAATCACTAAACCAAATAACCTAAACAGTCGTCATTCCATATAGAGTAGAGACGTCACACGATATCATCAGAAGAGTACTCAATAAGCTCGACATTAGAGTTTTCTTCAAAACATCAGACAGGCACACTGCGAAACAACCTTGTCCATATAAAAGACTAAATCCCTAAAAGATTCTCTATCTACTAATTGTGTCTATAAAATAAAATGCTTGCTTGGAATGTGATGCGATATACATCGGACAAACATCGCTAGAGAGAAATCAAGGTAATCAGAAGAAATGAACACCGTACGTAGTGCATCTGTTCGACCACCGAGAAATAAATCCGGTTGAACTAGAAAAGCTTGAAAAATCATCAGCCACAGCTTGTCTACACGCTGTAGAATCAGGCCACAAAATTGATTTTGACAATATTGAAATCGTCATCCAGAAAAGCATTTCAGAAATCACAAAGAACGTCTCATATCATCAGAAGCACTTCATATCAAATGGAATCCAAATTGTCTGAACTGAATAGGAATGATGGACTAAAACAGAATTTGACCTGGTTACAACACCCCAACCCCTCCCCCATGAAATGACAAAATCAACACGAATGTGATAAGCAATATCATTATATATAAACACACTCTGTTTTATAATTTTACACACTGATCAAATCCAACAATCTACACTTGGTTTTGTTATCTTTACCAATTGGCCAATTTGACAACGAAAAATGACCCCAGACTGACGAACGATGATCAAGTTAGTAAACTTTGTTTTGATACCAACCAGGGCAGATGTACTATTACCTCTGTTATTTGGTTTAGTGATTGATCTTCATTGTTATTTTGACCCTCAATATGTCCTCCTTTTAACTTGACCTAAGTAGTCTATTTTCTCACCCACCTCTTAACTCTTTGTTATATATATGCTGAGTGGATTTTGTAAATTCTGGTTTAATAATGCTACTTTGATAAAGCTATTAGCAGCAGCATTAAATAGCGAAACGTCAGTAAAAACAGCAATATCGTTTTGTTCTTTTTCATTCATTCATTGGGAAATACAAGAAAAAACAACCTTTATTATAATGAATATCACATATACCACCCAATGCCCAAACTGTTTTTTTCAAACTGTTAAAAGTGAACTTGGTTTGCGGACATATGTATATATCTAAGAACATCCTAATATTCAGTAGTGCTTCTTATATCGGTTTTGCAGAGAGAGTGCAAATCGCTCACTCCTCTTTAGCGGAACTTTGTATCCAAAAGTGTATTAAAAATTAGAAAAGAAGCATGAATTGTAGCAGTGAATTATTCTCATATTCTAGGTAACCTGATTTATGTCAGTCAGACCAAAAGAGGCTATAATTACCCGCCTTACTTAATGGATACATTTATTGTATTTCAGTGTATCGTTGTGTTCTCTGAGTTGAATGGTTTAGCTGAGAAGCTTTCATTGCTTTCATTCTGGACACCGTCATCAGAGCTAAATTCCATATCATTGTTTCGCGTATTCCGCCATTTTTACAGACTTTGGTATTATATTATTATTATTGTTCCCTTGGGTTCCCAGTGGAACATAGGGCTTCAACTACACGTCTCCACTTGCTTCTGTCTTCTGCTGTACTTTTCACCTGCATCCATTTTAGTCCATACTGTTTCAACTCCTCTTCACACGATCTCCTCCATGTCACCCTTGGACGTCCCACTACCCGCCGCTTCCCTTTCGGATCCCACTCGAGCGATGGCACCTAGCGGCCTCCTCAGCGAGTGTCCAATCCATCTCCACTTTCTCCTGCATATTTCTCGGACGATTGGTTCTTGTTTCGTTTGTTTGTTTGTTCCCATAGTTTCTTGTTGGTTCTTGTTCTTTCCCGTGGCCATCTGATCTTCAGTATAGAGCCAGCGAAGACAGTTGTTGTTGATAAAGGTCTCCAACATGCTGTTGGAAATATTCTTTGTGACCCGCCTCCAAGTTTCTGATCCGTAAAGAAGAACTGATTGACTTGACGTTTGTATTGAAAATCCGAATTTTGTTGTTGAATGTTGCTGAGTGACGAAGATTTCCAGATTGGTTGTTTCAGGTTGATGAATATGTTTCCCGCCTTCCCGATTCTCAATTTGACATTGTAAAATTTTCAAGTATTGGTTCTGTAGGAATATTGTTTGATTGGATGGAGGTGGATTTCATCATGAGCTGACATCAGTTAGTTAGAGAACCACTGGAACGGGTTCGAACCAAGGATCTCCCGATTACAAGGCTAGCGAGCTCGTAGACCATTAAGCAGCCACTGGGACCCGATCCAATTGTGAGCCAGCCCATGATTTCCAACTTCTGCCAATTCATCACATAGAGCGACGAGCTCGCTAGCCTTGTAACAAGAAGGTCCTGGGTTCGAACTCCAGTGGTGTGGGTGCGTACTACTGAAGAGTCCCAAACTAGGACGAAACAGCTGTCCAATACTCCCTGTGGCAGGTTTTCCAGTCGTTCTCTAACTAATTGATGTCAGTGCTCACGATGATGATGAAGGTGAAATCCTCCACATACATTGTAGAAAAGAGAGAGAAAATAGTACACACTATTAATTAATTAATTAAACGCCATTACTCACCGTGCTAAAGACTGATCGAATAAGGCTAAGAATTGACGCAGTGATGTTTGATACATACAATTCACTAGGCTCATTTCAACAATTAAAAAGTATAACACGGAACCACGTGTCGCGATCGGTCTGTACTCTTCTCTGGCAGCTGTTATTTGTATTTCAGTTTCAGAGGCAATCGCCAATTTCTTTGACACTTCGCTAGCAGTTGCTTTTGTTGAGCTCAGCACATCAATTAAGTCGGCATCATCGACTAGGGAGCCTTGAACACTTGCTAGACGTGATAGTAAGTTATCTTCTAATTCTTTAATTTTTGTTTTATTCAATTGTACATCATGCATCAGTTGAACACGTTGAGCTTCCAATTCGTAACGTTCACTGACAATAACACGTCCAAGTAATTGTTCTTCTAAGCCTTTCATTGTTACAGTAAAGTCGATAATTGATGTTCTAGCAGATATTTCAGGTGTAAAGGATGGATTCGCGAGTTTTGTGGTGATGTACAGACGAAAACCTGAGAGGACATCAACTTCTTTATCGGCAACTTTAACCTAAATAAGAAGCGAAATGTTATATTACATAAAAAGTAGGCAAGTTAAATAAAAACATTCATTCGTCAACAGAAGGCTGACTACGTCACTAACTATAGCCTAGCTTATCCTGCAGCTATCTAGTGAAGCTTGTCCCCGTCTATCGAACTACTCGCTCTCGTTTATATATATATATATCGTCCTGCCTAAAGGCGATGAATGCGCAAGTAAAGCATAAAAGAAGGAAAGGAAAGACTGGAGCACCATGATCTATCCTCTTTCCAACTATCCAGACGTGATGAACAGGTTTGTATATCCCCCCGAATGACCTAATGTTGTCCTACACCAGCTCGAACAATTGTATATTCCTAACACGCCGGAAAGGTTGTTTGAATAGAGGTTAGACTAAGATATCTGCATCATGTTGGCGGTCTGAGGGGGGAAGTCGTACTGCTATCGAATAGAAATACAACAGAAGTAAGGCGTTTACCCCAGGAGAGACCAGCAAGCAAGCAAGCAGCTCTATGTTGTCTCACCCCTTTGATAACGGGTATTAAAAAGGTATTATTAGAAATCTTATCTATACGGATCAGAAACTTGGCGGCGGGTCACAAAGAATATTTCCAACAGCCTGTTGCAAACCGTTATCAACAACAACAACCGTCTTCGCTCTATACTGAAGATCAGATGGCCACCGGAAAGAACAAGAACCAACAAGAAACTATAGGAACAAACAAACAAACGAAACAAGAACCAATCGCCCAACAAATATGCAGGAGAAAGTGGAGATGGATTGGACACTCGCTGAGGAAGCCACTGGGTGGTGACATCACGCGTCAGGCCATCGCTCGAGTGGAACCCGAAAGGGAAGTGGTGAGTAGTGGGACGTCCAAGGGTGATATGGAGGAGATTGTGCGAAGAGGAGTTGAAACAGTATGGATTAACATGGACGCAGGTGAAAAGTACAGCAGAAGACAGAAGCAAGTGGAGACATGCAGTTGAAGCCCTATGTTCCACTAGGAACCCAAGGGAACAATAATAATCATAACATAGGTGGAGACTAGGATTGTGTAATGACAAAACACAAGGTCCAACATGTTGTCACCACGTGTAGATTTCTGGACGTGTTGTTGCCATCCATAGCAATCGATGGTGGCAAGTAATTCGTCGAAGCGTTGGGGGCCGGAACTACTCAACCAGCTGACGTCTGCAAGATTGAAATCTCCTCCAATTATTTTGTAATTAGTACTAAACGAGGAGGCGTGTGCAAACAATTTAGCTAATAACGCATCAGTTTCTTTGTTTGAGAATGGTGCTCGATAAACACAGCCTCTGAGAAATTTGTACTTATCTCCATGCAAGACGATCCAGAGCGAACCAGGTACCTCGTTCAGTATTTTATTTTCCACCTTACTGACTACGAATGAGTTAGGTATATATATGCATATATAAATATATATATCACAATCTCGAAGACTCACAGGTAAAATCCACCGAGTTACAAGGAAAGGACGTCAGCAGAGACTGGAACTCAAGTGAACATGGAGGTGATGAAGATGCCCGACAACCGACAACAACAACAACAACGGCAATAACAAGCAGTCATCACAGTCAACGCGGGAAATGTCAACCGGACTACTTCCTTTTTTTATGTAGTCGCCGCCGTTTCCACTACAGACATACACCACAAGGATTTCAGCTTCATTTTCAAGGTTCCTCGAATTAGATGGTGGTCTGAGCCCACATCTGCTCCCCTTCTCGACTTTGCGTGCAGCACACTCGCTACGTTTCCACTTCCTTGAGCAGCATTGAGTTGAAGTCTAACTGGTTTGTGGTGTGTTTCCATTCGAAATGTTGTCCATTACTGTTTGCAGCTGTCCACAGAAATATTCCTTCTTCTCTCCCTCCGAATTGTTGTTTGTAGCATTGGATAATTGTAACTGGATAATTCCTTCCTTCCTTTTGAGTTGAATCTTGGTGTCATTATCCAGGAAGGAGAGAGATTGGTTCCCACTGCATCATTAGGGCTTTGGCTGCCACTGGTGACATCATGATAGCCGCTCACTCCCACAGTATGCTCGTGGTTGTGTGTGTGTATTTCATTTTGGTTCTGTAAAATATCTGTCAGTGTGTGTGTTGATTGCTCATTCCTGTGGTTCACACTTTCTTGTTTCTTCTTCTTCTTCTTCTAGGATGCTCAAGCCATACTTGACGAGAAAGAGAGTGAATTGGCTAAAGTGCAAGCAGTCTATGAAGAGGCATTACGCAAAAAGAATGCCCTATTGGAAGATGCTGAATTATGTCGACGTAAAATGAATACCGCCTCAAAACTTATCGGAAGCTTAGGAGATGAACAGACTCGTTGGACGGAGGAGAGTCAAGCATTCAAAGAACATATTGAATGGTGAGTTTTTAATCTTCTTTGTGTATTTGTTTAAAACTTGGGCACTGTGGTGGTGGTAGTAAGTATTTCCATATTAGTTTGTTTATTAGATGGATGTATCACACAGTCAGTGAAACAGTATTAGTATTTACTGGAACAAAATTTGTTGCGGTTCATAATCATTTCCTCATCAATTATAATCACACGACTTCGAAACTTCAGTTTTATAGTCTTCTTTGTCCTCTCCTGTTTGTCGTCGTCGTAGGCTTGGTAGTAGAATTTTCCAGATATCTGTATGGACAGGTGTTGAATCACTCCTATTACACGTATTCTATCTCAGTTGATTCAGTAAACAAAGCTTACATTGTTATCTATCTCTCCCTACGGACACTCTGTGACATTAGATTTTAAAAGTGTCATCCTACCCCATCCAGCCTATTGTATGGTTGTGTGCAATGGCATGTAGAGAGTGCTATAGCCAGTTGAACTATTCTCTAGATTTCTTATCTTATTCGAGTCAACTAATCTAGATTTTGCTGCTAGGTGTTTATGCTGCTCGGTTAGTTTGACTCACTGCACCTGTCCTACTAATTTGACCTAGCAGCCTGCTGTATTACTTAACACTGACATCCATGAAAACTGAACTTGTTTATGTATTACACTGTTTCCTTTTTAATAATAATAATAATAATGACAGCCATGGTAATAATAATAATAATAATAATACAAGTGGAAATTTCCGTGGGCTTGTTTCACACAGTATTGTCAGTGCGGTATAGAAATCCTTGCATGATTAAAAAATATTGAATATAATGTTCTCTTTCCATGATATGGTAGGGGGAAAAACAAAGATTACAGCAGTCATAGAGATAAGTTGGTGTTTACAATTTTGAGAGTAAAACAAGGAATCAACAGGACCATATATATATATATATATATATATAATAGAAATAATAAAAGTAAAACTTGAAGGTATATAAGGATGGATGGAGGTTAGTTAATTCTTGCCTGACACTATTTTCATCACATAAAATACGTGCCAAGTATGGTATCATAGAATTTTTATACTTAGACGTGCGAGCATACAGTTTTCTGAAGTTACTTCTTGTTCTACCTGAGGAGATGCAAGGTGAAAGCTGAGGGTGCTGTGGTGGATGCTCCAAGTCAGACAAAATCCCTTTAGCAAATTTCATTGCACGAAGTCAAGTGCCTATCGACAACGACGTTAACTATGTGGTCCACTGGGATACCACTCATCACCCTACAGACTGACAGTCTTCAGCATTCTACGAATTGTGACATAGTCCTTTTTAAGCAAACCAGGAAAGAATAATCAGGGGTGAACAATAAAGAAGAATAGGTAGGATGCAAAAGTTTATGAACTATAAGAGGAGGAGGCGTTTAGTTATACCCGAGTGCCTTAACTTCTTAATGTAAAATGTCAGGCGGAATATTTTACTGGAGATCGCTGAGAGATGGCAAGACCAGGAGAGATCAGAAGAGAGAATAAGTCCAAGATACTCAATTTCTGATTTAATTCCTATATCATTGTCATCAATCTTACAACTGTCATGTTATATTATATATGCACACAAAACTGTTTTTCTTTTTTTTTGACGAAGTGCAGCAAAAAAGTAGGCAAGTTAAATAAAAAAACATTCATTCGTCAACAGAAGGCTGACTACGTCACTAACCATAGCCTAGCCTATCCTGCAGCTAGCTAGCGAAGCTTGTCCCCGTCTATCGAACAACTTGCTCTTTCTTTGGTGCAATCAAAAATCGATAGATATCTTCCATCCTTCTCATGTTAACAACTCCAACTGTACAGAAAAGAAGGCCATGTCTACGATTTTCTGAACATGTATCAAAAAGCTTATGTCTACTCTACAGCTGGGAACAAATGCTTTAAACAGTGCCATCCATCGACAGGTATCTTCTCGACATGCATCGGTCGGTCATGAGGTGGATGTCGAAAAATCGTTCAAAATTATCAATAGGCAAAAGAGAGCTCAATTCTCCTCAACTTTGCTGAAGCCATCTCCATCAAGCGCCTGAAACCTGATTTATGCGTTCAGAAAGAAGTGGTTATCAGTCTTTCTTTGCTCTGCCTGGTAACTGGATATTTTCATCTCTCTTTCATCTGAATGCGTAATGCTGAAAAGTTTCCATTGTGTATGATCATTATTGTTCGGAATAGTGTTTAATATTACATATGTATGTATATATATTATTAGTGTATGCATATATTGATCGATTGATTGATTTTTGTTTAAAATGAACTCTGTGTGGGTAAGTATGTTAAAATTGTTTCTGTAGATATACTACTTAATAATGACTGTGGCCTGTAAGCAGCTGATGAGAAGGCAACGAAATAAACACTGATGGTACCACTTTATTCTGCGAAAACCACTGTAGTTCTTGCTTTGTCCGCCCCATTCGTTGGTTTATTTTCATATTGTCTCTCAGACACCCTGATTACACTCACTCTCGAAACCTGTATTTTTCTGTTGACTATATTTATATATATACACACATCATTAAATTAAATTACTTCATCTCATTTTATCTCATGTTCTCATTGACCATGCATATTGAAGAAAACTATCTGACTATTGTTCCATCCCATCCCATCTAATACTTGTTCCACAAACTACACTTTCTGATATGATTCTAATTTGCCTTTACTGACTGACTGGCTATTGTATGCTTAAGTTAAATTAATGGATTTATAATTGTAGAGCCTGAAGAAGGAAGAATTTATTGAAAGCGACAATTGTTCTCGCTGTAAATATTTTGTTCTGAATAAATAATGGGAATATTCAATTATTTAGCCTCATTCGCTTAGAGTGCAGCAATATCAGACAAATGAATGTACCATTTTTTGAAGGTATTAGTTATATTATATGTTTCAAAGTAATTGAAAATCCACTGAAGGTTTCAAACTTTTCACCAGTAGTCTTCTACAACGCTTAAAAGGCGAGTTAATAATAAGTACGTTCACTTATAACTAATGTACCATTGATTTGGAGTACAATACTGTCTGAATTTCTAGCTTCTGTCATTTCGACAGAGAGTTTTGTAATTTAGATATGATGGAGAAGATTTGTAGCTCAGGTGGATGATTTTGTGTGTGTGGTTGTTGATTCTCTGAGCTGGCTGGATGGTTAATTTGCGAAGCTTTCATCACCCTACTAGGCAACAACTTTCTCTCAGCGCATACACTTCAATTTCAATTGAAGTCAGCTTTTAGATTTCTCCATGAGTTTATCAGTCATCTCTCCTGGTCAGTGACCTCCAGGGTGATTGATTGCTTTCATGTGTTTTCACAGCCTCTGGGTTACTTGCATTGGTACTGATTGTTTCCTTGCCCTGAACTTTGACCTTTTGTGTGTGAGGTTTCCTTCTTATCGGTTGGTAGATTTTGTCTATGTCGATGTGTCTATTGATTGATGATTCACTGGGATACCAGGTAGGCTTCTAAAAATTCTCTAGAATTCTTGGTGTTGTTTCCTCTGTCTGTCTAAAATTTTAACGTTGGTTGTCCCAGTTGAGTTGATGTCCGTGGTTGTGTGTATGCAGTGAGGCGATATGAGTGAGGGAGTGGATGTCATATCTTTTGACGGCTAGTATCAACAAGGTGTGCTAGAATAGAACTACCGAGCACAAAGTTGATGATAATACTGCATTTAAAATTGTTTATCGCATTCCGACTAATCTTAACTTTGCTCTAAGAGTTTGTCTTCTACATACGACAGCTGAAGCAATCGGAATCCAACTGAAGAAGCCAAACCTGTGTGTGTATTCAGAAGAAATTTGTATAGCCACTTTCCTTATCTTGGTCATCGTTACATGAATGTATTAAACCGGACTACTTCTACCTCCCTCCTCCTAAACCTATAAAAATTATAACTGTCCAAATTGTTTTATTTATTTTGACCACTTCATCTGTAATTACGTGTTATCCTTGTAAAATTAATTTATTCTAACCATTTCTACCTTTCTGATTGTGTGTTTCCTAATTTTCTTCGTTAATTATCAACCCTCTGCTTGACATGTTGACACTGACTGACTAATTATTGTTAACAAGCATATCAGTGCCACTTGATGATTGTTAAACTGTTGTGTATTGTAATAAAAATGCTATACGTGTATATTATATTAGACTAGAGCCAAAGTGAGATGAGGCAGCATCTAATTGAAAAGTAACTATTTCTTCGTTGCTCAATCTTTCTGTTTTCCAAATATTAAAATCTATCCTAGTTATATATATATATATATATAAATTAGATGTCATTTTCTAAGAAAATTTGGAATATCCTAGATCAATTCCTTACACATATTACTAACCTTTTGAATTGAACCTTGTTTTATGAAATTCTTCTCGAGTATATTGTCCAGCGCAGGATCTAAATCTTCTCCAATATCTTCAATCAACAATGGACGTCCAGTGGATAAGGCATCTTCTAAATTTTGTCGAAAATATTTATTTCCCAATGTTGTGATAATTAAATCGAATTTTTCTTCACGATTTTTTATCCACGCTTTACCTTGACCTTGTGGATCAACTAGCAGTGGGTAACGACTGGCCTGATCGACAATTATACCATTTTGTATGGATAATTCATCACTCGGTAGACCTTGAATTTTCCATTCACCAAGCTGTAGAACAAATAATGAAAAATAAAAATACGATGAAAATATCGAGACTGTAAATGCAGTCAATGACAATATTGTAGCCTTTATATATACGACTACAATTCATGGGCGATCGATATACCAAGTGAGATAATTACGAAGAAATTAAGAAAAATCAGTTCAAAGAACGTTTAATGCTGGTGGCGAACTACACGTCTTATTCTCTACACGACCGATGGTGATACCTCGACTGAAAGATGAAGTACTTAGACTAGACTAGCTAGCCACTTCAAATTGTATCTACCAATTCAACTGCAACTGTGCTTGAGGTGGAGCGAGTTATATTGGCCGTTGTTGCTCTAGGAACTTGATTTTTCGTGCTCGCTCGCTCGATAATAATAATAATAATAATAATAATAATATTGGACCATTTGATGCAAACCGGCCGACCACAAAGCCAGCCAGCCAGCGTGGAAGAATCCTTCTCTATCATCTACCGGGTGCCTAATAAATTGCCAAAATCATCATCGAAGCACCACATGCTCCAAACAGCAGAGGCTATTGCAATTCGCCTCAAACAACCAGTACTGTGTGTGCAGAAGAAGCAAGTCCAGCTAGCCACTACTACTGCCCTGGCCCTCAGTAGAAACTATAAACTCATGAATTTGTACTATTATTATCTTTCATAATTCTTCTGACATTCAGTTTATTTTATGTTGATGCTGTTCAGCTGTAATTTATCAATATTATTGATTCGATGTTATTTAAACAGCAACATTAATGTCGTTCATAAGACTAATTCATTCATTCATTCATTATAATGTATATATAATTGTAGAACCTGATGATGAATTTATCGAAAAGAGTACTCTTTGTTCCCTGTCTATTCTTTTGATAATTTTAATGGGCATTTTGAATCAGTTAATATTCTAGTCGATGGACAGTAAAGAATTCAAAGTACAATACATCCCATGTATGTCATTTGTGCACTTTACATATATATACATATATATATTTCATACAGGAAACTTTTACTTTCTCTATATTTAGTGTTTTGAAATTGTGATGACATCAATTTATCACGTCGACCTGCGACCTAGCACTTCGGTCCAATCAATCGACGGGAAAATATAAAATTCAATCACATAATTAATATGACCCGTTGCAAAAGAGACTGTGGCTCTCGTGGCCCAAGTGGTCTAGTGGATAACGCTTTGACTGTTGGTGTTTGAAACTATGGCCAATGGGTTCGAGCCTCCGTGGTGGGAACATCATCATCACTGACTCACTGACTGGGGAATGCAGGTACATCCAACCAGCTGGCGGACGAGTCCCAAATAGGATCGGTGAAATGCGCATTATTCTGGTCCTGGATTCCACTGCTAGTCACCATTTGAACATCCCAGTAATATACGAGACACCGTTAACCGACATTTATTAATTAATGTTTTCTTACACACACCAAGTTTGGCATAATTGTTCACTTGAGAATTACTCAAACCAGCAAGAAATGCTGGTAATCAAATTTGTGCAATCCTTTACGAAAAGCAGATTTGAGATTATTAGGGGGAACCTCGAAAAACTTCTTTGGTTATTATTTGACTATTATTATTTGACTAGAAGAGATGATGGTACGATTCAGTGGTCTATTTTTTGTAAACAGACATGGAGTGGACAATGTCTTCGTTTCACCAGTTTTGTTCTTATCTATCCAATATAAACGTTCCCTAGTGTGAAATGTTTGTTCTCAAGAGCCCGAAAAAGCAAATGCACGAGTGACACATTATGACGGATGAGTTTCAACATATACATTCAGTTTTATTAGCTAATGGTTATCCGGAGAACTTTATCAGTTGTCACAGTAAGAATAGACCGCCTCTTAAAAAGACAGCTTCTGTACCAAAGAAAGCTATCTATCTTTATTAACCTACCTACCATTCAGGGGTGATCAGATTATGCAGTTATGACAGCTAGCTCAAAGACACTTCGGTCAGCCATCAAACGCACATTCTACGCCACCGCATCTCTTTTTCTCATGTGCCGAACATTTTCGATCCCTGTACCTACGATTAAAGGACGAAATTCTGTGGACTCTACTTCAAACTGTGTCTACCAGTGCACCTGCCGCTGCAGTGACATCTACATAAGTAGAACCAGCATAATGTTCCAATGTCGTGGTCGAGAAGAACATGTTCCAAAATGGTTACTAAATCACATAGAAAATCCCAATACGAGTAATCTGAATAGAAATCCAGCCTCATCCATTGCAAAGCACTTATTAATGTCAGGTCACAAAATCAATCAATATTCATGACTGTTTCACAATTATTTCACCACATAACTCTTATTCAAGGTTGGTTATTGAAGGTGATGGAAGCACGCTTCGTGGATTAATCACATACAGCGTAAACTGTGTATGTACAGTCAAAACAATAGACTTCAATCTTCGCCTACCATGGACTGACTACTTGACCTATTTAAATATGATTGGTCATTAGTATGTACTTTTGTGTTTTTTATTTACCTGAGTAATTGTCATGAACTTTATTACATTTTATTATTGTTAACCATGTTAGCTGTAAAGCGGTTTTGAAGAAACTACGAAATGACGATATCATCTCGCGGGGAAATTTGTCATCTAAATGCCTTATTCAAATTTATCAAAGGGACTAATTGTTTTAAATAATTTATTATTATTAAAACAAATAGTTCCCCTTTATGAATTTGGATAAAGCAGTAATAAGGAGACATCATTTGTCTGTCTGAATCGTGTGTGTAATGTGCATATTTGCGTGCCACACACATTTCGAACAATCTGATCCATCACACACACACGGACTTGTCGTAGGAATATTTTTATATGAAATTAATAAAGGGTTAACAGGTGGGTGAGAAAATAGACTACTTAGGTCAAGTTGAAAGGAGGACATATTGAAGGTCAAAATAACAATGAAGATCAATCACTAAACCAAATAGCAGAGGTAATAGTACATCTGCCCTGGCTAGCATCAAAACATAGTTCACCAACAAGGAAGGTAGGTTTAGTGTGATGACGAATTGTTGCTTTGAACGCGTAGAGGTGGTTTAAACTTTCTAATAGCCAGCTAGGGCTTCCACAAACTTTAGGATACGCCCTCCCCCAAACACGTTTCACAGATAGGTTTAACAGATCGCTTAACGTCAATTTCATGTCCTGTCTCCTCTGTAATACGTTTCGTAATAGAGGAGCTAAGTCTTCGTCTGTTCTCACCATTAATCGGTTCTGAAGATTCCATTTGTTTCTGAAGTCATTTAGGAATATGCTCTGAAACCAGCCAGCCCTTACTTGCAGAGATCGATGAGTCCTCCCTATGTATGTGTGGTAAATACAGTGGAATATTACATCATTTTTCGCATGTTCGAAGGTGATATATACACTGATGACTCATCAATATTGATTTTTCCCATCTGCATGATTGAATTTACTGAATTTCCATTGGTTGTTAATATTTTTTAAATGTGGCATTGATTTTCCTAACTGGATAAATACGGAGTTTAGTTTAAGATTATCGACTGTTGTAGAGACAGTAAAAGCTCTCGTATCAACGTCCAGTCTTCTTTCCTTGCCTTGCGTACCCGGCGGTATTGTTGTTGTTATAGTTGTTGACGTGCGATTAGGACAGATTAGCCAGTGCATTAAGTTAGATTCGCTCGTAGTCTACAAGGTCATAATATTCATACATATGAGAAGGGCTTAGATGGATGGATATATATTGGCTTCACATTCTCAATTATTATGATATTGGCTGCATAAAAAGTCTTTTGAACCACAACGGCGTTCAATCTTTGTCTAGTTATTAAGCTGCTATGATGCCTCGCCCATATAGGCTATCTTGATGTACACGTCTTTCTTAGGGGCGAGTTGGAGACAGTGAGTGGATCTTGGTGTTCCACTGACTACTTCATATCTCCTGATGATGAACTTGTCTGGATAATTGTTATCAACCAGAGTCTTTAATGATTACAGAAACTGTACCCACTTAATTTGAATGCAAACATTTAAACAAATGTGGATTGGTTTTTTAGCTCCACTGAAGAAACATTTTGCCCGAAACCGGCTCCTACAAATCGGTGCACCTCACAGCACACCAGCAATAACGACAGCTAAAACCAGAATCTTAAAAAGAGTGGATACTGAACAAAGAGTACAGTTTTCGATAAATTCATCATCAGGTTCTACAATTATATATACATTATAATGAATGAATGAATGAATTAGTCTTATGAACAACAACATTAATGTTGCTGTTTGAATAACATCAAATCAATAATATTGATAGATTACAGCTGAACAGCATCAACATAAAATAAACTGAATGTCAGAAGAATTAAGAAAGATAATAGTACAAATTCATGAGTTTATAGTTTCTACTGAGGGCTAGGGCAGTAGTAGGGGCTAGCTGGCTGGACTTGTTTCTTTTGGACACAGAGCACTCACTGGTTGTTTGAGGCGAATTGCAATAGCCTCTGCTGTTTGGAGCATGCGGTGCTTCGACGATTTTGGTAGTTTGTTAGGCACCCGGTATATTATAGAGAAGGATTCTTCCACGCTGGCTGGCTTTGTGACTGGCCGGTTTGCACCAGATGGTCTAATATCGAGCTGTTAATGGTTTTAACTACACCTTTACTTAGCCATAGTGGGAGATGTTCTCGAGCGAGCACGAAAAATCAAGTTCCTAGAGCAACAACGGCCAATATAACTCGCTCCACAAGCGCAGTTGAATTGATAGATACAATTTGAAGTGACTAGCTAGTCTAGGTACTTGATCTTTCAGTCGAGGAATCACCATCTGTCGTGTAGAGAATAATATGTGTAGTTCGCCGCCAGCATTGAAAGTTCTTTGAACCGAATTTTTCTTAATTTCTTCGTAATTAACTCGCTTGGTATATCGCCCATGAATTGTAGTCGTATATAAAGTGGCTTCTTGTTTACAGATAGTGAGTAGTCCTTTTCGGCTTTCTTTGTCATATATTTCTTGATAAATTAGTCAGGATAACTATTTTCGATTAAAGTATCATAAACCATGCTTAATTCATGTTTAATTACTTCTTCTGAGAATATAGCTCTAACTCTGTTGCTGAGGGTCTTCACTAAATTTCTTTTGTAATTGACAGGAACGAAGCTATGAAAGTGTGTATATTGTCCCGTCCAAGTACTTTTTCTATGTAAATTTCTTTTTATGCTACCGTCTGGTTTTCTTGTAAGTAGGACATCCAGAAAGGCAATTCTGTCTTGGGGTTCCTCTTCGCATATGAATTTCATAGCCGAATGTACTTCATTGAATTCAGTAATTATTGTAGTCCTATCGGAACCATTATCACAAAGAATAAAGGTATCATCCATATATCAGCAATAAAATGAGAGCTTACTGATAAGGTTGTTCAGGTGTCCATTTTCTAGTTTACTTAGAAAGAAATCAGCCAAAATGGGACCCAATGGGGGGCTCATCGCCACTCCGTCCACTTGCCTGTAAAGCGTGCGGTCAAATTTGAAGTTTACATTCATGGTGTACACCTTAATAACAATTCTTTCAGGATTTCAATATGGATTCCAGTGTTTATCGACTGCTTGTCCACTTGTTCACATATATAATTAACTGTTTCTATTAGAGGTACATTTGTGAATAACGATGTTATGTCCAGAGATATCATGGTTAAGACACATTTAAGTGAGGATACACAACAAACACACATACAAATCAATATTGATTTTTATAAATCAATCAATAAAGTGTAACGTTCAAAGTAACACGACCAAACAGTGTTGTTTTAACCGACTGAAAGTGTGTACAGTCAGTCCATACTGACTAACTAACTAACTAAACTAACTAACCTGAGTTGGTTGAGTTAACATAGAAATTAAGTTGACAATTGTTGATCCAGGTATTTTACACTGGCGTAATAATCGTTGCCAGGACTGATAGAGCATTTGTCTAAATTCTTGGTTAAATGGACCACAGTAGGACAGAAATCCAGTGGCAATGAGAACATCACCGACCAAACTGAAATAAATGTACGCAGAAATGGGAGAATGAAGCTTCGCGGAAAAAGAAATACCATTAAAAAAATAAAGATTAGCCTAATTAAACCATGCATTGGTCAAATCGCCACATTACGGACCATCACTGAACAGAGCTTGGAATAGCGGTCGCCCCTCTATTTCAACTACATCGACTTTGAAAAGGCCTTCGATAGCGCCGATCGAGAGGTGGTTTGGCAACTACTTCGCTACTACATAAGGGGTGCCGCAGGCAATTATACATCTCATCCAACAGCTAGTTGTACGACAATGCTGCATGCCAAGTTATCCACAACGGGAAAATTACGGAATCCTTCGAAGTGAGGACTGGGGTAAGACAAGGCTGGCTGGCTGCCTACTATCGCCAATGATTTTCCTGATTGCAGTAGATTGGATAATGCGACAAACAGCGGGCCAGTCAACGAGGAGACAGGCATAAAATGGACTCACACAAAAAAATTGGAGGATCTGGACTTCGCCGATGATATATGTCTGATTTCCCACAAACTGGAAGATATGCAAGCGAAAAGCAACAAGTTGGCAGAAGAAGCATCCAGAGAAGGTAGGACTTCAGGTGAACATAGAGAAAACAGAGGTAATGAAGATTCCTGGACAAGAACAACAACAACAGACAACAATCAGCCAGCATAAATGGGAGGAACCTGAAAGAAACAACCTCCTTCACCTACCCGCCTACCTGGGAAGCATCGTTTCAACTACAGGCGGACGGAACTGACGACGATATCGAAGCAGCGAGGATCGGGAATGCAAGACAAGCTTTCACTACTCTCATCAAGTCTGTGTGGATGAGATGAACAGCATTCAGCATCAAAAATAAGATCCGGATTTTCAACTCCAATGTGAAGTCAGTCAGTGCTACTCACAATGCGGATCAGAGACTTGGCGCGTCATAAAGAGCACCTGAAACAAACTGCAGACCTTCATCAACAGATGTTTTCGCTCAATACTCAAGATCAGATGGCCGGCCGGCCAGAAAAGATCAGCAACAGAGATCACTGGCAATGAGCGAACCAACACAGCAGGAACCGATTGTGAAACAAATAGGCAGGAAGAAATGCATGTGGATTGGATTGCATTGGCCATACTCTGAGAAAACAAACCATCAAGTGACATCACTAGACAAGCCATTGCTCGAGTGGAACCCGAAAGGGAAGCGGCGAGTTGGTCATCAGTGCGAGGGTGGGTGACTTGGAGGAGGTCATGTGAAGAGGAGATGAACACGTGTCGGCAGACTTGGAGCCAGGTGAAGATTCTAGCAGAGAACCGAACGCAATGGAGACGCACGGCTGAAGCCCTATGTTCCTCTAGGAATTAAAGGAAACAATAATAATAATGATTAAACGAGGAGAAGGTAACATATAGTATAAAAATGGAAGATGGATGTTTTCATTAAACGAATTCTGTACACACACACACACACACACGCAAACACACTTTCATTCACCACTCCTAGCAACTCTGAATTTCGCATATTGTGACAATTTAGGCCAAACTACTGCGAATGTTAAAAATAATAACAGTTATGTAAGTCAAGTAAACTACACACGGAACCGACGCGGATATCATCAAGGCGACGATCGGGGAGGCGACGCAACCTTTCATTACTCTCATAAAGTCTGTGTGGAGGAGATGAACAGCACTTTCAGCATGAAAAATAAGATCCGGTTTTCCAACTCCAATGTGAAGTCAGTCAGTACTACTGTACAGATTAGAGACTTGGCGTGTCACATAGGGAACTTTGAACAAACTACACACCTTCATCAACACCTCAATACTCGCTCAATACTTCGCTCGCTGGACATCAGATCGCCAGCCGGACGGTCAGAAAACATCACCAATAGGGAGGAATCTCTGGCAATGATCGAACCGACGAACCAACCCAACCCAACAGGAACCAATTGTGCAACAAATATGCAGGAAGAAATGGAGGTGGATTGCATTGTATTGGCCATACTCTGAGAAAACAAACCATCAAATGAGTAGTGACATCATACACCAGGCCACCACTCGAGTGGAAGGCGAAGGGGAAGTGGTGAGTTAGTTGGTGGTCACTGTGAGGGTGACATGGAGGAGAAGGAGGTGATGTGAAGAAAAGATCGAAGCATGTGGTCAGACGTGGAGCGAGGTGAAAAGGTTGGCAGAGAAACGAACGCAATGGAGACGTGCAGCTGAAACCCCATGTTTCTCTAGCAACTGAAGGAAACAATAATAATAATAAAGTCAAGTAAATCCGCATTTAAAATCGAATAAGTCAAATTGTACATCTCATTTCTGCGGCTACCTGGGCAGCCGTTCCAGCTTCGTACATTGTACGAATATTCCACGTCTCCATCCTTATTTTTGCTACCATCGAAAGGAGGCACATCGGCTGACTGGCTTCCCGAAGGCTTTCACCAGCCTGCGTCATCATTTCACTTCCCCGATTCCAGTGACAAATAAGGTTATTGTTTATACTTTTAGAATTTTTAATATATATTTGTGCGTTGAGGTTTCTGTAGCAATTCGGTTAAGTTTCAAGCATGGAGTTGCTAGCACCACGCCCCAACCCTCTCTCTTCATCCGGGCTTGGGACCGGCTAGAAAACTAGCGAGCTAGAAATCTAGGCGAGGTTCAAATTCTACAACTGGAGGTGAAATGTCACTGTTTGACGCTTAACCTACATATCTGGCAGCCTGCCTAAATAACTGGGCTACCGAATCCACTTTTTTCTATCCATAAAAGCCGTCATCACAGTTACCGTATTTCATACTTTTTTAAGATACCACTATTAGCTACTCATACCACCCAATCAGTAGTATGTAATATCACGATAAAAAACAGCCATTAGTAGACTGTACAATAAATAAATCGCTTGATTTTGACGACATGTATATTAATAGCATATTTTTGTGAACATACATTACGCATAACCGTTTAACAATTGACTGAATGGTTTATGTTGGCCCGATTTGGAAACTTCATTTAAATAAATATACACCAATGAAAACTAGTCTCCTATAGTGACTAACATTTCCTTGAGGTTAAAATGAATGCAAACTAAATCACTCCTTCGTATTTACGAGTTGATCACGGACTGATATCAGTTAGAGAACCATTGAAAACAAGCAGGGAGTACTGGACAGCTGCTGTTTCATCCTAGTTTGGGAATCATGGGCAGTACGCACCCACTGGGATTCGAACCCGGGACCTTCCGGTTACAAGGCAAGCTCGTACACCATTCAGCCACTGGGACCCGGTTCAATGGCTCATGAATTCTAACTTCTACTAATTCGTGATTTTAGCGCGACCCCAACTATTGTCGTTGGTGGGACATCCATCCACACATGTGACTTCTAATTGGACCTCACTGGTCACGACTTCTCACTAGAACTGACTCCAGTAAACTCCATCCTGTAGCAGCAAGTCACTAGCGAGCATCAGATTAATTTTCTATAGTTTGGTTTGTAAGGATTAGTTATGTTTTACGAGTTGATCACGGACTGATATCAGTATATTTTTGATGAGTTTTTCAGAAGAAAATAAATGTTACTTAGATCATATTATTGTTATGCCCTGTAGCATCAAGTGGAACATAGGGCTTCAGCAGCGCGTCTCCATTGCATTCGGTTCTCTGCTAGAATTTTCACCTGGCTCCAAGTCTGCCCACATGCTTTCATCATCTTCTCTTCACATGACCTCCTCCAAGTCACCCTTGGACGACCAGCCCGCCAATTCCATTTTGGGTTCCACTCGAGCAATGGCTTGTCTAGTGATGTCACTTGATGGTTTCCTCAGAGTATGGTCAATCCATCTCCATTGCTTCCTGCCAATATGTTGCACAATCGGTTCCTGCTATGTTGGTTCGCTCATTGCCAGAGATCCCACCCTGTTGCTGATCTTTTCTATCCGGCCATCTGATCTTGAGTGTTATTGAGCGAAGACAACTGTTTATGATGGTGTGTAGTTTGTTTGAGATGCTCTTTATGACGAGCTGGCCAAGTCTCTGATCCATATAGTAGCACTGAGTGTTATACAATAATGTTTACTTATGACCAAGTTTCCAGCACAATTTATCACTACTCATATTTATCTCAAGGCATTCACTCACTCACACAACTTTCTAACTTCGTTTATATCATTCCACCACTATTTTTCATCGCTTAACTTGATTACCAGTAGCAGTATTCTCCATATTTCGGGTATGAGTGATGAATCATTCCTATTGCATGTGTTGTGTTGGGTGTAGACTCAATGAACCAGTCAGGATTCAGTAATCAACCTCTCTTGCTCTCAACTTACATAGATTACTTCTTAGAATTTTGATTCTATACCACCATGCTTTTGTGTGGTTGTGTGCTTATGCATGCAGTGCAATGTTGTGCTGAGCTTTTTTCTAAATTACTCATCTTCTTGGGTGGGGTCAACCATTCTTACCTTAGCTAAATGTTCCGACAACCTGATTACCCCCGATCTACTAGTATGACCTATGTAGTTTACCTAACTCAAAGTCATTGCAGGGTATTTTGTAAATTATATTATTTTGTCGAATTGGGTCAACCTATAGGGTCCTTTAACCTATCTACAGAGCTTTTCCTACCTGAGTGAGTTTGTAGGTTTAAATGCCACCACCCTAATTCCTGCTTTGTTATTCAGAATCCTACGTAGGGTCTCAGATGTCCCCTCTTTATATGGTATAACTGTAGATGACTTATATTCTTTCTTATTTATGTCATTATTACTAGTTTCACAATTCTTTTTGTTTTGGGCTTTTTCGATCTTCCAAATGAATTTTATAGGATAGTTAGTTATTTAGCGCCAACGCTTCTTCTATCTGTTTTATTTCATCATTCAGGTCCTTTTTTGTGCTACTTAGTGCCATTGCTCGGTTCGTTAAACACTTAACTAAGCCTGAGTTAACAGTTAACGGATGAGATAATTTAAAGTCTAAGTATCTATTAGCAGAATGTGTTGGCTTTCTGTATAAACGTTAGTGCATATACAGTTTACCTTCTTCGGTTCGTTTCATTTTACATTCTAACACCAAAGCTAATTCTCCTTGTTCATCTTCCGATTCAAAAATGAATTTTATTGCCTCTACTGGTGAGTTTACATGTGTCAAGAAGCTAGAGAGAGAGATATGTTCTGTTTTCAACACTGTGAAAGTGTCATCCACATATCTCCACAATATTTTTGAAGTAGGATTAAATGTTGTATTGAGAGCAATATTATCCAAGCTGTCTATCCACAAATATATCTGCTACCATAGGGAATATTGGTGATGCATCCCATTGCCACACCTTCTGTTTGTCCGTATATTTCGCCTTGGAATCCAAAGACAGTAGGTGTATATGAGGCATAACTGAATCCTTAAAATAATTTCTTCAATGGGCAGCTTTGTCCTATGAGTGAGTGAGTTCAGGATCTGCAGTTAGTTCTTTTTTAACTGCTTCTAAGGCGGACATATTGATTGGTATGTTAGTATAAAGACTAGTTATATCAAAACTAACCATTGTTTCATCATTCTCTAGTTGAATGTCATTTAGTTTATTTTTCATCTCATATGAATTAGTTAGTCAGCTGGTCTAGAGTTTGAACGATTTCTAATGGGGCATAATATTAGAGCTAAGTGTTTTGATAATTCATAAGTAATGGGGGTATTTCTGAAATATACACTATCTGGTCGTATAGGGTAACCTGACTTATGTATTTTAATGGCACCGCCTAGAGCAAATTCAGAGTGTGACCTCTTTCAAATCTTTTTTTCCCTTGATAGTGTGATTGTTGACTGGTTACACTTGCATCACTTTCGCCTTCTTAATAATGTTGTTCACTTGAAGTACTGTCTTCGCTCGCTAAATTTTTTCAGGCAACTTGTTGCTTTTTCGAGTTTGTTTGGAAGCAGACATATAGATCGTTCGCGAAAAATCTAGATCTTCTAGAATCTTCTTATCGGGGCTACAGCGAAACACTCCTGTCTTTTCGTTTCCCACAGCCCCATGTATGATCCAGTCTGGGAAAACGATTAGGAATATCATCGATGATAGTAGAAGGGAGGTAGTGTTGTCTTATTCCTGTCTTCACTTCATTGAGTTTTCTGTCGTGGATCATTTGAGATGCGGCGTTCGCATATATTGGCTGTTGAAACAACAAATTATTCAGAAATCTACAAGTTTCCTGTAACGGTGATAAGGTATTATAATAACAAGTGACACTGGATTAAATGTAGTGCATCGGTGGCATAGCAGTTAGAACGCTCACCGACCATGCCACACATGGTCCGGGGTTCGATCCCCGGCCACTCACTGACGCACTCCTTCACCTTGCTCTCTAAGCCAGAAATAAAAGCTGGTGAAGAGGAAAGGTTGGCTGGCATGAAATGGCTAGCAACCCCATCCTGTAAAATAAACACACTGCTACAGAAACTTTAAGCCACTAGCTTGAAGGCGCCGTATGTTCCACTGGGGAACGTGAAGGAAAAAAACACAACCAAATGTATGTTAATTGGTTTTCATAAGATAGTAATTATTTCAAGAATGAATTCATACGGTGAACTAATCAGTGTATAGAAAAGAAATTATACATTCAAGACATTATCACAGTTCAGTTTTCATGAATGTCAGTGTTAAGTAATACAGCAGGCTGCTAGGTCAAAGTAGTAGAACAGGTGCAGTCATTGAGTCAGACTAGCCAAGAAGCATAAAAATCTAGCAGGAAAATCTTAAGATTATTAAAGAATTACTTAGAAAAAATGGTTATCCAGATAAATTTATTGAGAAGAATATGAATGGACCACTGAAAGGAGTAATTAATGACATGGATTTCTACTGTCGATATATGGATGATACATTTGTGGTTATGAAAGATGAGAATGATGCAATGAACATTCTTGACAAGTTTAATGATGCACATTCAGCAATAAACTTTACCATAGAGAAAGAAAGTAATGACAGTATCTCACTCATGCCTAGACGTCTTCATGGCAAGGAAAGATGATGGCACACTAAGAAGGAGTGTGTGTATAGGAAACCTACAACACAATGTCAGTACACTCATTTTTTTAGTTTTGTACCTTTGAAATATAAACGCGTAACCTGGTAAAGTGTCCGAATCATAGAGCTAAGTTAGTCTGTTCAGACGACTGCCTCAATAAGGAGCTCAAGATTATTAGAGAATTACTTAGAAAAATGGTTATCCAGATAAATTCATTGAGAAAGATATGAATTCAGCACCAAGGAGAGTCAGTATGGCAACAGTTCCGAAAAAACCAATGTTCATAAGAATACAGTCCCCCGGTGACAACATCAGAGAAATAATAACACAGCGAACACCTGAAGAATGCAGTTAAAAGAGCTTATTATGCAGCAGTGAGAGGTACGTTGTCTCTTCACAACCACCCCTATTCTATGTTCGAGAAATAAGGATAAACTACCTAATTTTGCCTCCTCTATGTGTATCTACCTGTTTGACTGCAGCTGCGGAGCCAGCTACATCGGGAGAGGCGTACAATTAGGCAGATTCATCGTCGTATTTCCGAACATCATCCAGCGTGGTTAACAAGCAAGGGACAAACAAGATCTATTCGAAGTTCTATTGTAGCACACCTTGTTGACACTAAGCACAAAGTTGATGTTAATACTGCATTTAAAATTATTTATCGCATTCCGACTAATCTTAATTTTGCTCTACGAGTTCGTCTTCTACATACCTACAGCTGAAGCAATCGGAATCCACCTGAAGAAGCCAAACCTATGTGTGTATTCAGAAGAAATTTGTACAGCCACTTTCCTTACCGTGGCCATCGTTACAAGAATGCATAAACAGGACTACATCGCCTCCCTCCCCCTCCCCCTAAACCTATTAAAAATTATAATTGTCCAAATTATTTTATTTTTTTATTTTGACCACTTCATCTTTAATTACGTGTTATCCTTGTAAAATTAATTTATTCTAACCATTTCTACCTTTCTGATTGTGTGTATTGATTTTCTTCGTTAATTATCACCCCACTGCTTGACATTTTGACACTGCTTGGTTATTGTTAACAAACATATCACCACTTGTTTGGTAAACTGTTGTGTATTGTAATAAAAATGCTATACGTGTATATTAGAGTAGAGCCAGAGTGAGATGAGGATCTAATTGAAAAGTAAATATTTCTTCGTTGCTCAATCTTTCTGTTTTCCAAATGTCTAAATGGGGATTTTTTCTATATTGAAATCTAGATTAGTTGACCCGAATAAGATAAGAAATCTAGAAAATAATTCAGCTATAGCACTCACTACATGCAGTTACACAAAACCATACAATAAGATGGGATGGGATAAGATGACATTTTGAAAATCTAGTGTCACAGAGTGGTTGGAGGGAGGGAGAGATTGATAACAACGGAAGCTTTGTTTATCGAATCCACTGAGAGCAAATATGTGTAATAGGAATGATTCAACACCTGTCCAGTCAGATATCTGGAAAATTCTACTATCACGCCTTCGACGACGAATAGGAGAGAACAAAGAAACTATAAAACTCAAGTTTCGAAGTCGTGTAATTATAATTGACGAAATGATTATGAGCAGCAATAATGAATTTTGTTCGAAACTGTGTCATCCAGTAAATACTAATACTGTTTCACTCACTGACTGTCTGTGATACATCCATCTAATAAACAACAAACTAATATGGAATTACTTACTACCACCACCACAACAGTGCCCAAGTTTTACACACATACACAAAAGGAAGATTAAAGACTCACCATTCAATATGTTCTTTAAACGCTTGACTCTCTTCTGTCCAACGAGTCTGTTCATCTCCTAAGCTACCGATAAGTTTTGAGGCGGTATTCATTTTACGTCGACATAATTCCGCGTCTTCCAATAGGGCATTCTTTTTACGTAATGCCTCTTCATAGACTGCTTGCACTTTAGCCAATTCACTCTCTTTCTCGTCAAGTATGGCTTGAGCATCCTAGAAGAAAAAAGAACGAATAAGCAATCAACACACACACACGCACACTGACAGATGCTTTACTGAACCAAAATGAAATATATAGAAAATCAAAACAAATGATTCAGCGAAGAGACTCTTTTCAACGAATTTATCATGTATTTAATGGTTGCCATCCGGCGATAAAATTCACACTCGAAATGGAGAACGAGTCTAGCATGCATTTCCTCGATGTGAACTTATCAAGAAGGACCGATGGAACCCTGAAAAGATCGATTTATCGCAAGCTGTCATGGAATGGTCAACTGACAAATTTCTACAGTTGGGTACCCATTGGTCGAAAACGAAACCTGATCCGGTCGCTTGCCACTCGTATTCGGCGCATATGTAGCCCTGATACTGTGGAAGATGAGTTATACATCTTGAGGAAAATCCTAATAGAAAATGGATTTCCACCACGTTTTATGGATAAGAATATTCATTCAAATCCTAAAAAACGTGAGTTATCAACCGTACCCAAGAAGACACTTTACATGAGGTTGGAATTCAAAGGGGACTTAGCTTCCTATATCATGAAACGGAGGATATCACAATATCTGAAAAGAACATTCCCTGCTGCATCCCTGAGAATAGCCTTTTCTAGTCGACCATTATTGTTCAATAACCTGAGGGACAAGATCTCGCTGTTGACCAACTCTGTGTGTGTTTATCAATTCACCTGCTCTTGTGGAGCTAGGTATATCGGTCGTTCGACACGAGTTTTGTCCAAGAGGGTGCAAGAACACTATCCTGCATGGTTACGAAGAGGTGGAAGTGGAGCAATAAGAAGCGCGATCATTGAACATCTTGCCGATAATGATCACCCTATCTACATAGCCTCCGCCTTCAAAGTCATCTACAAGGCAAAGAGTAATTTACCGAAATCACTACGTACTCGACTCATATGTATTACTGAAGCTTTGGCTATCGAAACAGAAAAGCCAGATCTCTGTGTACAGAAGAAGTTCGTTCAACCCCTCCAACTTTCATGGTCTTAATCCCTCTATGCTAAAGTATGGTAATCCACAATCATACTTTAGCTCTACCAACTCTCCATTTTTTCATTTTTTCATTTTTGTCTATTCAATTTGTATTCTCTTCCTTATTAGGTCAATTGTTACTATTACTACTCTCACTTTTAATTGTCCCCGGTATTATTTCACTTGTTCCACTTGTCATTCTAAATCAATTCCTTTTTTACAACATTAAATTCTATGCTATTAAATTTCACACAATATTACGTAACGTTTTTATTTTTTCGATTTGTCTACTAATCCTATAATTGCACACCTTTTTCAAGTTCTATCCATCCTATGAATTATTCTATATATGACATTAATTTGCTTTGCCACTTGACATTTAAATATGATTATAATCACAAACAATTTAGTTTTAATTGCATTTCATACTATTATCATTATTTCATGCATTCACACCTATGTTTCAATTCCCTCACCGGATATAACTTCTTAAAAACTATATGTGTATATACGATTGTATAGCTTGATGATAAATTCGTTGAAAAGAGTCTCTTCGCTGAATCATTTGTTTTGATTTTCTATATGTTACAATGGGAATTTTCCATGATTTACAAAATGAAATACACACACAACCACGAGCATACTGTGGAAGTGAGCGGCTATCATGATGTCACCAGTGGCAGCCAAAGCCCTAATGATGCAGTGGGAACCAATCTCTCCTCCTTCCTGGATAATGACACCAACATTCAACTCAAAAGGAAAGAAGCAAGGAAGTATCCAGTTACAATTATCCAGTGCTACAAACAACAATTCGGAGGGATAGAAGAAGGAATATTTCTGTGGACAGCTGCAAACAGTAATGGACAACATTTCGAATGGAAGCGCACCACAAACCAGTTAGACTTCAACTCAATGCTGCTCAAGGAAGTGGAAACGTAGCGAGTGTGCTGCAAACAAAGTCGAGAAGGGGAGCAGATGTGGGCTCAGACCACCATCTAATTCGAGGAACCTTGAAAATGAAGCTGAAATCCTTGTGGTGTATGTCTGTAGTGGAAACGGCGGCGACTACATAAAAAAGGAAGTAGTCCGGTTGACATTTCCCGCGTTGATTGTGATGACTGCTTGTTATTGCCGTTGTTGTTGTTGCTATTGTTGTCGGTTGTCGGGCATCTTCATCACCTCCATGTTCACTTGAGTTCCAGTCTCTGCTGACGTCCTTTTCTTCTAACTCGGTAGTTTTTACCTGTGAGTCTTCGAGATTGTGATATATATTCATATATATATTTATATATGTATATACATACCTAACTCATTCGTAGTGAGTAAGGTGGAAAATGAAATAGTGAACGAGGTACCTGGTTCACTCTGGATCGTCTTGCATGGAGATAAGTACAAATTTCTCAGAGGCTGTGTTTATCGAGCACCATTCTCAAGCAAAGGAACTGATGCGTTATTAGCTAAATTGTTTGCACACACCTCCTCGTTCAGTACTAATTACAAAATAATTGGAGGAGATTTCAATCTTGCAGACGTCAGCTGGTTGAGTAGTTCCGGCCCCCAACGCTTCCACGAATTACTTGCCACCATCGATTGCTATGGATGGCAACAACACGTCCAGAAATCTACACGTGGTGACAACATGTTGGACCTTGTGTTTTGTCATTACACAATCCTAGTCTCCACCTATGTTGTTATTATTATTATTATTATTGTTCCCTTGGGTTCCTAGTGGAACACAGGGCTTCAACTACACGTCTCCACTTGCTTCTGTCTTCTGCTGTACTTTTCATCTGCGTCCATGTTAATCCATACTGTTTCAACTCCTCTTCACACGATCTCCTCCATGTCACCCTTGAACGTCCTACTACTCGCCGCTTCCCTTTTAGGTTCCACTCGAGGGCCTAACGCGCGATGTCACCAGCAACAGCCTCCTCAGCGAGTGTCCAATCCATTCCCACTTTCTCCTGCATATTTGTTGGGCGATTGGTTCTTGTTCCGTTCGTTTGTTTGTTCCCATAGTTTCTTGTTGGTTCTTGTTCTTTCCTGTGGCCATCTGATTTTCAGTATACAGCGAAGACAGTTGTTGTTGTTGATAAAGGTCTGCAATAGGCTGTTGGAAATATTCTTTGTGACCCGCCGCCAAGTTTCTGATCCGTATATATAAGATTTCTAATAATACCTTTTTAATACCCGTTATCAAAGCGGGTGAGACAACATAGAGCTGGCTTGCTTGCTGGTCTCTCCTGAGGTAAACGCCTTACTTCTGTTGCATTTCTATTCGATAGCAGTACGACTTCTCCCTCAGACCGCCAACATGGTGCAGATATCTTAGTCTAACCTCTATTCAAACAACAATTTTTCCGGCGTGTTAGGAATATATAATTGTTCGAGCTGGTGTAGGATGTTAGGTCATTCGGGGGATATACAAACCTATTTATCACGTCTGGATAGCTGGAAAGAGGATGGATCATGGTGCTCCAGTCTTTCCTTTCCTTCTTTTATGCTTTACCTGCGCATTCATCGCCTTTAGGCAGGACGATTTACTTATATATGAGTCAAGTTCTATCGAAACATCTGGTCTATTTAGTAGAAAACCAAAACATTCAAATGTGGTCATCACAAAAAGCAGCTTTCAATTCAGAGATGATAGTAGCGCGAAAATCTGTCGACTGCTGGTGACCTGCAGCACGCCAGTGAATCCTTCATGTTGTTTGTTGGTCACTTGTTACGCCTCCACCGACTTAACAGCTGTAACCTAATCAGACATAGAAACTTCTATTGTTACAATTGATATAACTGTAAAACTTGGGCACTGTGGTGTTGTAGAGTATAACTACTCCATTATGGATAAGATTTTCTATTTTGATAAACTGTCACTCACAGTGTGTGTGTAGTGTTATACAGTAAGTAATATTAATTGATGCGACCACACGTTTCGAGCACAATTCATTATTATTGCCACTCATAATCATATCAAGTCACTCACTCACACAACTTTTTCCCCCCATTTATATACATGAGTGAAATTGATCATTAGGCATTTGAATACAAATCAGTAATATGGGATAATGTACATTCAGAAATAATAATAATAATATTAGTGTCATCAATCAAATACAATCGCATGGGAATTTAGCTAAGGTAAGAACGGTTGACCGCACTGGAGAAGATAAGTAATTTAGAAGAAAGCTCACCACTACATTGCACTGCATGCATTAATACACAACCACACAATAGAGTGGGTGGGATAGAGTCGAAATTCTAAGAAGTAATCTATGTAGGTGGAGATAGAGAGAGGTTGATCACTGAATCCTGGCTGGTTCATCGAGTCTACACTCAACACAACACATGCAACAGAAATGACTCAATGCAAATACCAGAGATATGCATGGAAGATATTATTACCACCAGTCAGTCAGTCAAATCATCGGAGGATAATAAATAATCTGTAATTGTATTCTATTTCAATTCAATTCACATACATCACAACATTCTAACAAGTTACTCACTTATTATGACTATAGGAGAAACACTCGTCTTATTTCCCATCTGATTGTACTTGATTGATAACACTCATATTATTATTATTATTTCTGAATGTACATTATCCTATATTACTGATTTGTATTCAAATGTCTAATCATCAATTCCACTCATGTATATAAATGAAGGAAAAAGTTGTGTGAGTAATTTGATATGATTATGAGCAATAATTTGTGCTCAAACGTCATCAGTTAATATTACTGTGGAGTACTGTGTGACATTTTATCAAAATAAAATCATATCCATAATAGAGATAACCTTCTTTGCACCACTAAATAATCCATTTTCTCAACCCCTACAAAATTAAACTTTATTGTTATTGTATTTCTTCTTATATATATAATCCTCTCAATTTTTTGTTTTTATTTGTTTATTTTCTCAAAAGTGTGAACATCATTTAAGCTGTATTGTAACTGTGTTAATTTTGTATTTCCCCTCACCATACTGCTATATCAACAGAACATTAGACTCAATGCCTCTACAACATGCTAACATTTTCCAATCTGAATCGACAATACTGTTTGAAACAGACTCACTGTTATTATTATAATTACATTTAATATTCTTGATTCGTGTTTCGAATACTTTTGACTCTCTATCGTAAACGTGGAGAAATTCCTCTGGTTAATTTTGTTTTCATTTTATTTACATTTTGAGTAAATCAGATGTAAGGTGTTGTGACAAATGCTGAGAATTCCATTCTGCATTATAAGTACTGTCTGTTTTGGAATAAAGTAGATTATTAATATTAGTATTACTCTACCACAACCACAGTGAGCAAGTTCTATTCTTAAATCAACAGAGTAATTTAACCACATTCTATGTCTCTAATTATTTAGGTCTTCTAACCGTAACAAAAACTCTCAACTTTTCTGAACCTAACCCTAACGTGAAAATATCCCTAACCCTAACTGTAATCTAACTCGAACCAACCCTAATGTCGCCCTAATTAGGTTAACCTAACGCTTAACTTGCCCTTGGCATAAAGCGTAACTTAATCTTTCCGAAATCTAAGCTGTAACTTGCCAGATATCCCCTTTAAATACTATAACGCTTCGATGAGCATATTTTATTGCTCAATTAGTGTGTTTCAAGGTCACTGGTGGTGCGGTCGCACTCCATTGGTAGTTGAGTGGTGCTTGAAGACGTCGTTTGAAAGACACTTGGTGGAGACTACATGTCCCTCCATAAGCAGTCAGAAAAGGAGCTCCTTTTTGCCATTGAATACACCATGTTCAATAAAAAAATACTGTGAAAGTATGAAATAATAGAGAAGATTTGTAGCTCAGGTGGATGATTTGCAATTAAAAGTGTTCTCTGAGGAGCTGGTTGATGGTTTAGTCGCGAAGCTTTCGTCGTCACCCTGCTGGACAACATACCCCTTCAGCGAAATATTTAGCACACAGTGAAATGATTTTAATTTCTTCATGAGTGGTGATAGAATTGCGTTTCCTGGTAACCATCTCCACATATGTATTGACCATTTTCTATTGACTTGGATTTTAAACTTTCTCGTCACCTGATTTACTTTTTATTAGTTGGTATATTTCGTCTATATTCACATGCTTGTTACTTGCATTTTCGTTTGAGCACCAGGCTTCTAGGAATTCCCTGACTGCACTTTTGGTGGTGTTTCCTCTGTCTAAGATTTTGACATTATCCCAGTTATCAAATTGATGACCATAATTGTCTATATGCATTGATACTAAAGAATACATATCGTATCTTTTCACGACTGATTTGTGTTCTTGGATTCCAATTCGAAGGAGACGCCCACTTTGGCCAATGTAATGCTTGTTGCAGTTCATACAAATGATTTTGTAAATGGTATTAATTTTATCTCCTTTTTCTGTTGGATGTGTCTTTCGGTTTGCATAATATCGAATTAAGTGAGTGGACTGGCTGGTTTGTGTGCTATATCTGTTTCAAACGGTTTCAGTATTCTAGCTGTTATTTCAGAGATATTTTTTCCCACAAATAGTAGGATAAATTTTCTTGTGTTCTTTGATGATGGTTCCTTCTTGGTATTGTGATTCGATTTTAAACACGTTTTGATGAAATTTTGTGAGGATATCCATTCCCTTTGAAGACCGTTAGTAGGTATTTTTATTCCATTGTTTTCAACACCGAAGGAGTGCTACAGTGAGTTTGAACTCTCTTGTGAATAATGTCTGCACACAGTTTCTTTTGTGAGTGAGTAATTGGATTATTGCTAGTGTAGTTGAGTATTTGATCTATGTGTGCGTTGATTTTCTACATACTTGTGTTTCTAAATTTCCTGTGTTAGTTCTCTTGATTAAGACATCTGAAACTGGGATTTTGTTTGTTTGTTTGAATAATCCAGAATTTTTGTGAAATTTCCCTAATTTTAGTTGATATTCTATTCGCTGTTATATCTTTATTATTATTATTATTATTATTATTTAAGCATCTTTAATGAACTGTGGTGATTCCATTGTGATCTTACTTTACAAATCGATATTATTTTTTAAAAAACGCTAATATTGTTATTTACTACTAATTTAAAATATTCTGTGTATATCAACATACAGATATATAATTGTATAGCCTGGAAGAGGAATTTATCGAAAAGGGGATATTCTTTGCTCGATTATTTTGCAATTATATAACTCATGAAGAAATTTAAATCATTTCACTTTGTGCTAAATACGGCGCTGCAGGGGGATGTTGTCCAGCAGTGGGGGGACGACGAAAGCTTCGCAACTAAACCAACCAACCAGCTCCTCAGAGAACACTATTCATTGCAAAACTATGAAAGTATAATAGAAATAGTAAGTATATACGTGGCAATAATAAATTGTGCTCGAAGCGTGTGGTCGCATCAGTTAATATTACTTACTGTATAACACTACACACACACACTGTGAGTGACAGTTTATCAAAATAAAATCTTATCCATATTGGAGTGGTTATACTCTGCCACCACAGTGCCTGGCCAAGTTTTATACTTATATGAAACAATAATTATTTGATTGGATGGAGGATTTCATCATGAGCTGACATCAGTTGGAGAACCACTGGAAATCCTGCAAGGAGTACTGGACAGCTGTTTCGTCAGCCTAGTTTGGAACTGACGCTTCATCAGTACGCACCCACCGGGATTCGAACCCAGGACCACGTTCTGGTTATAAGGCGAGCTCGTAGACCATTGAGCCACAGGGACCCGATCCAATGGTCCAGTGCTTCTCTAACTGATGTCAGCTCATGATGAAATTCTCCATGCCATCAAACTTAATCCCTACAAAACCAATACTTGAAAATTAATCTGATGCTCACTAGCGACTGGCCCTATTCAGGCAGTTAACCTGGGGTTCTAGTGGGAAGCCGTGACCAGTAGAGTGCAGCAGGTTGAAGGTGAGGACAGTTACTCATCTAAGAAGAAGACACTGAGAAGTGGTCGCGCTATGTCGTGAATTCGCAGAAGTTAGAATTCAAGGACCATTGGATCGGGTCCCAGTGGCTCAATGGTCTACGAGCCATTGAATACACCCTGTTCAATAAAAGAAATGCTGTGAAAGTATAACAGAAATAGTAAATATATAGTTACGTAATATACGTAATTTCAACTTACATTTAAATCATTCATAGCTTTAGCTAACCGAGCTTCTTGTTTCACAAGATTATCTTTCATCGGCAACACATCTTTATTGATAGCATAGAAATAAACCATCGCCTTTGTCCATGACAGTAAGCCGGCAACATTACCGCAAACTTTTTTACCAACCTCTAGTGTATAATCTTCCATGTATAAATATGGCTCTAAAAATTCGACAGTCTCTTCATTGATTGTATCCTTGGGAAAAGACATAAGCATAGCAAGAAAACTCGTATTTGTCATTAATTTCAATGATTCACTCCAATTGGGCTTTGGACAAGGACGTTCTGGATCAGGTTGATAAACTTCTAGATGACGTTGAAACAGTAGAAGGACACAGTCCATGATCCGCATGATGAGATGCGGTGGTTTACCCAGCCGACGTACAGTGGCTATATCCCCAGGTTTAATGGTGTTCAGTGCATCTTCAGCTTCTTGGAGAGCAGGTTTTGCCGCCTCCAATTTCGCTGCAGCTAAAATCTTCTCACGGTCTATATCATCAACGATGGCTTGTGCTTTATCCTTCACAAGTTGTACTTTATTCCGGACTTCAGTTGCAGCATTCTGTTGAATGGTGACCTACAAAAAATTGAGGGGATGAAAGAAAAAAAAAAGGGTAAATTTATGGTTGGTTGTTTGGTTGCTTGGTTACTTCTGGAAGAAAATGTCTCAAGACAGTGTCGAAAAAAAAGAAAACGCGATTTACCAAGTGAGATAATTACGAGGAAATTAAGAAAATCAGTTCAAAGAGCTTGGTGATTCCTCGACTGAAAGATGAAGTACCTAGACTAGCTAGCCATTTCACATTGTATTTATCAATCCAACTGCGCTTGTAGTGGAGCGAGTTATATTGGCCGTTGCTCTAGGAACTTGATTTTTCGCGCTCGCTCGAGAACATCTCCCAGTATGGCTAAGTAAAGGTGTAGTTAAAACTATTAACAGCTCGATATTAGACCATCTGGTGCAAACCGGCCGGTCACAAAGCCAGCCAGCGTAGAAGAATCCTTCTCTATAATATACCGGGTGCCTAACAAACTACCAAAATCGTCGAAGCACCGCATGCTCCAAACAGCAGAGGCTATTGCAATTCGCCTCAAACAACCAGTGAGTGCTCTGTGTCCAAAAGAAACAAGTCCAGCCCCTACTACTGCCCTGGCTGGCCCTCAGTAGAAACTATAAACTCATGAATTTGTACTATTTATTATCTTTCCTAATTCTTCTGACATTCAGTTTATTTTATGTTGATGCTATTCAGCTGTAATTTTTCAATATTATTGATTTGATGTTATTTAAACAGCAACATTAATGTTGTTCATAACACTAATTCATTCATTCATTCATTATAATGTAAATATAATTGTAGAACCTGATGATGAAGGGGTTATCGAAAAGAGTACTCTTTGTTCCGTGTCCATTCTTTTGAAAACAATTTTAATGGGCATTTTTAATCAGTGCAAATATAATTTTCAAAAGAATGGATACTAAACAAAGAAGAGATACTCAACAACATGAATGTTGCTGTTTAAATAACATCGAATCAATAATAATAATACCAGTAGATTACAGTACAATAGTATCAACATAACAATAAGCTAAATATCAGAAAAATTAGGAAAGATAATATTACAAATTCAAAAATTTGTAGTCTCTACTGAAAGCCAGCCAGCCAGGGCAGTAGTTGCTGGCTGGCTGGACTTGCTTCTTTTGAACACACAGCACTCACTGGTTGCTTGAGGCGAATTGCAATAGCCTCTGCTGTTTGGAGCATGCGGTGGGTGCTTCGATGATGATTTTGGCAATTTATTAGGCACCCGGTAGATGATGATTGTGGAGAAGGATTCTTCAATGTTGGCTGGCTGGCTGGCTTTGTGGCCGCCAGGCCGGTTTGCATCAGATGGTCCAATATCGAACTGTTTGTTAATGGTTTTCACTTCACCTTTACTTAGCCATAGTGGGAGATGTTCTCGAGCGAGCGAGCATGAAAAATCAAGTTTCTAGAGCAACAGAGGCCGATATAACACTCGCTCCACCAGCACAAGCGCAGTTGACTTGGTAAATACAATTAAATATATATAATTAATATAAATAAATTTAGCCTTAAGAGAAAATTTTTCTTTATGCTTCGCAGTGATATCTCAAGACACTGTCATAAGAACAAAACACAAATATAATTTTCAAAAGAATGGATGGATACTGAACAAAAAGAATAAATACTCCTCGTTTGTCATTAGGGTCTGGGTCTAGATGTGGACGGCCTGACTGACTGACTGACTGTGTGTGTGTGTGTGTTGTGGTGTCACTTGTATGTCTTCTTCTTAGCGTATGCCGACTCCTTCTAGATTACCTTCCGATTGGTTCTGTGACTGCCAGAGTTTGTTTGTTACTGATCAGCTATCTGATCTTCACTGTCATCGACCTAGAGCAGCGCGATGTTCATGAAAGAAGTCTGCAGCAGTGTGTATTGTAAGTGCTTTTGGTGATGCATGCGTACACCACCGAGTGCCTGAACCATATAGGCGTACTGACTTTAAATCTATTGTTAAGCATTCGGATGTCTGGTTACAGGATTTCATCATGACTAGCTGACATCAGTTAGTTGGAGAACCACTGGAAAACCGACAGAGAGTACTGTCAAAAACAGCTGTTTCGTCAGCCTAGTCTGGGACTGACTCTTCAGGAGTACGCACCCACTGCCAGGGTTCAAACCCAGGACCACATTCTGGTTACAAGGCTAGCGAGCGAGCTCGTAGACCATTGAGCCACTCACTGGGACCCGATCCAATGACGGGTGCATGAATTATAACTTCTGACAACTCATGATTTAGCGCAACCGCTAGCCAATGTGTCTTCGGTGGTGGCGAGTATTTGTCCTCACTGGTCACGACTTCTCACCAGAACCCACCCAGGTAACTACCCACCTGAATAGGGCCAGTTGCCAGTGAGCATCTCATTGATATTCAAGTAATGGTTTGTAGGGAATTGATTGTTTGGTCCAGTACTCCCAGTGGCGGGTTTACCAATGGTTCTCTAACCAATGTCACCTGCTCTCGCGGAGCGAGGTATATAGGTCGTTCGATGAGAATTTTATCTAAAAGAGTTCAAGAACACTATCCCGCCTGGCTACGGAAAGGTAACAACGGAGCAATAAGGAGCGCCATTATTGAGCATATACTCAACACTGGTCATTCGATTTGCAAGGAGAAGTCGTTCAAAGTCATCTATAAAGTCAAAAGAAGCCTTCCAAAATCGATAAGCTTCCGTATACTTTGTATTGCCAAAGCCTTAGCGATTTGGATAGAAAAGCCTGATTTATGCACACAGAAGAAACTTCTCCACCCCCTCCTGCTACCGTGGGTTTAATTTCAAGTTTATCTGTCATCAACATTTTGTTATCAAATTTTTTTGCAATCTTCGTAAAATAATTTTTAGTAACTAACCCATTCAATCTTTTCACCTATTATCTAGTTTATTTTCATAATTGTCTCCATACTCCTTCACTAGCATCTAATCTTTCTAAACATGTCTATATTACGTAACTCTACTCACATCTTACCAATCATCACCCCACTTAGTTACAACTTTGATTATTAATCATACATTTTAATTTCTTAATTATTTTGATGATATAATCAGCAACCCAAACTAACTGTTATTTTGATTTTGATTTTGACAAACCTAATGTACACACACACACACACAAAATAATTGTATATATTTGCGACTGTACAGCTAAGTGAATGAATTCGCCGAAAAGAGACTCTTCGCTGAACTAATTTGTTCTTATTTCAATGTCTTAATGGGTATATTTTCTTAGTAATCATTGACTTTCCTGTTTTCTGATCCAATGTTGGCTGGCTTGTGATATCCTCATCCGTTCGGCGTGTAGTTGAAATGGTCCTGTCCTGGTAATATTAAGTGGAAAAGACGATTTCGCTTAGATTTCGCACACTAATGGTGACGATTGGTGTGTTCGTTGTTGGTCAGTTAGTTAGTTATCTTCACCGGTGATTATATACAACAACCATTTTCTATCACTTTCAGAGTGTTACCTGCCTTTTCACAGACCTTCACTTACTTTTTGTTTGTTTGTTTTATTCTCTCTCATATTTTTAAAAAATTTATTATGATTTACAATTTTCAAAATAATGGATACTGAACAAAGAATATAAATACTCTTTTCGATAACCCCTTCATCATCATCATCAGGCTCTACAGTTATATATCCATCCATTATAGTGAATGAATGAATTAGTGTTATGAACAACAACATGAATGTTACTGTTTAAATAACATCGAATCAATAATAATAATAATAATACCAATGGATTACAGTTCAATAGCATCAATATAACAATACACGCTGAATGTCAGTTGAATTAGGAAAGATAATATTACAAATTCAAAAATTTGTAGTCTCTACTGAAGGCCAGCCAGCCAGGGCAGTAGTAGTGGCTAGCTGGCTGGACTTGCTTCTTTTGAACACAGAGCACTCACTGGTTGTTTGAGGCGAATTGCAATAGCCTCTGCTGTTTGGAGGAGCATGCGGTGGGTGCTTCGATGATGATTTTGGCAATTTATGTGGAACCCGGTAGATGATGATTGTGGAGAAGGATTCTTCCACGCTGACTGGCTGGCTTTGTGGCCGGAGGTTGGGAAATACTAAAACCCAGGTGGATAATTTTGATGTTGTTGTGTTCTCTGAGCTGGATAGTTGATTTGCGAAGCTTTCATCAGCCTACTGGGTGACATCTTCAGCGCATACGTCAATTTGAAGTGAGCTTTTAGATTTCTCCACGAGTTTATTAATCATCTCTCCTGGTCGGTGACCACCTTGGACGTGATTGGTTGTTTTTGTGTGTTTTCACACCTTCTAGGTTACTTGTATTGTCACTCATTGTTTCTTTGACTTGAACTTTGACGCTTTGTGTGTGACGTTCCTTTCTTATCGGTTGATAAATTTTGTCTATCTCGATGTGTCTATTGATTGATGATTCACTGGAATACCAGGCAGGCTTCTAAAAATTCTCTAGCATTCTTGGTGTTGTTTCCTCTGTCTAATATTTGGACGTTGTCCCAGTCGAATTGATGTCCGTCGTTGTCTGTATGTAGTGATATGAGGGAGTGGATATCATGTCTCTTGACAGCTAGCTTATGTTCGTGGATACGAAGACGAAGAGGACGTCCACTTTGGCCAATGTAGTGTTTTTCGCAGTTGGTGCAATCTATTTTGTAGATGATGTTGGTTTTATCTACTTTTGCTGTTGAGCCTTTTTGTTGACATAGAATTGAGTGAATTCTATGTCAACCACAGAAATGCATGGACGATATTATTACCACCAGTCAGTCAGTCAGTCAGTCAGTGAAATCAGAGGAGGATAATAAATAATCTTCAATTGTATTCTATTCCAATTCAATTCACGTACATCATCACAACATTCTAACAAGTTACTCATTTATTATGACTATAGAAGAAACACTCGTCTTATTTCCCATCTGATTGTTGTAATTGATCACTAACATTCATATTTTTATTATTATTATTATTACTGAATATACATTATCCCATATTACTGATTTGTATTCAAATGTCTAATCATCAATTCCACTCATGTATATAAATGAAGGAAGACGAAAGTTGTGTGAGTGATTGAGTGAGTGACTTGATATGATGATTATGAGTGGCAATAATAAATTGTGCTCGAAGCGTCGTGTGGTCGCATCAGTTAATATTACTTACTGTCCTTCTCTATGGTGGTGAGACGTGGCCATTGAGAGCGGAAGACATGAAGAGATTGTCTGTTTTTGATCACAGATATTTACGATCTCTTTCTCACGTTAGGTGGTATAATAAGGTAAGTAATGTTGACGTTAGGTTAGGCGTAGTGTGTTGGGCAAAGAGGGAAAATCAGTCGAAGAGGCTATAAGGTTACATAGATTGAGATGGCTAGGTCACGTACTGCGCATGCCTAACCATCGCCTCCCCCTCCCAGAGGGCATTACTAGCTGATAGAGGTGCAGGTTGGAAAAGAGTAAGTGGTGCCATGCCAAACAAAAACATGGCATCAATCAATCCATGAAATCCTTGACAGTTAAACTGAGTCAGGTGGGGAGGGAGATGCAGACTTCCAGGTTGGGGCCCTCGGGACTCTAAGAATCAATGGCTGGAGACAGACAATAGGTGACATGGCTCAAAATTGTTGTCAATGGCTTACGCAGATGTATTCAGTCTCTTGTGTAATCTTTCATATTTCTTTCTACCATTACTCATTCTGTTTCACTCTTATACTTGTCAAAACTCTATTGATTCTCTTCACTCATCCATCTTCTTGTCTACCTTTGTGTGGTATTTGGAACGTGGCAACTGGAACTGCTGCACTTCGGTGCCAAGTTCTATGTTGAATCCAGCAGCAGCAGCATTACTTACTGTTTAACACCACTACACTGTGAGTGACAGTTTATCAAAATAGAAAATCTTATCCATAATGGAGTAGTTATACTCTACCACACACACCACAGTACCCCCCAAGTTTTATACTTATATCAATATTAAAATTTTTTGAAAGACTGTCCACACGGAGATTTCATTTGATGATAATTCGATTTGAACGAGAGAGAGAGAGAGAAAGAAAACAAAGATTGGCAGAAAATTAGTTAGTTACTCACTGTGAGAAGTACTTCTTCAGCTTGTTTATTTGCCACTTCAAGATCTTTTTCTTTGACAGCCAACTCTTTACTCAGCTGGGCCACATTGTCTTGAGCTTCAACCAGCTTCTGCAGACCCCCGTCCATACGTTGAGCAAGATTTGCAAAATGACCGTGTTGTTGTGTATAAACTGACTTATAACTCTGTAGGAATGATAAGTAGGATTTCGGTGTGACATGTGTTTGACGTCGATATCTGAAGTTAGTGGGGCGGTAAAGAGAGAGAGAGAGAGAGAGAGAGAAAGATGCGGCTAATGTTAATGTTGGCTGTCAGGGGATACTTTAATATTACCGACAAGTTCCGAAAAAACCAATGTTCATAAAATTGCAGTTCCTCGGTGACAACATCAGAGAAATCATAACACAGCGAACACCTGAAGAATGCAGTTAAAAGAGCTATTTTTATGCAGCAGTGAGAGGTACGTTTTCTCTTCAAAACCACCCCTATTCCACGTTCAAGAAATAAGGATAAACTACATAAATTTGCCTCTTCTATGTGTATCTACCAGTTTGACTGCAGCTACATTGGGCGTACAATTAGGCAGGTTCATCGTCGTATTTCCGAACATCATCCTGCAGTGTGTTTAAGCAAGGGACAAACAAAATCTATTCGTAGCTCTATTTTAGCACACCTTGTAGACAGTGAGCATAAGGTTGATGTGAATACTGCATTTAAAATTATTTATCGCATTCCGACTAATCTTAACTTTGCTCTACGAGTTTGTCTTCTTCATACAGCTGAAGCAATCGGAATCCACCTGAAGAAGCCAAACCTGTGTGTGTATTCAGAAGAAATTTGTACAGCCACTTTCCTTACCGTGGCCATCGTTACACGAATGCATAAACAGGACTACGTCGCCCCCTCCCCCTCCCCCTAAACCTATTAAATTATAATTGTCCAAATTATTTTATTTTTATATATTTTGACCACTTCATCTTTAATTACGTGTTATCCTTGTAAAATTAATTTATTCTATCCATTTCTACCTTTTAATTGTGTGTATTGGTTTTCTTCGTTAATTATCACCCCACTGTTTGACATTTTGACACCGACTGATCATTGTTAACAAACATATCACCACTTGTTTGGTAAATTGTTGTGTATTGTAAAAAATGCTATATGTATTAGAGTAGAGCCGAAGTGAGATGAGGATCTAATTGAAAAGTAAATATTTCTTCGTTGCTCAATCTTTCTGTTTTCCAAATTAGTATTGTAACAAAAGAAGACAAGCGCCAGACAAACAGATCGTTTATTTACGAAATCAACACATATTTATCGATTTTCATGTACATACATCATTATAGATTATTGTTAGCAGAAAAACACAATCTTCTGATTGGTAGTTGTTTCTCACTCAACGTTAGTTAATCTTTCATCTCTTTGTGACTGTTTCTTCAGGGTCAGACCACTTATCTGCTAATTGTATCCGCCTACGCAAACCAAGTGTGCTGTGATTGGTTGTTGAGTCAGTCTTTGTAAATCTCCTACCAACACGTTGAAACTTTTCAACGAAATTACTGGCAATAGTAAGCGATGCATTGTTTTTCCCTCTTATGATGTTAATGCTCCTAATCAGTCTTTTATACGTCCCCCTTCGACTATGATTACATCTAGTGTTACAAATCACGCAGATGACAACTTTCATGACTTTAATGCTCTCGATGTTCTAAAATGTCTTAAAATGCTTAAGCCCTCTCTCGTAACCTTGGCTCTGATAGTGTACCTGCTTATGTTACAAAAACAATGTGCAGATGCTTTATGTTCTTCACTAACTAACATCCTAAATGCTTCTTTCTCCAAAAGCGTTGTACCTCTTGCATGGAAAGACATTAAAATAGTCCCTGTCCCTGAACCTGGAAATAGCAAGAATGTAAAATTCAGACCCATTGCCATTACTTCCTCTTTTCCAAAGCTGATGGAAAAACTAGTATTTCTTAAAAGTGAACCCTCCCTTGAAAGCTTCGAAGAACCCAAACAATTCGCCCATAGACAGGGTAGGAGCACCTTAGATGCTACAGCCGTCTTGTCTTGCACAACAGTATCGTCTGATCATTAGATAAAGGTGCCAAATACGTTCGTTGCACATTCTCGACTTCACTTCTGCTTTTGACTCTGTACCTAGATGTCTCCTGCTTAATAAGCTCTCGATGACACAAATTGAGTCCTGGGTCACTGACTGGTTGCATTCCTATTTCTCAAAAACAGAATGCAGTACACTGTATACATAAGTAAAACCTCCAATGCTGAGCTCACTGAATCTGATGTCCCCCAAGGTGCTGTACTTTCCTCACTTCTCTTCTCTTTCTTTCTACATGACTAATCATCTTAAAGTGACATTAATTTTGTTAAATATGCTGACGATCTAACTGTATCTTTACCTGTCAAATGTCAAAGTGACTGCTCCAAACTAAATGGCTTTTCATCAGAAATCAGCCCGTGGTCCAAGGAAAACGGTCTTACCTTATTATTATTATCGTTTCCTTTAATTCCTAGAGGAACGTAGGGCTTCAGCCGTGCGTCTCCATTGCGTTCGGTTCTCTGCTAGAGTCTTCACCTGGCTCCAAGTCTGCCCCTGACGTTTTCATCTCCCCTTCACATCACCACCTTCAAGTCCCCCTTCCACTGACGACCAACTCGCCGCTTACCGTTCGGGTTCCACTCGACCAATGGCTTGTCTAGTTATGTCACTTGATTTTTTTCTCAGAGTATGGCCAATCCAATCCACCAGCATTTCTTCCTGCCTATTTGTCTCCCAATCGGTTCCTGCTGTGTTGGTTCGCTCATTGCCAGAGATCTCTGTTGCTGATCTTTTCTGGCCGGCCATCTGATCTTGAGTGGTATTGAGCGAAGACAACTAGCTGTTGATGAAGGTCTGTCTGATGCTTTTTATGACGCGCTGGCCAAGCCTCTAATCCGTATAGTAGCACTGACTTCACATTGGAGTTGAAAATCCGGATCTGATTTTCATTTTCATGCTGAGTAGTGCTGTTGACCTCCTCTCTGACTTGAGAGTAGTGAAAGCTTGTCTTGCTTTTCCGATCCTCGCTACTTCGATATCCTCGTCAGTTCTGCCCGCCTGTAGTTGAAACGATGCTTCCCAGGTAGTTAGGCAGATAAAGGAGGTTGTTTCTTTCAGGTTCCATCCATTTATGCTGGCTGATTGTTGTTGTTCTTGCCCAGGAATCTTCACCACCCCTGTCTTCTCTATGTTCACCTGAAGTCCTATGTTTGATGCTTCTTCTGCCAACTTGTTGCTTTTCACTCGCATATCTTTCAGTTTGTGGGAAGTCAGACATATATCATCGGCGAAGTCCAGATCCTCCAATTCGTTTTTGTGTGAGTCCATTTTATGCCTGTTTCCTCACTGCCCTGCCCGCTGTTTGTCGCATTATTCAATCTACTGTAATCAGGAAAATCATTGGCGATAGCAGGCAGCCAACCTTGTCTTACTCCTGTCCTCACTTCGAAGGATTCCGTAAGTTTCCCGTTGTGGATTACTTGGGATCCCTCTAAATGTCAAACAGTCAATTTCACCTTTATGCATAAATCTGACCTAAACAAACTGGTTTGCTCTCACAAGGTGTGCAACATGGATGGCACTGAAATAGAGATCAAGTTGGCGTCATTCTATCTGCTGATCTTTCCTGGTCGTCTCATATCTTGGTGATTTCTAAGAAAATATTCCGTCTTACCTTCTACATCAAGAAGTTAAGACATTCTGGAATAACCCGACCCAACCCAAACCTTACTTTTACGATTCGTTAACTCTCGCATTCTGCCTATTATTCTCTATTGTTCCCCCTTAGTTTTTCCAGGGCTAATGAAGAAGGACTATATCTTATTACTTAGGGTGTTAAAGGTTGTCAGCAGGGTAAGCAATGTGCCAATTAACCAGCTTGTTAATATTCTGGTCAACAGGCAGGCACTTGGACTCATGTGAAAAATGAGGGCTAAATCCATTCTATCTAACTCATACCACCCTCTTCATTCACAACTCTCCCCTCTTGTATCTCATCAGGCAAAACCAGAAGACTATATAGAAAACTATATGTTTGCACTAGCAAGTACAAAAACTCAACCATACCCTACTTGGCTCGCGTTCTGTGCGATAAAGAAAGCATTAGGCGTGAAACTTATAACTTATTAAATAGTCAGTAGAACAACTGGATCTCGTCCTTCCAACTCATATCATTTATAGGTAAAACATTTTCTGTCTTTCTTTTCCTTTTCTCTCTTTTCCATTATGTGCTGCTTTGTTTCTTTCTTCCGCTTACCCCAGTAAATATGACAGCACCTACTTTTCTAACACCTTCAAACACTGTTCAGCTTTGGCTTTGCTACCGACATGCCAATATGTTGTTGTCAAAACTAACTGAGACTACCCATAATCTATGTAGAATTTTATTTATTGTTAATGTACACAAACTGGATGCAATACTGTAGTAAAAATGCTGAGAATTCTATTATGTATCACAAGTACTGTTTTGGAATAAAGCAAACTATTATTATTATTATTATTATTAACTATTAATGCATTATAAACAGAATGATACAAACCAAGGCGCTGTCCTTTCTCCTTTTCTCTTTTCTTTCTTCTTGCATGACTTGCCTCACTCTGGTGACGAAATGAACTTTGTTAAGTATGCCGATGATCTAACTATTTCAATGTCTCTTAACTCCCAGCTAGACTGTAATAAGATGAACAGCTTTCTATCAGGAATTGGCAAGTGGTCTTCGTCTAATCGTCTATCTTAACCTAAATCCTTCGAAATGTCAGACTGTTAATTTCAGTTTTCGATATAAAAGAAAGCTAAATGAAACTGTTGGTTCCTATGACCATTGCAAAATTGATGATAGTGATATAGAAATCAAGTTTGAAGTTAAGCATCTTGGATTAATTCTTTCTACTGACCGACCTATCCTGGTGTTCCCATGTCTTAGCGATTTCTAAAAGAATATTTCATCTGACTATTTACATCAAGAAGTTGAGGCACTCAGGCATAACTCAACCAACCCCTGCTCCTCTTACAGTTTGTCAACTCGTGTATTTCACCCTTATTCTTTCTTGGATTGCTTAAAAAAGACTATGCCATACTTCATAGAACTCTGAAGACTGTCAGTAGAGCGAGTAGTGGTATCCCATTGGGCCATATCGTTGACATTGTCACTGATAGGCACCTGATGTCATGCAACAAATTCGCTAAAGGAATTTTGTCAGACTGTGAGCATCCACTTTAGTTACCCGCAGCTCCAACCTTGTGTCTCCTCAGGTAAAACAAGAAGTCATTTCAGAAGACTTTATGCACGTACGTCTGAGTATAAAAATTCCACCATACCATATTTGGCGGCACGTACTTTATGTGATGAAAATAGTGTTAGGCATGAACCAACTAACTAACCTTCTTTGCACTACTAAATAAACCAATTTGTGCACTCCTACAACATCAAGCTTTATTGTTGTTGTTTTTCTCTTATATTTATAATCCTCTCAATATTTTGTTTTATTTGTTTATTTTTTTCATAAGTGTGGACATCATTTAAGCTGTGTTATAACTGTTAATTTTGTATTTCCCCTCACCATGCTGCTAAATCAACAGAACATTAGACTTAACGCCTCTACAACATGGTAAAATTTCCAAACTGAATTGACAATACTGTTTGAAACAAACTCATTGTTATTATTCATATTATAATGTTTAATATTCTCATTTCGTACTTCGAATATTTTTGACTTTATATCGTAAATGGGGATAAATTCTTCTGGTTAATTTTGTTTTAATTATTTAATTTTACTTATATTTTAAGTAAATCAGATGCAAGGTGTTGTGACAAATGCTGAGAATTCCATTCTGTATTATAAGTACTGTCTGTTTTTGGAATAAAGTAGATTATTATTATTATTATTTTAATTAAAAGACAACACAACCGTTTCGAGGCTTGATAGCCTGAAGCCCTATATGTATATATGCTAGTATCTACTTTTCTAACACCTTCAAACATTCTGTTCACTTTTCGCTTTGCTACCGATATGTTGTTGTCATAATGAACTGAGATTTCCTTAGTCTATGTAGAATTCTCTTTATTGATAATGTACTAAGTGGATGCAATACTGTAGTAAAAATGTTGAGAATTCCATTCTGTGTTCACAAGTACTGGTTTTGGAATAAAGTAAATTATTATTGTTATCATTATTATTATTATGGCAACTCTAAAGAATAGGAGCCTATACCGAAACGATCTACGAACGCACAAACGATCTTGAGAAACCAATCAGGTGACTCTGTTGCTTTGACAATTAATTATGGATGCTCTACACCTCTACTGCGATTCCTAATCGCAGTGCTGGTGTATTATTGCCTATTATCCAGCGCTTAGTGCTACCCAGGACCACTATTCACACACCGGAATGGAGTAGTTATGGTCAATTGTCGAATCTCGAGTATATTCATCATGTAGTCAATCACACAAGCGGTTTTCGCAATCCTTTGGATGGAACTCATACTAATAGATTCGTGAACGGATTAAGAAATCCAATGATATACAGTTATCTGGATGAGTTTATATACAGAAGTTGGTTTAACATGAGTATGAAGACTCCTATGAAAAACTGGGAGCTTTTTTACAACATAGGTATAGGTTTAATCGATAACAACTCACCTTGCAAAGTAATCTGTGCAGGCTTCAACAATTCCATCATGGACTACACCCATTGTATTAATTAGCACACTTTTCGTCTGCCTACTACAAACAATTGGGAAGTCGATCAGATAGTGATTGGCGACAGCGACCAGTGCCTCCCGTGGCCATCGATGAAACCAGTCGATTGTACACCCGGATATTAATCCAGGGAATTTCAACGATCTCGCCCGAAACTTCTCACCAACTGGTGAAAAACACAAAACCACATGAAGGTTTTTCCGAGTTCTGCTGAGAAAATAATCAGCCAGATTCTCATTTGTAGGCGATAGCCGAGGATGCTCTTTTTTCATGCATGGGATTAAATCCTGCAAGATTTCATCCATTTCATCACGTGTGAAGAGATTTGAGATGACACCTCCTGAGGAGAGAACATTATTCAGGTATTCTAGGAAGCCTTCATCTTTGATTTCTTGATCTGTGAAAATGAATGTGATGCCACGACCTTTTTGTCCAGCTGTACGATACAGGAATTTGAGATCGTCCATCAAATTTGAAGTGTTATATGACCTAAGCAGTGAATAGTAGGGGGGGAAAAACAAAGGAGGAGATCATATTGTGGTGAGAGCTGTAAATGTGTACGTCCCAAAAATATTGGTCAAGACAAAGACTGACTCAACAACCAATCACAACACACTTTGTTTGCGTAGGCGGATACAATTAGCAGATAGATAGATGATCTGACCTTGAAGAAACAGTCGCAAAGAGATGAAAGATTAACTAACGTTCAGTTGGTCGGTCGGTCGGTTTTCGACATAGAACTTTGCACATATGTGCGGCAGTTCAAGTCGCCATACTCCCTCCACTTCATGTAGCACACAAAGGAAGAGAAGAAAGTAGGAGAAATGCATAATAGAGAGAGAGTAAACAGAGGTGTGGTGAGACAAAGGAATAGTAATAACGGAGAACAAAACAGTTTCATTGGAAATCATGAGTCACAAGAAGTTGATGCATCTGCACCACCAATTGTTTCCAACCATTGGTGTTTACCGTCCCGACGACCAAAACCAGGAAGCCAGTCTACATTTTCCTACATGGCTTAGACTAACTGTTGTAGATTTCATTGACTGGTGAAGTCATGTTTTCGTTTGACCGCCGCTAGCTCTTTTCCAGCCTGACCAATCCTATGTCAGCTAACATTGCCCATTGTCGATGAAGGCGATGACTAAGCATACGTAACACATGTCCTAACCATCTCAGTCGATGTAATTTCACAGTCTCGTCGACTGATTTCCCCTCCTACCTAACTAGCACTCGACTGATGCCTAACCTCAATATTGCTCACCTTATCATACCACTTCACACGGGAGATAGAACACAGACACCTATGATCGAAGACAGATAATCTTTTCATGTCTTCCACTCTCAATGGCCATGTCTCACAGCCATAAAGGAGGACGGAGCGGACTGTTGAGCAGTACACACGCCCTTTGGTCGATAGTCGGATATCACGCCTACGCCAGAGACGGTGTAAACTGGCATATGCGAAACTAGCCCTCTGTATCCGTACTCAGCTGAGATTTTGTCAGAGATCAACCCGTTGGCACTGGCTGATGGTACTTCCCAAATAAGTGAAGCGGTCAACGTGCTCCACCAACCACTTCACCCCCTATTTCTAAACTAGGAGTCGATGTAGTCCAATCCTGCAGCATCATCTTACATTTCACAGGGGTGAATCGCATGCCAAACATACGAAGATTGTTGCTCAAGGTGTTCAGTAGACTCTGCATTTTGTCAGTGTCCTCGCCTAGAAGGACTATATCGTCCGCATATTCTAAGTCGACGAGATTATTCCCTGGTAGCAAGTCAATCCCTGAGTCGCTGAAGTGTGTTAGGGTCAAGTCCATTAGTACGTCTATGATGAAGTTCAGTGAGAAACAAACAGCAGTCAGAAGACTGTGTTTCTTTGCTAACAATAATCTATAATAACAATGTACATGAAAATCTATAAATATCTGTTGATTTCGTAAATAAACGATCTGTTTGGCTGGCCCTCAACTTCTGTTGTTACAATATTACTGCTTGATATAGAAATTCAGTGCCACCTTCAGCATTACTGGCAAATAAGCTCAGCAAATGACAAATCAACACAGAATGGCGAAATGTACTAAGTTCTGTCTTTAACAGATGACAACATAAACCTTATTGTCCCAGTATTCTACAGTGTCAAATACAGACACCACTAGAATACATGATTCCTATTGAGCGAACTGATGTAGGATTCACTGGTGTTTTGCATTCAGGGAAATATTTGTGTGATGATGATGATGATGATGATGATGATGATGATGATGATGATGATGATGATGATGATGATGATGATGATGATGATGATGATGATGATGATGATGATGATGATGATGATGATGATGATGATGATGATGATGATGATGATGATGATGATGATGATGATGATGATGATGATGAGGATGATGATGATGATGATGATGATGATGATGATGATGATGATGATGATGATGATGATGATGATGATGATGATGATGATGATGATGATGATGATGATGATGATGATGATGATGATGATGATGATGATGATGATGATGATGATGATGATGATGATGATGATGATGATGATGATGATGATGATGATGATGATGATGATGATGATGATGATGATGATGATGATGATGATGATGATGATGATGATGATGATGATGATGATGATGATGATGATGATGATGATGATGATGATGATGATGATGATGATGATGATGATGATGATGATGATGATGATGATGATGATGATGATGATGATGATGATGATGATGATGATGATGATGATGATGATGATGATGATGATGATGATGATGATGATGATGATGATGCTGATGATGATGATGATGATGATGATGATGATGATGATGATGATGATGATGATGATGATGATGATGATGATGATGATGATGATGATGATGATGATGATGATGATGATGATGATGATGATGATGATGATGATGATGATGATGATGATGATGATGATGATGATGATGATGATGATGATGATGATGATGATGATGATGATGATGATGATGATGATGATGATGCTGATGATGATGATGATGATGATGATGATGATGATGATGATGATGATGATGATGATGATGATGATGATGATGATGATGATGATGATGATGATGATGATGATGATGATGATGATGATGATGATGATGATGATGATGATGATGATGATGATGATGATGATGATGATGATGATGATGATGATGATGATGATGATGATGATGATGATGATGATGATGATGATGATGATGATGATGATGATGATGATGATGATGATGATGATGATGATGATGATGATGATGATGATGATGATGATGATGATGATGATGATGATGATGATGATGATGATGATGATGATGATGATGATGATGATGATGATGATGATGATGATGATGATGATGATGATGATGATGATGATGATGATGATGATGATGATGATGATGATGATGATGATGATGATGATGATGATGATGATGATGATGATGATGATGATGATGATGATGATGATGATGATGATGATGATGATGATGATGATGATGATGATGATGATGATGATGATGATGATGATGATGATGATGATGATGATGATGATGATGATGATGATGATGATGATGATGATGATGATGATGATGATGATGATGATGATGATGATGATGATGATGATGATGATGATGATGATGATGATGATGATGATGATGATGATGATGATGATGATGATGATGATGATGATGATGATGATGATGATGATGATGATGATGATGATGATGATGATGATGATGATGATGATGATGATGATGATGATGATGATGATGATGATGATGATGATGATGATGATGATGATGATGATGATGATGATGATGATGATGATGATGATGATGATGATGATGATGATGATGATGATGATGATGATGATGATGATGATGATGATGATGATGATGATGATGATGATGATGATGATGATGATGATGATGATGATGATGATGATGATGATGATGATGATGATGATGATGATGATGATGATGATGATGATGATGATGATGATGATGATGATGATGATGATGATGATGATGATGATGATGATGATGATGATGATGATGATGATGATGATGATGATGATGATGATGATGATGAGTGCCAGTCACACTAACATTTGAATATTGTAAAGAAGTTTGGCGAAGTTCAAAAATAGAGTCCCAGGATTGTAAATGTTCCAATGACCTTGTGAATGTTCCAGTGACCCTGAGCGCATGCTAGTCATTGGTTGAGGAACCTTACCATTATTCTACCGCTAAAATGAACCCTGTTCATGAGCTCAGATGCAAATTCCATCCAGATCACGTTTTTCAGTACTGTCTAGATAATGGATTAATAGCACGTACTCGGATATGTACTTGTGGTGCTTCTATGAACCTGCAGGTGTATACGCAGGTCATTGACGGATATGTATTTAGATGTACACAGTGACAAAAAAAACGAATAAGTGTTCGTAATGGTAAGTGACAGTCTCAGTTAATTGTCTTCTAGGAAGTTGCTTTGAAAAGTCAAAACTTTCGTTGACCAATATCCTGTTTCTGTCCAATTATTGGGTTTTTAAGTCCGGGGTGAGATCAACTACCGCTCAAACAGCTAATACAATGATGTCTACTGTGCAATGGTTCCAATTTTGTCGAGATTCGACGTCATGGAAAATGAACACTATTACACAAGTTTTAGTAGGAGTCGGTGTCGTGGTGCATATCGACGAAACGTTCCTCGTAAAGAAGAAATATAATTGGGGACGTGCCAGAGCAAATAACGTTTGGGTATTGGGGATTTCCGATACCCAAACTCGAAAAGGATTTATCGAACTTATTCCAGATAGGAGTGCTGAGACTCTTCTGCCAATTATCCAGAGACTCGTCTTACCAGGCACCACCATTCACACTGATGAATGGGCTGCATTTAACCGATTATCCGATTTGGGATATATACACCACCGGGTCAACCATTCCAATGACTTCCTCGACCCCAGAATCGGTACCGATCATACGAATTCAATAGAAGGTTTCTGGGGAAGACTGAAAAATAGAATCAGAGCGATCAACGGATCTCAAAACGAATTTGTTTTCAGTCACCTAGATGTATATATGGATAGAAATTGGTTCAATTTAAAAACTAAAACCCCTATACAAAATTGGGAGATTTTTTTAAATGTCATATTAGAGAAAAATATCCTGTTTAATGTTTTTTTTATGCTTTTTTATATAAATATACGTAAAATTTTATGCAAAAATCATCCTTTTTTCTGATTGGTCGGCTCAAGGTCACTTGTGCGTACGCATTGCTTGGGACTCTAATGTTGAACTTTGCCAAAAGTTTGAAGTGGAAATGTTAGTCAAGCAGGTTATCTGTCTTAGAGAAAGAAAATTAACACCACTCTGAAGTTTGAAAGGGACACTAGTCCTTTCTTTGGTGCATGACTGGATTCTATCGGTCAGTCAGTCAGGTTTTCAATGTTGCCACCATGAGTTTGTCGGTAACTCAACATCATGGTGTACACATCGCTTTGTTGACAACTAGATGGTTGGAGGTAATCAGTTGGAAGCCTTCCTTGCACCTAGGTTTCAGGCTAGTTGGCACTCACCAGTCAGTCAGCAAGGCGTACCTACAATCTTCAGGGAGCTTATTTCCCTTCTGAGATTCAAAATTGTGTCAGTCAGTCGGCTGCAGTCAGAGACGTTACCAGCACTGAGCTATTCGGAGTCATTAAAAATAACCAACTAAGTAACTAACTAACTAACTAAAATGGTGTACAGAGGAGGAATAAAACACAATCACAATGTAGCAAAAATATTCATTCAGACATCTATAAAACACAAAATATCATTGAGTCAGCAAAGAATATCCTTTTCGATAAATTCCTCCTCTTCTCGCTCTACAATTATATGCATATATGCATGTTTATACACATAGAATATTCCAGATTAGTAGTCAATAACAATATTAGTGTGTGCTTTTTAAATAATATCGATTTGTAAAGTAAGATCACAGCGGAATCACCACAGTTCATTAAAGATGCTTGAATAATAATAATAGTAATAATAATAAAGATATAGTAGCAAATAGAATATCAACTAAAATTAGGAAAATTACACAAAAATTCAGGATCGATCATTCAAACCTAGATGGCCAAGCGGGTAAGGATGGATAATGTCTGAACTAACCAACTTCTTTTGGATGCACAATTTAGACTTGTTAATATGAATCCAAACGACCAGCCATCCTCATCAATATTTAGTAGTCGAACTCTTAAGGCGAAATTGAGATTTGTTAGTTGGTATGCGGTAAATGACCCTGAAAGCCGCCTGGTTAACATCAATCAGTCTTGTGTTCTGTATCCACAAGAAGATGAGTGAGATAGAATAGCGCTGTGAATAGATGGATTTTGTTTGTCCTTTGCTTAACCAACCAACCACTGTGCAGGGTGGGTGATGTTCGGAAATTCGACGAGAAACACGCCTAATTGTGTACGGCCTATGCAAGTAACTGACTGGCTCACTCCACAGCAGGAGCAGTTCAATTGGTAGATACACATACATGGAAGAGGCGAAATTAGGCAGTTTGTCATTTACTCCCGAACGAACGCAAGAGAGGAGTGGGTGGTTTTGAAGACACAGTACAATGGTAAACGATGGTAATCGATCCATCAAAGCATTTTCTGTATTGTACTCATGAGTCATATTATTTCAGTAATACCTTCAATTGTCATATTCTACACTTGCTACTCCGTGTTCCAATGTAACAATAATAATAATAAGCACGGAGATCAATTCGACTGGGACAACCAGCGTTCAAATATTAGACAGAGGAAACACCAAGCATGCTAGAGAACTTTTAGAAGCCTACCTGGTATTCCAGTGAATCATCAATCAATAGACACATCGAGATAGACAAAATTTACCAACCGTTAAGAAAGAAACCTCAAAGGTCAGGTCAAGGAAACAATCAGTACCAATACAAGTAACCCAAAGGGTGTGAAAGCACATGAAAACAACCAATCACCTTCAAAATCACCCACCAGCAGAGATGACTAATGAAGTCGTGGGAAAATTTAAAAGCTCACTTCAAATTGAAGTGTATGCACTGAATATGTTGCCTAGTAGGGCGATGAAAGCTTTGCAAATTAACCATCCAGTTCAGGGAACACAACCACATCAAAATAAGTACGTTTCAAAATTTATTCTGAGGAAGGTAAAATACAGGAGAAATAGAGTAATTGGATATCCGGTATGTTAATGGTCTTCGTGTTGAACACATCAAAATAATGGTGTACTGATGAGAACACCTGAAGAAGAACTATCCGATTTGCTCATATATATATATATATATATATATATGATTTAAATTAATCCCAACATGTTTAGAAAATCAAAACAAGATCTGTTTTCTGAACGTTTCACCGTGTAAGCTGCCACAGCTTCTTCAGCAGATTTTTTCGGATTTTATTAATCATCAAAATATATAGTCAAAACATTTTCACATAAATTGAAGTCAGTTTATTTGAAGGTCTCTCGTCGACAGACATTTGTACCATTAGAAAAAATGTAAGCAGTCATCAATTAAGTATTTGTAATGACTAATGTCAAATTAAAAGTCAATCTGAACGAAGAATATTCTTTTCAATAATTTCTCTTCAGGTTCTTACAATTATAAAATATAATATTTGTTGTCGTTACAATAAGGCCAGTTATGCGGCAGATACATTTTTAACGTAGAATAACAGATTAGTTATGGGGTGTCAAAATAAATAGTCGTATTTGTGTGACAAACGTGCTAGGCTGAATTCGATTACAAAATAATGTAAAACGGGAGACAATGGTGATTAATCATAATAGATTTGTAGAGTGGGGGAGGAAAATTGACAAGTCAGTTCAAGGTTATAAAAGGGTGTCAGGTGAGTGGCTAGTACAAAGTGGTCTGTGTTAAACAGGAGATAGTAAGACTGCATTGGGAGGTTCATAATGAGATAACGAATATGTGAAATGAAACAGGTGGAGGCATATATTGAGAAAAGAGAAAATATCACTAAATAATATGTCCGGATAGTATAAATGAAATATTCGATAGTATTGAGAGAATGTTTGCATGAAGGGCATAAATTATGACGAATAATGATAATATTAATGATAATAATAATAGTAATAATTGTAATAATAAGCAAAGGAAAAAAAAAAAGCCAAGAGGGTTAAGGGGAAGGAGCACTCTTGGTGAGAAGAAGAATCATCAATCCAAGTTTGGCCACGGTAGGAACAGCGTCTGGACGTGTTCTTTTTGGATACAAACTTCCGGTTTACTCGATCTTATTGCAACAGCTTCAGATATGTGTAGAAGACGTAAGCGAACTGTACGTGATAACGACTTCGGAATTCGGTATATAACCCTGAAAGCTGTGTTGACATCGATATGATGTCCAGTATCGACCAAGTGTGACAGGATCGAGCTTTTTATGCACTTAATTTCCCCTCTGCTGAACCAAGCTGGTATATGTTCTCGAACCCGTAGACGAACCTGCCTAATCGTGCGCCCTATATAACTTGAACCACAGGAACAGTTGAAATGGTATATGCATGAAGAAGAGCTAAGATTAGGTAAAACATCTTTGAGTTGCTGGGTGAACATTGGACGGCTACTGAAGGATAGACACAGACGTGCAGAGTAGAAAGTTTTCTTGATCGCCCTGGTTAAACGTTGCGATAGAATCTCCGCAGGAGTATCTCCCTTGAATTGGAGACGTAAAAACAGAGGCTTTTTCTCCACCGTTGTCAGTTCATGTTTACGGCTATTGTAACCTATGTTTGCTTCAATGAACTTCTCTGGATATCCGTTCTCATTTAGAATGTCTCGGATGACCTGGAGTTCTTTCTCTACACAGTCTTCGGAACAGATCGACCTTGCTCTAAATGCTAAGCATCTGATCAGATTGCGTTTGTATTTCATCGGTACAAAGCTAAGGAAGTGTGTATACTGAGCTTTGGTCTCTAGCTTTCTAAATATGGTTCTTTTGACGGAACCATCCTCTCTTCTCGTTAGTAGGACGTCGAGGAAGTGTAGAGAGTCGTTGCATTCTCCTTCGTAGGTGAAATGGACCGCTGGGTGAGCATTATTGAAGTTGCTCAAAATCAAATCACTACTTAACCCTTCATCGTACACTACAAAAGTGTCATCCATGTAACGACAGTACATTTCCATATTTGCTATTTCCTCTTTCAACGGACTATTTTCTAGTTTTGCTAGAAATATATTCGCGAAAATAGGTCCCAGTGGGGATCCCATGGCTACTCCATCAATCTGTCTGTATATTTCATTATTAAACAAGAACTGAACATTTGCTGTACATTTAGCAAGTAGTTGTTTCAGATTACTAATCGGAATATCAGTGCACAATTTCTTTTCTATAATCTGTTCGCAGATATAGTCGATGGTTTCCACTAGAGGCACATTAGTGAATAGAGATGAGACATCAAGTGATGCCATGTATTTGCCAGTTGTGTTCAAGTTTTTGATCTTATCAATAAATTGAAAGGTATCCTTGACGCTATGCTTTACTAATTCGTCATGCAAGGGTTGAAGTAGCTGTACCAGCCACTTCGCTGTCTCGTGATAGGGTGAATGAGACATATCTATTATGGGGCGTAGGGGTACTCCTGATTTATGCACTTTCGGTAGACCATACATGCGTGAGATGGTGCTACCTGTGGGTTTTATGTTTTCGAAAGTCTTTGGTGATATATACCCCTTACTCTTCAAATCCTTTAATAAGTTTGTTATTTCTTTCTCTACTTTCTCCGTATGATCTTTCATTGCTTTCGGCTTCTGAAACTTGCTGCCGTCAGCTAGTATGGAGTTCATCTTGTTGATGTAGTCCTGCCTATCCATAATGACTATCCCCGGTCCCTTATCCGGTCTCGTAATAACTATGCTTTCATTTCGTCTTAGTTTTTTAACAGCTTCTCGATGTGCTTTTGTGAGTATACTATGGGGCTTATTCTTGTCCTTCTGTCTATACTGATAGCAACAGTCTACCAGGATTGATTTGAATCTTTCTAGGTCCTCATCAGAGGAGGCGACCAAGTCCCCTGTTTGTATATAGAAGTTCTCGAACTGTACATCGGTGTCAATCTGACTAATCTCCGTACGAAAATCGCAAAACTTAGGTCCTAGAGATAACGCTTCAAGTTGTAGTTTGTCAAGAGTCACGCTAGAAAAGTTATGCACGTACCTTTCGGGATTAGCAGGAAATCTACATTCGGGAGTTCGGCTTTCTAAGCCTTTCATAAGTTGTGTTCGTTTTTTCGAGGAATTTGATTCGGCGATTTCATCGACATATTCCATAAATTGTAGTCTCATATCCTCTGGAAGGTCGAGAAGTGCATAATTCATAATATGGGAATTTTCGACACTATCAAATCTTATAATGTCAAATTGTTGTTGTGTTCACTCTCATATAGTTGATTTATAAAGATTAGTTTTGTATGAGTGTGTGTGTGTATGTATGTTATTTGTCCTGTGGAAAAGACGTGAATTCATATATGATAAACATGATCCTACATGTTTTCAAAGGTCATGGAGGCTCATTTAGTGTTTATTGATTTTTTCATCTGTCTTGCTTCATTAGAGTTTGCCATATAGGTGGTGATAAGTTTATCCCTTCTCTCCTTCCTATTCACTGCATTCTATGTGGTTCAAATGTGCAGGGCTTCAGAGGTGTCAACCTTTTTTTATGTGCTGAATGAAATTCTCTTCCAAGAATTTCGACATTGTCGAAATCAATCGTATGTCCGCTGTCCATCGCATGCATTGCTATAGCCGATCTTTTTTCTAGACTTTTTAATTCTACTTCATTTCTAGGTGGACGTTTCTTGCATTCATTCCGACTTTCACCTGCCTACTGCTCTCCCCTATATAGCATGCATCACATTCTGAACACATTATCTTGGAAGAGGATTTCATTCACATAAAGAAAGATTGACTTCTGAAAACCTGCACATTTTAACCACATCGAATGCAGTGAATAGGAAGGAGAGAACGGATAGACCTACCACCTATATGGCAAACTCTAATGAAGCAAGACAGATGAAAAAAACGACAAACACTATATGAGCCTCCATGACCTTTTAAAACATGTAGGATCATGTTTATCACATATGAGTTCACGTATTTCCCATATGACAAATAACACACATACACACACACACTCATACAAAACTAATCTGTACAAATCAACTATGGGAGAGTGAACACAACTACCATTTGACATTAGTCATCACAAATATATGTGATGACTGCTTATCCATATTTCTATTGGAACTAATGTCCATGGACAAATGACCTTCAAATAAACTGACTTCAATTTATGTAAAGAAAATTTTCTTGACCATATATTTTGATGATTAATAAAAATCCGAATAAATCTGCTGAAGAAGTTGTGGCAGCTTACACAGCGAAACGTTCAGAAAACAGATCTTGTTTTGATTTTCTTCTTTTCTTAAACACGCTGGGATTAATTTAAATAATTTAAAATAAATCAATCTGACTCGGCGCTCAAATTATTCCAGGAAGTTCGTAACACCTACGGCCTGGAAACCTGTTAGAAAGACGGTTGCAGAGACCGTCAACTAGGCTGTGCATTCGTGTATTTATAATAAATAGGTGGGAAGTTCCAGAATAATTTCCGGTTAAGGATCAAATTAATAAAAATTACAATTAGGAATTAAAATGCCATAATAAACACACAGGGGTCGGGTAAAACTCAAACAAAGTAGCATCATAATTACTGAGAAGATTGACATTGATTGTGCAATTAAGGGTTAGAAATGTAGAAATAACAAAATAGATAGACAGGATGTTTGGATAACGAAAAAAAAATCTAGTAGGATCATAACTAATGCAACGAATAATTGTTTATGCAATCATATTCATATCACCTAATCGTGAAGTGGTTGGTAGAAATTCTTGGACCAGTGAAAGAAAATTTTTGTCGAGATACAACCTCCGCGACACATTCGATTTCGTGGATTCAATTAAAAATGTCAGCCTTGTAAATGAAAAGATGGTCTCCCTAGACGTCTTCTCTCTATTCACCAATGTTCCACTGACAGAAACTATATGTTTTCTGTGTGACTTCATCCAATGCAACAGCATAAATGTCGGTATACCGATCCATTATCTAAAGGAGCTGTTACTACGTTGCACCTTCAACGTCTACTTCAGATTCAACGATGAAATCTACAGGCAAACAGATGGCGTAGCAGTGGGCTCTCAACTCGCACGCCTTCTAGCCGACTGTTTTATGGCCAGCCTCGAAAACAACCCCTTATCATCAACTATCGACGACCTTCATCTCTACAAGAGATACATTGATGATACTTTCATCATTTGTGATGAGAACCTGGACCTTGAAAACTTACTTCAAACATTCAACAATGTCCACCAAAACATCGACTTTACTCTTGAAGCCGAATCCAACGGAATGTTCCACTTCCCCGACGTCCATCTGACAAGAAACGCTGACAACTCTCTGAAAAGGTCCATACGCAAAAAGCCCACATGGACTGGACAATTCATCAACTTTCAAAGCTTCATGCCCCTATGCAGAAAGAGGAACCTGATATACGCTTTTTCCTCAAGGATTCGTGATGTAAGCAGCGAGGAGGTGATTGATGAAGAACTGAGTAATCTCCGAAGATCCCTGAGATGGAAAACGGTTTTCCGTCTAGGTTCATAGACAAGAACCTCAAATCAAAGAAGACCTCTGAACAAGTCTAATCAGTCCCGAAGAAGATACTTCTGCTTAATCTAAAATTCAAAGATGGCATTGAAGCAGAAATCCTGCGTAAACGCCTCTGCAAATTTCTGAGGAAAACATACTTCGCTGCGAGCATAAGACTGACGTTTACCAGCAAGAAACTATTCAGGCTCGACAGTTATATATACATTATAATGAATAAATGAAGTAGTCTCATGAACGACATTAATGTTGCTGTTTAAATAACATCAAATCAATAATATTGATAAATTACAGGTGAACAGCATCAACATCAAATAAACTGAATGTCAGAAGAATTATGAAAGATAATAGTACAAATTCATGAGTTTATAGTTTCTACTGAGGGCCAGTGCAGTAATAGGGGATGGACTTCCTTCTTTTGAACACAGAGCACTGGTTGTTTGAGGCGAATTGCAATAGCCTTTGATGTTTGGAGCATGTGGTGTTTCGATGATGATTTTGGCAATCTATGTGGCACCCGGTATATTATAGAGAAGGATTCTTCTACGCTGGCTTTGTGACCGGTTTGCACCAGATGGTCTAATATCGAGCTGTTAATAGTTTCAACTACACCTTTACTTAGCCGTAGTGGGAGATGTTCTCTGTCGAGCGAGCGAGCACGAAAAATCAAGTTCCTAGAGCAACGGCCAACATAACCCGCTCCACAAGCGCAGTTGAATTGATAAATACAATTTGAAGTGGCTAGCTAGTCTAGATACTTCATCTTTCAGTCGAGGTGGCACCGTCGATCGTGTAGAGAATAATACGTGTAGTTCGCCAGCATAAAACGTTCTTTGAACTGATTTTCTTAATTTCTTCGCAATTAACTCGCTTGGTATATCGCCCATGAATTGTAGTCGTAGATAAAGTGGCTTCTTGTTTACAAATAGTGAGTAGTCCTTTACCGCCGCTTTCTTTGTCACATGTTTCTTGATAAATTTGTCAGGATAACCATCTTCGATTAAAGTATCATATGCCATGCTTAATTCATCTTCGATTACTTCTTCAGAGCATATAGCTCATATATATATATATATATATATATATATGTAAAAGTTAAAAACAGTTAACACTCCGCCTGATATATTCTATCTTACCTTGTCAATGTGATTTGAAATGTCTGATAGCCAGCTATGTAGGATGCCAATTTTGTAAACGATTGTTTTCCCGACCCACCAACGCCGACTAGTAAAGCATTACCACGTGGCATATATAAAATTCTAGCTATACGTACAATTTGTGTTAAAGTATCTTGAAATAAGACTAAATTCATTCGTGCACCACGGATCGATTCATTGTACTGACGTAGAAACATGTCCAGACGTTCCGATAATTGTTGAAATGATTCAATCTAGATTAATGATACACAAAAGGAAAAATAAATTAAAAGTGTTTTACTGCTCAAAATAAAAAAAATGAATGACATTATTATTATATTATTATTATTGTTTCCTTTTATTCCTAGAGGAACATAGGGCTTCAGCCGTGCGTCTCCACTGCGTTCAATTCTCTGCTAGAGTCTTCACCTGGCTCCAAGTCTGCCCACACGTTTTCATCTCCTCTTCACATTGACTCCTCCAAGTCACCCACCCTTGCACTGACGACCAACTCGCCGCTTCCCTTTTGGGTTCCACTCGAGTACTTGTCTAGTGATGTCACTTGATGGTTTGTTTCCTCAGAGTATGGCCACAATCCTATCCGCCTTCATTTCTTCCTGCCTATTTGTTTCACAATCGGTTCCTGCTGTGTTGGTTCGCTCATTGCCAGAGATCTTTGTTGCTGATCTTTTGTGGCCATCTGATCTTGAGTGGTATTAAGCGAAGACAACTGTTGATGAAGGTCTGTAGTTTGTTTGATGTGCTCTTCATGACGCGCTGGCTAGGTCTGTGATCCGTATAGTGAGTAGCACTGACTGACTTCACATTGGAGTTGAAAATCCGGATCCTATTTTTCATTCTGAGTGCTGTTCATCTCCACACAGACTTGATGAGGGAAAAGAAAGCTTACTTTGCCTCCCCAACCCTCGCCTTGATGATTCTTGCTTTCATATCCTCGTCAGTTCCGTCCACCTGTAGTTGAAACGATGCTTCTCAGGTGGGTAGATGAGTAGATAAAGCAGGTTGCTTCTTTCAGATTTCTCCTATTTATGCTGGCTGATTGTTGTCTGTTGTTGTTGTTGCTATTGCGGTTGCTGTTGGCCAGGAATCTTCATCGCCTCTGTTTTGGTGGTTCTTCTGTCAACCTTTCGCCTTTGACATGCATATCACCTTCCAGTTTGTGGGAAATTAGACAAATATCATCGGAGAAGTCCAGGTCCTGACTAATGAAGAGTCACAAAAATTGGACAAAACACCTATGCAGTTTACAATAGCTAACTGATTAGTAATGTATACATTGCAACAGGCTTCATTTATAAAGGTTAGAGTAAATATTTAGGACAGCGTATAATCTATTTCAACGAATCTACGAGGAGTTTTCAAAAAAAACTCAAAAATTGCTTCACTACACCCAACTTAAGAAGATCACATTCTATAGATCTTCAAAAGAGGAAAGCGTTTACACTACAACAGCTAAGTTAATTCAGGAAATATCAAACTATTAATGATAAATAATCCCCATAAATCACCGAAAATAGCCATTGAGTAGTCATGAAGAGAATAAAAGACAAATTCAGCGAAGAAAATTTTCTCTTTATCAACGAAATCATCTTCACAGGCTGGCTGGCTGGCTGTACAGTCGTATATATACTTACCAAAAATGTATAGTAGTCTGTTATTGAGTAAAAGAGGTAGTGGTGGGGCGAAGTGATCTCGTTGATATAATTACTCAGAAGTGGCTTTAGAAGTAAGAAAGAAATTAAAAGTTGTAAATTACGTGGTACTCAACGGTACAAAGATAGAAATTTGATAAGAAAGGTTAAAATGGCTATTGAGTGAGAGAGAATAAAGGTGGTAGTTGAGTGTCAATTGAACGAGTGTGTCGAGAGGGTGTGAAAATGTACAACAGGGAGCATATGAGAGTGATAATAGTGAATTAATTATTAAAGTAAAAGTAAACTAAAAACAAAATGAAAATGAAAAGAAAAAATCAAAATATTTTTATTTACAAGGAACGACTAATGAAGAGGTTAAGACCAAGGTAGAATAAGAGACTGGACAATTTTTTTCTGTTTACAGAGTTTGGGGTTGTATTAACGAATTGCCAGCACCTGCACCATACACAAAAGCCGAAACGTGACGCCCTTTGTACCATTTGGCCTCACCCTGTAATTGATCTTGAAAGACGCCTCTGGTGGAGCAGAGTGGCTTGAGTTCACCAAGTGCTCGAGATTTAAGTTACTAACTGTCTTGCATTGTTCTTTTAATTTTGATATGGTTGTGTTCTCTGAGCTGGATAGTTAATTTGTGATGCTTCCATCGCCCTACTAGGCGATATCTTCCTTCAGCGCATACTTCGATTTGAAGTGAGCTTTCAGATTTCTCCACGAGTTTATTAATCATCTCTCCTAGTGGGTGGCCTTGGACTTGATTTGTTGTTTTTGTGTGTTTTCACACCTTCTAGGTTATTTGTATTGCAATTCATTGTTTCTTTGACTTGAACTTTGACCCTTTGTGTGTGAGGTTTCTCTCTTATCGGTTGGTAGATTTTGTCAATCTCGATGTGTCTTTGATTGATGATTCACTGGAATGCCAAGCTTCTAAAAATTTTCGAGCATTCTTGGTGTTGTCTCCTCTGTCTAATATTTGAACGTTCGTTGTCCCAGTCGAAATGATGTCCGTGGTTGTCTGTATGTAGTGATATGAGGGAGTGGATATCATGTCTTTTGACAGCTAGCTTACGTTCGTGGATACGAAGACGAAGGGGACGTCCACTTTGGCCAATTCAGTAAGTGTTTTCGCAGTTGATGCAATCTATTTTGTAGATGATGTTGGTTTTATCTTCCTTCGCTGTTGAGTCTTTTGGTTGACATAGAATTGAGTGGAGTGACTTCGTTGGTTTGTGTACGACGTCAATTCCTCAAGGTTTGAAGAGTCTTGCAGTGATTTCTGATATATCCTTTATATATGGTAAGGCGATTTTTTGTGCTTTCCTTGAGAGCTTTTGTTTTGATAGGTTGGCTTGGGGGTATATGTCTTTTCATCCATCGATTCTTTTGGAAGACGTCCATGAGATATTTTTCTTCAATTTTCCTTAAGGTGGGAGTGATGCAATGACTCCTGGCTCTCTTGAATAGTTCTTTAATTTTTACAATTACTAACTTAAATTTCGAGCACTTGGTGAACTCAAGCCACGTAGCTCCACCAGAGTCGTCTTTCAAGATCAGTTACATGGCAAGACCAAGTGTTACAAATGGTGTTAGATTTCGATATTGGTGTATGGGGCGGAGGCGCTGGCAATTCGTCAATGCAACACTAAACTCTGTATACAGAAAACGTTTGTCCAGACTCTTATTCTATTATAGTCTTAGCGCCTTCATTAGTCGTTCCCTTTACTTTAATAGTTAATTCACTATTATCACTCTCATTTGCTCCCTGTTTTACATTTTCAAACCCTCTTCACACTTGTTCACACTTGGACACTCAACTACCACCTTTATTCTCTCTCACTCAATAGCAATTTTAAACTTCCTTATCAAATTTCTGTCTTTGTACCGCTGAGTACCAGGTAGTTCACAAATTTTGTTGTTTTTTACTTCTAAAGCCACTTCTGAGTAATTATATCAATTATGTCACCCCCACCCTATAACTCAATAATAGACCACTATATATATTCGGTAAGTATAAATACGACTGTACAGCCAAGCCAGCCTGTGAAGATGATTTCATCGATAAAGAGAAATTTTTCTTCGCTGAATTTCTTTCTTTAATTTTCTTCATGGGTATTTTCGGTAATTTAAAACAATTAGCAATAAATAGCGAAACGTCAGTAAAAAAACAACAATGTCCTTGATATAAGAATAAAACTTGTGCACTGTATTAGAGTGTAATTCCATTATGGGTAAATTTTGTTTTGATAAAGTCTCAAAGTGTTATACAGTAATGTTTACTGATGACCAAGTTTCGAGCACAATTTATTATTGCCGCTCATAATCATATCAAGGTAATCACACGACTTCCTAAATTCATTTATATAGATAGTTCCGTTGTTTTTCACTTGATTTGATTGGTAGTAGTGGTATTTTCCATATTTCGGGTATGAGTGATGAATCACTCCTATTGCATGTGTTGGGTGTAGACTCGATGAACCAGCCAGGATTCAGTAATCAACCTCTCTTGCTCTCCACCTACATAGATTACTTCTTAGAATTTTAACCTTCTCCCACCATGCTATTGTGTGGTTGTGTGTTAATGCATGCATTGCAATTGCTGAGCTTTTTTCTAAATTACTTATCTTCTCGGGTGGGGTCAACCATTCTTACCTTAGCTAAGTTCTTATGTTCCAACAATCTGACTACCCCTGACCTACTAGTTCGACCTATGTAGTTGACCTCACAGTCATTGCAGGGTACTTTGTAAATGATATTATTTCGTCTAATTGGGTCAACCTATAGGGTCCTGCAACCTACAGAGCTTGTCCCTGAGTGAGTTTGTAGGTTTAAATGCCACCACCATCCTAATTCCTGCTTTGTTATTTAGAATCCTACGTAGGGTCTCACATGTCCCCTCTTTATATGGTATAACTGTAGATGACTTATATTCTTTCTTATTTATCTTATTATTACTAGTTTCACAATTCTTTTTCTTTTTCTTTTGGCCTTTTTCAATCTTCCTAATGAATTTTAAAGCAGAGTTAGTTATTTAACACCAACGCCTCTTCTATCTGTTTCATTTCATCATTTAGGTTTTTTTTGTGCTACTTAGTGCTATTGCTCGGTTTGTTAAACACTTAACTAAGCCTGCCTTAACAGTTAACGGATGAGATGAATTAAAGTCTAAATATCTATTAGCAGAATGCGTTGGTTTTCTATAAACACTAGTGTGCAGTTTACCTTCTTCTATTCGTTTTATTTTACAATCTAACACATCACAGCTAATTCTCTTTGCTCATTTTCGGCTTCAAATGTGAATTTTATTCCCTCCACTAGTGAGTTTATATGTGTCAAGGAGCTAGAGAGAGAGATATGTTCTGTTTTTAACACTGTGAAAGTGTCATCCACATATCTCCACCATGTTTTTGGAGTAGGATTAAACGTATTAAGAGCCATATTTTCCCAGCTATCCATTAATATATCTGCTACGATAGGGGATATTAATGATGCATCCCATTGCTACACCTTCTGTTTGTCTATACATATTTTGCCTTGGAATTTAAAGATAGTAGATGTGAGTGAGGCACAACTGAATTCCTAAAATAATTTCATCAGTGGGTAGTTTCGTCCTATAATTGAGTTCAGGGTCTGCAGTTAATTCTTTTTTAACTGCTTCTAAGGCGGGTATATTGATTGGTATGTTAGTATGACTGTATAACACTGTGAGACTTTATCAAAATAAGATTTACCCATAATGGAAACACAATGTCCTTTTGTTTTTCATTCATTGCGACATGCAAACACCAGTGATTATTATCATGGATTGGATTTGATGTTAATATGTTGACACCCACCAATCACCAGGAGGAGTAAGTTTCACACAGAATACGCAGTGTGACGGCTACAGACTTATCTGGGAATTACATGTAATATGATTGGTCTATTTGACCAGAGGTGTGATAGTAGATAAGTGAATACTATGAAAACATAAGTCGACAAGGGGATAGGGAGAAGAGATGAATTGGTCACATTGGTCGTATTTGTGTGACAAACGTGCTAGGCTGAAACGCATTACAAAATTTGTAAAAAATTATATTTGTAAAATCTCAGCGATATTGAAATGAGTAATTCCAACGTTTCGTTCGGCAATCTGGTCCGAAATTCTTCAGGGAAATTAATCAAAATTAACAGAGGTTTCTTATATATATATAAGGCACATCTTTTGTTTTTAAAACTTTGTCCAATCATGATTCATAAACACAAGTATTAACAAGTATAATAAACAAAATTGTATGAGCTGTGATCAAAATTTGACCTCGGACCACTTACAAATATTGGTCCACATTTGTTAAACACTTTCAACAGAGTGTGTATATGTGTGTGGGTGAACAGTTGTAAAACATTTCTTAACGTCTCCATAGGAAGATATAGACAGTCGAGAATTTTGACCGAGTATTAATAATTAGTGATACATATCCATTCTTTTAAAATTTATTAATAAGGATTTCCTATGCATCACCTAACATCACACCCTCATGTCTGTTCAAACTGTTAGTATCTAGAATTTTATGATTAGACGTATATTTTCAAAATTATGGTGTTTAGGATTAGAGTTTAGTTGAAGAGCACCCTGTCGAACTTATTGCTTTGTCTTCGTCTTTCTGAAGATTGAGCTGCTTTATTCGACCTACTGGAGTGGTCAGGTGACTCGACAGCTACGGATTTAGGATATGCATTATTCTGTTGCAGACAACGGAGATTGAAAACACGATTATTGTGCCAATTACACGTAGTTTCTTTGTTAATTTAATTCGATTGCAAAATAATTCAAATGAACTCTGTCTGTCGTCAAGATTTGACAGGACAGTTTTAAAATATTTGGGCGCCAAGTAAGAAGTAGACATTTGTAAAAAATTATATTTGTAAAATCTTGACGACAGTTCATTTGAACCATTACAAGAATCCTCACTGAGTGATATGAAAAAGAGAAGACATTCAGCGAAGAAACTCTTTTCGACGGCGAATTCATTCAGATAGCTAGATGTACAATCGCATTTATATGTAATTATTTGTGTGTGTGTGTGTACATGAGGTTTTTCAAGTTTAGATAATTGATCAGGTAGGTAATACAAGAATGATCTAATATAGAAACAAGGTTAATTAGACAGCAACTAAAGTAAGATTGAGTTAGTTAGTAAGTTAGATGACGACGTAATAGAATTGACTAAAATGCTTCAACCTAGGTCAGGATAGCAACAGAGGTAATTACAGGTAGAGACTAAGTAGTGGTGGGGGTGGGTGGAGAATAATGCCATTTAAATTAGGACTAAAAGTAAGCAGATAAATTGGATGACGTAGCATAAATGACTAGAAATTGAGCATTGGTCAAGTCGGTAACAGTAGTAATGAGGTGCAGAAATCAAAACGGGTGGGAGTAGAGAACAAGAAGGTTGAAAATGTAAAATATTACAATTGAGAAGACAAAATAATACTAATGAAGAGACAGAGAGAAAGGGAATTTACTTGTCGGGTATTGAGACACATTACGTCCATTGCAAGTGTGTAGTGATTGAACGGACTTCTTCTGTATGCAGAGTTCAGGGCTTAGCAAGTGAATTGCCATTGCTGGTACAAAGGGCGTCACGTTTCAGCTTTTGTGTATGGCGGAGGCTCTGGCAATTCATCAATACAACCCTGAACTCTGTATACAGAAAAAGTTTGTCCAGTCTCTTATTCTACCTTGGTCTTAACCTCTTCACTAGTCGTTCCCTGTAAAAAATTTTAATTTTTTTCTATTTTTTTAAAAATTTTCAATTCTACTTTTAGTTTGCTTTCACTTCAAATAATTAATTCACTATTATCACTCTCATATGTTCCCTGTTGTACATTTTCACACCCTCTTCACACTTGTTCAATTGACATTCAACTACCACCTTTATTCTCTCTCACTCAATAGCCATTTGAACCTTCCTTATCAAATTTCTATCTTTGTTCCGTTGAGTACCACGTAATTTACAACTTTTAATTTTTGACTTCTAAAGCCACACTTCTCATTAATTATATCAACGAGATCACTTCGCCCTACCACTATCTCTTTTACTCAATAACAGACTACTATACATTTTTGGTAAGTATAAATACGACTGTACAGCCAACCAGCCAGCCTGTGAAGATGATTTCATTGATAAAGAGAAAAGTTTCTTCTATAAAGCACAAAATAATTGAGCCAGCAAAGAATATCCTTTTCGATAAATTCCTCCTCCTCTTCTCGCTCTACAATCACATATATATGCATGTTTATATACATAGAATATTCTAGATTAGTAGTCAATAACAATATCAGTGTGTGCTTTTTAAATAATATCGATTTGTAAAGTAAGATCACAATGGAATCACCACAGTTCATTAAAGATGCTTAAATTATAATAATAATAATAATAGTAATAATAATAATAATAAAGATTTATTTATTTTTTTATTATTTATTTTGGTTACAGCTTGATGCCACACCGTATTTTCAGTACAAGGATGGAATTTTCAGCATGGATATCGGTAGCCCAAATTTTGCAGGCCGACCATAGATATCGGGTGTGCGTCTTCCGGGGATCGAACCTCGGACCATGTGCATGGTCGGCGAGAGTCCTAGCCACTGTGCAACCGACGCAAATAGAATATCAACTAAAATCTGGGGAAAATTCCACAAAAATTCAGGATCATTCAAACCCTGATGACCAAGCGGGTAAGGATAATGTCTGAACCAACCAACTTCTTTTGGATGCACAAATTAGGCTTGTTAATATGGATCCCAACGGCCAGCCAGCCAGCCTCATCAATATTTAGTAGTCGAACTGTTAAGGCGAAATTGAGATTTGTTAGTTGGTATGCGGTAAATGACCCTGAAAGCATGATTAACGTTAATCTTGTGTTCTGTATCCACAAGATGAGCCAGAATAGCGCTGCGAATAGATTTTGTTTGTCATTTGCTTAACCAGGCAGGGTGATGCTCGGAAATCTGACGAGAAACACGCCTAATTGTGTACGGCTTATGCAAGTAACTGGCTCACTCCACAGGAGCAGTTAAATTGGTAGATACACACACATGGAAGAGGCGAAATTAGGCAGTTTGTCTTTTACTCCCGAACGAACGCAAGAGAGAAGTGGGTGGTTTTGAAGAAACAGCGTAATTCAGAAGCAGCAGGGAATGCTCTTTTTACCGCTGCATTTTTAAGGCACAGCTGTGTTAGTATCTCGCTGATGTTGTCCCCAAGGAACTGAATTTGTAAGAATAAGACCTTCCTTTTCGGCAACTGTCGGTACCTTGGGCTGCCTTGATTTGAGATTCAAATTCTTATCAATAAACGTTTATGGATAACCATTTTCACTCAGCAACCGTTTAATATTTTTGAGTTCCTCATCAAGACATTCATCCGAGCAGATTTCTCTTGCTGTGTGGTGGACCAACCACTCTATCAGATTGCGTTTGTATTTCAAGGCCACGAAGCTGAGAAAATCAGAACACTGACAGTCAGTTGATGTAGGTTTTCTATATACACACTTCCTCTTCTTATTGCGCCATCCTCTTTTCTGGTCATAAGGACGTCTAAAAATGAAATACTTTATAAATCGATATTATTTAAAAAGCACACTAATATTGTTATTGACTACTAATCTAGAATATTCTATGTATATAAACATGCATATAATTGTAGAGCGAGAAGAGGAGGAATTTATCGAAAAGGATATTCTTTGCTGGCTCAATTATTTTGTGTTTTATAGATAGATGTCTGAATGAATATTTTCTTCACTGAATTTGTCTATTAAAATTGTATAAAGGACCACCACCACCAACAACACCAACAACAACTGAAAGATGACATGGGACTTTGCTAAATTCCATATAAAAAAGAATGGTGACAGTTTATTAAAGAAAAAATTCATAAGATCAGTTATTATAAGCGATTACACAGTGTTGAACTTACCGGTTCATAAATTCTGGGTACTTCGACAACATAATCATCAGGTTCATCACCAGTTGCTTCAGGTGGGTCGCTTTATAATTAAATAAGAGAGAGAGAGAGAGAAAGGGAGCAAAATTATTTAGCCGAATAACCAATCAAATCCCTACAAACCAACATACAATGAGATGCTCACTAGCGACTTGCCCTATTCAGGTAGGTAGTTACCTGGGTGGGTTCTAGTGAGAAGTCGTGACCAGTAGGGTGCAGCAGGTCGGGTGTGAGGACAAATACTCACCGAAGACATTAGCTAGGGGTCGCGCTATGTCGTGAATTGCCAGAAGTTAGAATTCATGAACTGGCCATTGGATCGGGTCCCAGTGGCTTAATGGCATACGAGCTCGTACCGTGTAACCAGAATGTGGTCCTGGGTTCGAACCCCTGTGGGTGCGTACTGGTGAAGAGTCCAAACTAGGACGAAACAGCTGTCCAGTACTGCCTGGTTGGTTTTCCAATAGTTCTCTAACTAATGTCAGCTCATGATGAAAATCCTGTAACCAATCAAATTCCTACAAACCAACACTTGAGTTATTTTTTTCTTTTTGTATCATTTGTATGAAATATGTATAGGGCTGAAAACACAGTAGCATGGAGTAGAGCAGAGTGTCTGTGCATGTGTGTTTGGAGGGGGGCGAAACTGTGGACTCGAAGAATACTCAAAACTTGAGTTATTGACTTCGAACAACTATTTTCTGTGTGCTATGATTATTATTATTCATTATTATTGTTCCCTTGGGTTCCTAGTGGAACATAGGGCTTCAACTGCACGTCTCCACTTGCTTCTGTCTTCTGCTACTGTACTTTTCACCTGCATCCATGTTAGTCCATACTGTTTCAACTCTTCTTCACACGATCTCCTCCATGTCACCCTTCGACGTCCCACTCGCCGCTTCCTTTTCGGGTTCCACTCGAGCGATGGCCTGACGCGCGATGTCACCCAGCAGCGGCCTCCTCAGCGAGTGTCCAATCCATCTCCTACTTTCTCCTGCATATTTGTTGAGCGATTGGTTCTTGTTTCGTTTGTTTGTTCCCATAGTTTCTTGTTGGTTCTTGTTCTTTCCGGTGGCCATCTGATCTTCAGTATACAGCGAAGACAGTTGTTGTTGTTGTTGATAAAGGTGTGCAACAGGCTGTTGGAAATATTCTTTGTGACCCACGGCCAAGTTTCTGATCCGTACGTATAGAAGAACTGACTGACTTGACGTTTGTATTGAAAATCCGAATTTCGTTGTTGAGTGTTGCTGAGTGACGAAGATTTCCAGATTGGTTTCAGGTTGATGAATGTGTTTCTCGCCTTCCCGATTCTCGATTTGACATCCTTCGTCCGTTCCTCCTGTAGTTGAGACAATGCTCCCTAGCTAGATAAGTGAATGAAGTAACCTCTTTCAAATCCCTCCCGTTGATGGTGATTGGCGCTGGATGTTGCTGCTGCTGTTGTTGTTGTTGTTGGTTGGTTATTTTCATAACCTCCGTCTTGTCTATGTTCACCTGGAGTCCTGTCTTTGCTGCTTCTTCGACCAGTTTGTCGGTTTTCGCTTGTAAGTCTTCGATTTTGTGTGACATGGTATGATTGCACTGACTATTTTAAAGTTGCATTTTATTTGCCAACAACTATTGCATGCTAGACATACTAGAGAAAGGTGTGTGTCTGTAAATCGTTTCAATATTTCTTTGCGGTCGTCTGTTACCCTAAAACAGTTTGCAAATATTAAAATTAGAAAACTTGTAAATCATCATCGAGTCATCCATCAGACAACAGTATACATCTATTCCTTGTATTCAAATTTGCCACAAAATTGATTTTGACAATATTGAAATCATCATCCAGAAAAGCATTTCAGAAATCACAAAGAACGTCTCATATCATCAGAAGCACTTCATGTCAAATTGAATCCAAATTGTCTGAACTGAATAGGAATGATGAACTAAAACAGAATTTGACCTGGTTACAACACCCCAAACCCCTTCCCCATGAAGTGACGAAATCAACACGAATGTGATAAGCAACATCACTGTATATAAACACACACTGCTTTTATAATTTTACACACTGATCAAATCCAACAGTCATCTACACTTGGTTTTGTTATCTTTACCAATTGGCCAACTTGACAACGAAAAATGACCCCAGACTGACGAACGATGATCAAGTTAGTAAACTTTATTTTGATTTGACACTAGTAACTAATGTGATGTGTCTAGTCCTCTCTTTGGTGCAGACTGAATTCTATCAGTCAGTCAGGTTGTAATGTGGCCACCATTCTAGGTAGCTCGCCATCACGGTGCACATTGATTTGATGATATTACATGGTTGGAGGCAATCGGCCACAGGAAGCCTTGCTTGACCTAGGTTTCCTGCTTTATTATCTCATATTGATTTGTATTCAAATGTCTAATCATCAATTCCACTCATGTATATAAATGAAGTAAAAACGTTGTGTGAGTGAGTGACTTGATATGATGATTATGAGTGGCAATGCTTCTCTAACTGATATCAATCCGTGCGTGGTGAAACTCGTAAAAACAAATCTAAATCCTTACAAACCAACTCTTGAAAAGTTTGAGTGTTGCATGACGTATCACAACCGATTAGAGCCATCTATTCACTAACTCTTACTGAAAACGCTTATATTATGCCTCGCAAACGAAATTATCCAACAACTTTTGAATAGGATGCTTCGAAAATATAAAGCAGTCTAGCAAACAAATGTCAAGAGAACATTTACGGTTTTGATTGATGGAGAATTTCAACATGAGCTGACATTAGTTAGAGAACCACTAAAAAACTTGCAAGGAGTGCTGAACAGCTGTTTTGTCCTAGTTTGGGACTCTTCATCAGTACGCATCCACCGGGGTTCGAACTCAGGACCACGTTCTGGTTACAAGGCGAGCTCGTAGACCATTGAGCCACTGGGACCCGATCCAATGGTCCTTGAATTCTAACTGCTGCCAATTCACGACATAGCGGACCATTTCGCAATGTCTTCTTCGATGAGTTACTGCCTCATCTTCAACCTGCTGTACCCCAGTGGTCACGGCTTCCCACTAGAACCCCAAGTTAACTGCCTGAATAGGGCCAGTCGCTAGTGAGCTAGTCTACGAGCTCGCCTTGTAACCAGGAGTTCCTGGGTTCGAACCCCAGTGGGTGCGTACTGATGAAGAGTCCCAAACTAGGCTGACGAAACAGCTGTCCAGTACTCCTTGCAGGTTTTCCAGTGGTTCTCTAACTGATGTCAGCTCATGATGAAATTCTCCATCCAATCAAACAAAAATCCCTACAAAACCAATACTTGAAAATTTACGGTTTTATTATGTGTCAAATTATTTTATTAAAAAAAATATAAAAATGATATCTTACCGTAAGAAATTAACAAAGTAGGGCGGATCATTTGCCACCATATTTACGTATTCAGTACCAAGTTCTTCTCTAACTAGACGTTTCATAATTGTATCAAACCATTGGTGGTCTTCAGCTGAAACGAATCTGAAGCAAACAGTGATGAAAAATAAGAAAAGTTTGTAGAATAGAAAAAAAATTAAATAAGGTTGATAGACAGTTCGTACCTATCGCGTCAATTTCTCACCATTGTGCTTCATTATGTCAAACTCACACTAAGGAACAGTTATGCCGGATAGAAGAATTAAATTGGTCTGTCTAGTAAATTATTATTATTGTTTCCTTTAGTACCTAGAGGAACATAAGGCTTCAGCTGCACGTCTCCATTGCTCTCGGTTCTCCACCAACGTTTTCGCGTGACTCCACGTCTGACCCCATACTTTTATCTCCTCTTTGCATCAACTCCTTCTCCTCCATGTCACCCTCACACTGACCACCAACTAACTCACCGATTCCCCTTCACCTTCCACTAGAGTTTTTCTCAGAGTATGGCCAATACAATCCAATCCACCTGCATTTCTTCCTGCATATTTGCTGCACAATTGGTTCCTGCTGGTTTGGGTTGGGTTGAGTTGGTTCGTCGGTTCAATCATTGCCAGAGATCCGTCCATGTTGGTGATGTTTTCCGGCCGGCCGGCCAACCGGCCATCTGATCTTCAGTGGGCGAAGTAATGAGTGAAGACAGTTTGTTCAAAGTGCCCTATGTGACACGCCAAGTCTCTGATCCTCACAGTAGTACTGACTGACTTCACATTGGAGTTGAAAATCCTGACTTGAGAGTAATGAAAGCTTGTCTTGCTTTGATATCCTCATCAGTTCCATCCGCCTATAGTTGAAACGATGCTTTCCAAATAGGTAGGTGGGTGGGTATGTGGGTAGATAAAGGAGGTTGCTTCTTTCAGATTTCTCCCATTTATGAGGGCTGATTGTTGTCTGTTGTACTTGGTGCTGTTGCTGTTGGCCAGGTAACTTCATCACCTACCTCTGTTTTCTGTATGTCCAGCTGAAGTCCTATCTCTGACGGTTCTTCTGTCAACTTGTTGCTGCTTTTCACTTGCATATCTTCGAGTTTGTGAGAAATCAGATATTTATCGTTGGCAAAGTCCAGATCCTCCGAGTTTATTGTGTGTGTTCATTTTATGCCTGTCTCCTCGTTGCCCGCTGTGTGTCTGTCGCATTATCCAGTCTACTGTTAATCTACGTCGCATAGCTAACTGGCCATCATTATTGTAACGACAATAAATATTATATTATATTTTATAATTGTAAGAACCTGAATAGGAGAAATTATTGAAAAGAATATTCTTCGTTCAGATTGACTTTTAATTCATGCGATATGGGAATATATTTCACACTATGAAATCTTATAAGAAAAAAAGTAAAACAGAAAAAGACCAAAACGTTATAGGCTGCTTGTAGTTATCCGGAGGTGAAATTCACTGGGTACATGACACTTTGACTCTTGTACATTTCAATTGTAGACTATGTAGTCATGGAAACAAGTTAACATATTAAACAGGGCATCTTTGTCTGACACACGACTTAAAAATACATCCCAGTTATTATAAGGAGGAGTATCAGTTGCTAAGTTAGACTAGTTTCTTTCTTCTCCTCTTTACTGCTCCCCATTAATCTTTCCTGGACTACTTAAGAAAGATTTTACTTTGCTGCGTAGGGCACTAAAAGCTGTTAGTAGGGCAAGTGGGATTTCGTTAAACCAACTGGTTAATACTATTGTGGATAGACATATAATGTCATGTAAGAAACTAGCGAATTCTATATTGTCAGACCCCGAACACCCTCTCTTTACGCAGCTCTCTCCTTGCATTTCATCTGGTAGAACTAGAAGCAGCTATAGGAGGCTATATGCTAGGACTACTAAGTACAAAAACTCCACAATACCTTATCTGGCACAGCTTTTATGTGATGAGAAATCCGTTAGGTATTACACGATCAACTTACTGAGGCACTCTAACAAATAGTTCCCAATAGCTTTTGTTCTCCTTTCTTTGTTACTATTATATTGTTGCTCATATATTCTATTACAGACTAATTTTATATTTCATATCCTGTGGTACATTGTTTAAATATGTGAATGCAATGCTGTTCATTTTTATTTCTTTTATTTATCTTTTTTCTTATTGATATAAGCATAAAACTTGGGCACTGCGGTAGAGTATAACTCCATAATGGATAGGATTTTATTTTAATAAATCACACAGTGTTGTACAGTTAAATTAACTGTACAAAATAATATAATTTACAAAATACCCCGCAATGACTGTGAGTTAGGTCAACTACCTACATAGGTCAAACTAGTAGATCCGGGATAGTGAGATGGTCAGAACATAAGAATTTAGCTAAGGTAAGAATGGTTGACCCCGAGAAGATAAATAATTTAGAAAAAAGCTCATCACTAGATTGCACTGCATGCACTAACACACAACCACACAATAGAATGGTGGGAGAGGGTTAAAATTCTAAGAAGTAATCTATGTAGGTGGAGATAGAGAGAGGTTGATTACTGAATCCTGGCTGGTTCATCGAGTCTACACCCAACACAACACATGCAATGGGAATGATTCATCACTCATACCCGAAATATGGAAAATACTACTAACAATCAAATCAAGTGAAAAACAACGGAACTATCTATATAAATGAATTTAGGAAGTCGTGTGATTACCTTGATATGATTATGAGTGGCAGTGATAAATTGTGCTCGAAACGTGGTGGCATCCATCAGTAAACATTACTGTATAACACCACACTGTGAGATTTTATCAAAACAAAATTTACCCATAATGGAAGTTAACTCACTCGCTAAAGCCTATCTAATGTTATTCATATTCATAATAATAATAATTTTGATAGCATTATTAGAAGACGGAGATTATCTGAAAAACAATGTGATGTGATGTATTTGCGCTATGCATTTCGAACAACAATCTGATCCCTCACACATTTACTTGTCAAGTCAATGTATATGGAAAAGTTAAATTAGACAAAGTGACAAAAAGAGAATTAAGAATAATTAACACAAACGTGCGTCGGTGGCATAGCGGTTAGGACGCTAGCCGACCATGCACATGGTCCGGGGTTCGATCCCCGGCCGACGCACTCCTCTAACTCACTAAGCCAGAAATAATGCTGGTGAAGAGGAAAGGTTGGGCATGAGGCTAGCAACCCCATCCTGTAAAATAAACACTGCTACAGAAACTTCAACCCACTAGCTTGAAGCCCTATGTCCCACTGGGATCGTGAATGAAAAAAAACACAAACGTTTGGTAATCCAATCAAATAAGGATTACCAAGTTAGGTAGGTTAAGAGTAATAACAATAAATTTTGAGACAAAGGTTGAATTTCATCATCCGTAGAACCTACTATGCAGCCCAGCTTGTAATTGTCGAAAAAGCTAAAAATATGCTTCACTGCAAACCTCTAAAGTGAACAAGTGATTATATCACATCCCACACAATTCACCAATTTTCGTGTGTGTGTGGACATACATACATAGGGAGGAGTAATTGTGCTTTGCATGTGAGGTTGGGAGAGCATATCCCAAAGTGGTTAGGAAAACATATGAATTGTGACAAGGCAATAGATGCAGGTGTCAGACTACCAACTTCGTCTATAGCTAAACATTTAATCGAGATGAACCATAAGGTTGATGTTAACTCAGCCTTTAAGGTAATCTATAAAAGCGGTCAAGGACGTTTACTGAAATCCGCTGAGGCTAAAGCCACTCACAAACTTAAGCCCCCCTTATAGGTTTCCAGGCCGTAGGTGTTACAAACTTCCTGTGAATTCAAAAAGTTTGTTATTACTCTTAACCTACCTTGGTAATCCTTACTTGATTGGATTACCAAACGTTTGTGTTAATTATTCTTAATTCCTTTTTTATTTGTCACTTTGTTTAATTTAACTTTTCCATATATATTGCCTTGACAAGTAAATGTGTGAGGGATCAGATTGTTGTTCGAAATGTATAGCGCAAATACATCACATCACATTGTTTTTCAGATAATCTCCGTCTTCTAATAATGACACTATCAAAATTTATAAAAGGAAACATTTATTTCCCGATACGAATTTAAAACAAGCAATAAAGGTGGTTAATAAAGCAGGATGATTTAATGATGGATTCATCAAATTTCGGTAGAACTCGTCAGCTGAATACTCGACATACACGGATATATACTTTTGAAATTACATTGGGAGATATAGGACTGATAAGTAAATAATAAACTACATTGAATTAGTCATGCAGAAAGACAGGTGCGAATGTTTTTCCAGGTCATGTTCAAATAGATAAGGGGAGGAAGGGAGTATGAGAGATCTAAATTAAGATAAATTGCATTACGCTTCAATTACATCACTTAGATAAACAATTAATCACTAGACAATATAACAAGAATTGCAACCAGAGGGATGTCAATAGTAATAGATATAATAACAATAATAATAATAGTGTTGAAGTGAGTTAAGATAATCCTACTGAAAAAGGATAGTTTTAAATGAATCAAGAATAATAATAATGAGAATAATAATAATAATAAAAATAATAATAAGAGGTAGAATAATAAGTAAAACGTATTACCATGGTAGATTCAGAGTCACGACCATCTCCTTTTGTACACAGAGACCTGGTTTGTAAACTCGAATTGCACAAGCCTCTGCAATTGCAAGCATCTTCTTGTTTCTTTGTCTGCTGACAATGGTGAATGACTTGACTGCGTCGATATCATGCCCGTAATCCACAAGATGTTTTGTTATTGAGGATTTCGGCACTTTGCACTCAGCTGTTTTCAACCGTTTTGGCGAATGCTTCATCATGCGAGTAGACAATCTCCTTTCCGTACGACCTATGTATTTGTGTCATTCCACAAACACACTCATCAAATTGATATACGCAGTTTGAAGTGTCGAGGATTGACGACTGGTCTTTCCCAGATTGTTCAAGCACTCGCTTAGTGGTGTTAAGGAAAACAAGTTTTGCAGCATAATGAGTTCTCTTGATGGCTTTGTCGAGTCTTCGTTTGACTACTTCCTGTACATCATCTCCTTTGAACGGCAAGTTGATATAGACAGGTTTCTTCAGAACTGTTTGGATTGTTTTGCAAGGGCTAATTTCTTTAGAGTATTTATTAATGAACTTCTCAGGATATCCATTCTCAGATAAGATATCCTTCAGGGATTTTATTTCATGCTCAGTAGTACTGTCAAAACAAATTTTTCGTGCTCTATTGAACAGTGTGTTCTGACTAAGTTCTTTTTATGTACTGGATTGGAACAGAGCTCTTGAAATGCATGTACTGTCCTGTCCATGAGGACTTTCTAAATATAGATCTTTCGATTGTGCCATCATTCATTTTCGCCAGAAAAACGTCTAGGAATTTGATAGTATCATTTTCCTCGTGTTCTACTGTGAAATTGAGATTTGGATGGCATGAGTTGAATTTTACCAGCATGTCTTCGGCTTTTGATCTGCTTCCACAGACAATAAAAATGTCATCAACATATCTTAGGTATAGATCCGTTTCTTGTATATGTTGTTGCAGGGTACCGGTTTCTAGGCGTGACAAGAATAAGTCAGCGAAAAGTGGTCCCAAAGGACTTCCCATTGCGACACCATCAACTTGACGGAATAAACGCCCATCGAATTGGAATTGGACATTTTTAGTACATAAAAGTAGCAATTTCCTCAATTCCGACGTTGGAATGGGTATGTCTTCAGCTCCTTCATATATGAAGTCTATAGTCTCAATGACTGGCACATTTGTGAAGAGGGAGGTAACATCGAAAGAGACTAAATGTTCATCAGATACATTGAAATCTTCGATTTGCTCGACAAATTGGAATGAATCAGAAACGATATACTTCCCGAAGCGTTTCCGCAGGGGCTGCAACATTTCACATAACCACTGTGCTAATTTGTGGTATGGTGAGTTTATCATCAAGAGTATGGGTCTTAATGACGCTCCTGGTTTATGTATTTTAACACGCCCGTATAGTTTTGGGATTTGTGACCCGATCGGCTTGATATTTCTATATGTGTTTTTTTCATCAATGTATTTATTTTTGAATAGTTGGCGTAGCTGCTGTACAATTTTCTTTTCGATCGACAACGTTTGATCTTTTGCTTGATTGTCCAATTTGAATTTAGATTCACATCGGAGAGAATTTGATGCATTTTTTTTCGAGATAATCTGTCTTATTCATTAGCACTACGCTTTGTCCTTTATCAGCTTGTAGAATAACAAGATTATTGTCTCTTCGGAGCTTGTTTAATGATCTCCAGTGTTCTTTGGTGATGTGCGACTTTTGATTCGTTGGCATGATTCGAAATTGGTGGGCAATATATCAACCATCTTTGCTTTCAACCAGCTTTGTTTAATTTAACTTTTTCATATATATACATATCGACTTGACAAGTAAATGTGTGAGGGATCAGATTGTTGTTCGAAATGTATAGCGCAAATACACATCACATCACATTGTTTTCTTCAGATAATCTCCGTCTTCTAATAATGACACTATCAAAATTTATAAAAGGGACTAACTGTTTTAAATAATAATTAAATAATCTACTATCGCCAATGATTTTCCTGATTGCAGTAGATTGGATAATGCGACAGACAGTGGGCAATGAGGAAACAAGCATAAAATGGACTCACACAAAGACGAACTTGGAGGATCTGGACTTCGCCGATGATATATGTCTGATTTCCCACAAACTGGAAGATATGCAAGCGAAAAGCAACAAGTTGGCAGAAGAAGCATCCAGAGAAGATAGGAATTCAGGTGAACATAGAGAAAACGGAGGTGATGAAGATTCCCGGACAACACCACCAACAGCAACAACGACAGCATAAAACAGTCAGCATAAATGGAAGGAACCTGAAAGAAACTACCTCCTTTACCTACTTGGGAAGCATTGTTTCAACTACAGGCGGAACTGACGAGGATATCAAAGCAAGGATCGGGAAAGCAAGGCAAGCTTTCATTACTCTCAAGTCTGTGTGGAGGTCAACAGCATTCAGCGTCAAAAATAAGATCGGGATTTTCAACTCCAATGTGAAGTCAGTACTACTATACGGATCAGAGGCTTGGCGTGTCACAAAGAGCATCTCAAACAAGCTACAGACCTTCATTAACAGATGTCTTCGCTCAATACTCAAGATCAGATGGCCGGAAAGGATCAGCAACAAAGATCTCTGGCAATGAGCGAACCAACAGAGCAAGAACCGATTGTGAAACAAATAGGCAGGAAGAAATGGAGATGGATTGGCCACACCCTTAGGAAACCAGCAAGTGACATCACTAGACAAGCCATTGGTCGAGTGGAACCCGAAAGGGAAGCGACGAGTTGATCGTCCAAGGGTGACCTGGAGGAGATCATGTGAAGAAGAATTGAAAGCGTATGGGCAGACTTGGAGCCAGGTGAAGACTCTAGCAGAGAACCGAACGCAATGGAGACGCATGGCTGAAGCCCTATGTTCCTCTAGGAATTAAAGGAAATAATAATAATAATCTAATAAAGTAGATAAAATTAGTAATAAAAACACTAACCTGTCTGCTAATACTCTTAAACATTCATGACGCCATAACATCATCAAACGTTCTTTACTATTGATCACTTCAGCTACAATACCAATCATACCTTGCCATATACGACTTAGATCACGTAAATTGAAGATGTAATGAAATTTAGCCGGTGTCGGGAGCATTTTATGCTTCGTCGTTTGCCATAGAAGTCGTGTTAACGGGACAAGCAGTTTCACTGTATCAACTATACTACTGTCAGTGAATCCTCTCTCAGGACAATAATGTCCTTCAGCTATTGCACTAAATATTTTATCGATTGATGCATTACTTGGCAGAGTACAGTTGAATATACAAAAATGACGTTTTAATCTATGCGGTATATCATTACGCCCTGAGCCAGGATGAATCATGGCCGCAGCGAATTGGACATCAACAATTGAAGTGAAATCTCCCGGTTTCTCCAGGTTATAGAATCCTTTCATTTCGATTAACTGGCGAACCATTTCATTGGTTACCTGGGAAGGCAAACAAAAACAAGAACTAATTTAGAAAATAATTGCATATCAAAATACAACTTTTAGTCAAAAAATAAAAAGAATAGACACGGAACAAAGAGAACTCTTTTCGATAAATTCATCATCAGGTTCTACAATTATATATACATTATAATGAATGAATGAATTAGCTATATACTCTGAAGAAGTAATTAAAGATGAATTAGGCATTGTATATATGATACTTTATTCGAAAATGGTTATCCTGACAAATTTATCAAGAAACATATGACAAAGAAGGCCGAAAAGGACTACCCACTATCTGTAAACAAGAAGCCACTTTATATATACGACTACAATTCATGGGCGATATACCAAGCGAGTTAATTACGAAGAAATTAAGAAAAGCAGTTCAAAGGACTTTTAATGTTGGCGAACTACACATGTTATTCTCTACAAGACCGATGGTGCTACCTCGACTGAAAGATTAAGTACCTAGGCTAGAATAGCCACTTCTAATTGTATCTATCAATTCAACTGCGCTTGTGGAGCCAGTTATGTTGGCCATTGCTCTAGGAACTTGATTTTTCGTGCTCGCTCGAGAACATATCCCACTATGGCTAAGTAAAGGTGTAATGAAAACCACTAACAGTTCGATATTAGACCATCTGGTGCAAACCGGTCACAAAGCCAGCGTAGACGAATCCTTCTCTATAATATACCGGGTGCTTAACAAACTACCAAAATCGTCGAAGCACCACATGCTCCAAACAGCAGAGGCTATTGCAATTCGCCTCAAACAACCAGTGTTCAGAATGTGTTCAAAAGAAACAAGTCCAGCCCCTACTACTGTCCTGGCCCTCAGTAGACACTATAAACTCATGAATTTGTACTATTACCTTTCTTAATTCTTCTGACATTCAGAATATTGTTATGTTTATGCTATTGAGCTGTAATCCATTGGTATTATTATTATTGATTCGATGTTATTTAAACAGCATTAATGTCGTTCATAAGACTAATTCATTCATTCATTATAATGTATATATAATTGTAGAACCTGATGATGAATTTATCGAAAAGAGTTCTCTTTGTTCCGTGTCTATTCTTTTGAAAATTTTAATGGGCATTTTTAATCAATTAAAAAATAAAAAGCTTGAAAAGAATTTAATATACAATTTTGTCTTATGCGTCTACCGTCGGTGGCATAGCGACTAGGAAGCTCGCCGACCATGCACATGGTGCGGGGTTCAATCCGCTGTCCCCCCCCCCCCCAGCCGACGCACACCTGATACCAATGGTCGGCCAGCAAAATTTCGGCTACCGATATCACATGCTGAAAATTCCACAACTGTATCGAAAATACTGTGTGGAGTCAAGCTACAATAAAATAATAATAATAAGTAACATATATGTGTAAAACGTAGATACTGTGGTGGTAGTAAGTAATTCCATATTAGTTTGTTTATTAGATGTATCACACGCAGAGTGAAACAGTATTGGTATTTACTGGATGACACAGTTTCGAACACAATTTATTCAGGTTCATAATCATTTCATCAATTATAATCACACGACTTCGAAACTTGACTTTTATAGTTTTCTTTGTCCTCTCTTATTTGTCGTAGGGGCGGTAGAACTTTCTAGACGTCCGGGATAGGTGTTAATTCTTTCCAGTTACACGTGTTTAAAGTTGATTGGATAAATAAAGACTCGGTCAGTTATCAATCTCTCACTCTACCCAGTGACATTAGGTTTTAAAACTGTCATCTTATCACATCACATCCTGTTGTATGGTTGTGTGTAGTTCGGTCGGTCGGTCGGTTTTCGACATAGAACTTTGCACATATGTGCGGCAGTTCAAGTCGCCACACTCCCTCCACTCCATGTAGCACACAAAGCAAGAGAAGAAAATAGGAGAAATGCATAATATAGACAGTAAACAGAGGTATGGTGAGACAAAGGAATAGTAATAACAAGAAGTGGATGCATCTGCGCCAGCCAGCCATTGAGAACGATTTTGAGCCATGTCACCAATTGTTTCCAACCATTGGTTTTACCGTCCCGAGGACCCCAACCAGTGAGGAAGTCTACACCTTCCTAAGTGGCTTAGACTAACGGTGGTGGATTTCATTGACTGGTGAAGCAATGCTTTGGTTTGACCGCCGCTAGCTCTTTTCCAGCCTGACCGATCCTATGTCAGCGAACATTGCCCATTGTCGAGGAAGGCGATGACTAGGCATACGTAGTACATGTCCTAACCATCTCAGTCGATGTAATTTCACAGTTTCGTCGACTGATTTCCCCGCCTTACCTAGCACTCGACGCCTAACCTCAATATTTTCATGTCTTCCGCTCTCAATGGCCAGGTCTCACAGCCATAAAGAAGGACGGAGCGGACTGTTGAGCAGTACACACGCCCTTTGGTCGATAGTAGTGGTTGCGATAGCTGCTGAACTATTCTCCAAATTCCTTGTCTTATTCGGGTCAACTAATCTAGATTTCACTGTTAGGTGTTTATGCTCGTCTAGTCTGACTGGCTGTCCCTGTTTTACTACTTTGACCTTGTTATGTATGTGAATATGAGGACCTTGTAGACTACGAGCGAATCTAACTAATGCGCTGGCTAATCTGTCTTAATCGCACGTCAACAACAACAACAATAATACCGCCGGGCACGCAAGACAAATAAAAGAGAAGACCGGACGTTGATATGAGAGCTTTTACTGTCTCAAACAACAGTCGAAAATGTTAAACAACAACTCCGTATTTATACAATTAGAAAAATCAATGTCACATTTTAAAAATATTAACGACCTTGGGGAATTCAGTAATTTAAATCAATAATCACGCAGATGCGTGAAATCAATGATTATGCTAGTGTATGAAATAGATAATGAATATTAATGATTCCCCTGCGTATATATTACCTCCCCCTTTTAAAAAGAATCTTGCAATCAGTTTAGTATCTTTTTTTCTTTGGGGTCGATTTGGAAATGAACTGTTTGTGTTCGTTTGCGCTGGGATCGTCGGCTGGGTAGCATCTCTTGTTTTGCTTCTGGTTTGACTGGTGGTATTTTGAAAGTTTCCAGTAGTAAATCCAGTGGCAATTTAGGTTCTTGGGATGTAGTATATCGACGTCGTATCTGATTTTTGTGTCTAATCCACCATTCATCCCCAACTTTAACCTTGTACATTAGAGTTCCATGTCGACATTCTATCAAGCCTTCGGCCCATTTTCTGTTCCTCGGTCGATAATCGCGCACATAGACGGCATCACCCTTGCGGTAATACTTCAGACTATTTCTTCGTTGATGTGACGAAGATGGTAACATGGAGTGGTGATGAGTTCGTAGCATTCGACCCATTAGAAGTTCTGCAGGGCTTTTCTTCTGTTCTGCCAGTGGTGTAGTTCGGTATACAAAAAGAAAGTTTTGTATTGCTTCCGGTTTCGCCCCTCCCCCTGCTTTCAACAAGGCTCGTTTGAAAGTGTCGACAAATCTTTCTGCCTGACCGTTGGATTGAGGGTGATAAGGTGGCGTCCGCACGTGTTGTATACCGTTTCTCTTGCAAAATTCCTGGAACGCTTGTGAGGTGAACTGACTGCCATTGTTAGATACGATGATTTCTGGTATACCGTGACATGCAAAGATCTTTTCCAGGACTGATACTGTTCTGCTGCTAGAAGGTGGTGTCACTTGTACTACCTCCGGCCACTTTGAGTAAGAGTCCACGAGAACCAAGTAGTATATACCTCCTATCGGCCCAGCAAAATTCACATGTACGCGGGACCATGGTTTTGTCGTGGGCCATGCTCTCGGTGGCGGATCGTTGGCTGCCATGACCGACATCACTTTCAGTTTTTGAGCAGAGCTTCTCTTACTGGAGCTAACAGTTGCTACTTTGTTGCTACCAGACATCGAAGCACTTTTGGCGCAGCCATACTCACTGTGACGATTCGAAGTTGGGGTTTCATTAATGACGTCATTCTTTCTAATGGGCTTAAGTTTAATATATCTGTCTCTGATTTCTGGCTTTCTTGTTGAGGGTTCAGTACTTTCGATCTTTTGGCATACACTGCTTAACGGAATCTCTGACAGATGCAGCTTCTCGAACCAGTCTAAACCCAAGAGGTCAAGGTTTGAATTATTGATGTAGCATGTGCCGACGAAATGATTATCGCGAAAACCAACGCTGCATTTAATTTCTCCATTCAATCGAAGTCTTCCACCAAATGCACTAATTGGTATTTGATTTGTCTTCTCTATGGTAGGGCATCCCAACTTCTGCCATAATTTCTTTGATATTATTGTAATATCGGATGCTGTGTCGATTTGTAGGCGTGCCGGCCGTGTATTAATCGTCAGATTGATATATTTGCGAGGTGCTGGAGTACTAATATGATATGTGGCAGTAACACCCAAAGACTTAGGCTTGTTGCGCCGTTTGGGTCGACTACGAGATCTGGGTCGGTTGTTGCGTTTGCAGTAGCCCTCTTTGTGACCAACAGTATGGCATCGACGGCATTTATGCTGTTTGAATGGGCACAAGTTTGCAAAATGCCAGGAGCCACAGTGCCAGCAGGCTGATGGTGGTTTATGCTGAGGATGAAGCGGTGCGGTTGATGTCGACGGTACTGGATGCACCGCATGCACTTCTGCTGCATTTTGGCTGCCAGACTGCACCAAGACGGTATCGTTGTGAATGTTGATTAAACGCTGATATTCTTCACCGACGTCTTTCAAAGTCATTCGTGGATCTTGTTCCAGACGATTTAATAGACGTGTGCGTATATCAGCAAATTTGGGAGACTGCAAACCACAAATGAAAATCAATACCTTGAACTGGTCTTCTGAGAGTGATTTCAATTTAAAACGTTCACACGTGCGATTGACTATACCCAACTGAGTATGGATATCATCATTTTCGTTCAGAGATAGTTTCATGCAATGATATCGAATGTTGAATAAAGATCTCCGATCACCGAACTGATGACGAAGGGTATGGACAGTTTCATCGAATGATCTTTCGCTGGGCTTCTGTGGGAGAATTAAGTTGCAATATTTATCCAGCTCATCTGATCCCAATTTACGAAGTAGAAGCCGTACTTTCCAGGCATCATCTTTATCCGCAAAGTCTACCCGAAATAGGTCTTCATATCTGCGAAACCAAGTGTCAAAGGTGACGTTCGCATCTGGATCATAAACGAATTCTGAGATGCTACTACCAATGCTGTCGTTGGCTGTAGATGAATCAGCAGAGCGTGATATTTGTAGACCAGCAAGCATTTCCATCAATTTTAGCTGCTGTTCCATTAGTTTCTCTAAACGCAATGGGTCCATCTTCAGCAAACCCGTCGCCAAATTTGTTATGTATGTGAATATGAGGACCTTGTAGACTACGAGCGAATCTAACTAATGCGCTGGCTAATCTGTCTTAATCGCACGTCAACAACAACAACAATAATACCGCCGGGCACGCAAGACAAATAAAAGAGAAGACCGGACGTTGATATGAGAGCTTTTACTGTCTCAAACAACAGTCGAAAAATGTTAAACAACAACTCCGTATTTATACAATTAGAAAAATCAATGTCACATTTTAAAAATATTAACGACCTTGGGGAATTCAGTAATTTAAATCAATAATCACGCAGATGCGTGAAATCAATGATTATGCTAGTGTATGAAATAGATAATGAATATTAATGATTCCCCTGCGTATATATTAGACCTATGTATTTGACCTAACAATCATTGCAGCAGCAGGGGATTAGATAAACTAAATTGTTGTATTTTAAAGGCTCCACAGGATTGATCCTCTAATCGACAAATCTTTTTTCTTATTGAGTTTGTGGTTGGTTTGAATGTCAGCCACTTTTATTCCTGTCTGCCTTGGTAAGAATTCTGCGTAAGCTGGTTGGATTGGATTGGCTTGGCCATAATCTGAGAAAACAAACCATCAAGTGACAACACAAGACAGGCCACCACTCGAGTGGGACCCGAATGGGAAGCGGTGAGTTAGTTGGTGGTCAGTGCGAGGGTGACATAGAGCAGAAGGAGGAGGTGATGCGAAGAGGAGATGATGAAAGCATGTTGGCAGTTGTGGAGCGAGGTGAAAACGTTGGCAGAGAACCGAACGCAATAAAGAGACGTGCAGCTGAAGCCTTATGTTCCTCTAAGAACTAAAGGAAACAATAATTAATAATAATATAAAATTCTGAGTCGCATCATCCTGGAGAGAATAAAAGACGCACTGGATACAGAATTCCGACCAGAACAAGCTGGATTCAGGAAAGGCAAATCATGTTCTGACCAAATTGCAACTCTACGCATTATCATCGAACAAAGCATGGAATGGCAATCAAATCTCTACCTCAACTTCATAGACTTTGAGAAGGCCTTCGACAGCGTTGACCGCGAAGTAATTTGGAAACTACTCGAGTACTACGGCGTACCCCAAATATTCATCAACCTTATTCAACAGCTGTACGACAACGGCACATGTCAAGTGATCCATAACGGAAAACTCAGCGAAGCGTTTGGAGTAAACACAGGAGTCAGACAAGGGTGCTTATTATCACCAATGATATTCCTAATTGTGGTGGACTGGATTATGCGTCAGACAGTGGGAAACGAGGAGACACGGATATCCTGGACCGACGTGAAGAACCTAGAAGACCTGGATTTCGCGCGTGGATGATTTATGTTTGATGTCACACAAAATCGAAGACTTACAAGCGAAAACCGACAAACTGGTCGAAGAAGCAGCAAAGACAGGACTCCAGGTGAACATAGACAAGACGGAGGTTATGAAAATAACCAACCAACCAACAACAACAGCAACATCCAGCGCCAATCACCATCAACGGGAGGGATTTGAAAGAGGTTACTTCATTCACTTATCTAGCTACGGAGCATTGTCTCAACTACAGGAGGAACGGACGAGGATGTCAAATCGAGAATCGGGAAGGCGAGAAACACATTCATCAACCTGAAACAACCAATCTGGAAATCTTCGTCACTCAGCAACACTCAACAACAAAATTCGGATTTTCAATACAAACGTCAAGTCAGTCAGTCAGTTCTTCTATACGGATGGATCAGAAACTTGTTGGCGGGTCACAAAGAATATTTCCAACAGCCTGTTGCAGACCTTTATCAACAACAACAACTGTCTTCGCTCTATACTGAAGATCAGATGGCCACCGGAAAGAACAAGAACCAACAAGAAACTATGGGAACAAACGAACGAAACAAGAACCAATCGCTCAACAAATATGCAGGAGAAAGTGGAGATGGATTGGACACTCGCTGAGGAGGCCGCTGCTGGGTGACATCGCGCGTCAGGCCATCGCTCGAGTGGAACCCGAAAGGGAAGCTTGCGAGTAGTGGGACGTGCAAGGGTGACATGGAGGAGATCGTGTGAAGAGGAGTTGAAACAGTATGGACTAACATGGATGCAGGTGAAAAGTACAGGAGAAGACAGAAGCAAGTGGAGACCTATATTCCACTAGGAATCCAAGGAAACAATAATTAATAATAATAATAATAATTTAAAATAAAATGACATTACGAAAATGATAAATATACTTACCTGATCACCCCATTCATTTATCAGCGGCATACTAATATCATCAATGAAGATTGTCATTCTTCGACCTGCTGATGGACCATATGTACTACCCATTCGTTTATCAACAAAACTTTCAATGGCACGTTGAAATAATAACGGTGTAGTAACACTTGAAAAATTCAACGTTTTATACATATGGACTTCAGGATTGTGACTGCTTAAATACTTGTTGAGAATTACAGTTTTCGCTGTACCCTAGGTGTATTAAAGAATGTTTAAAAAAAGTTATATAAGAAATTGAACGTATATGAGAATAAAATAACGGGTATGCATGTTTTTCTCGTAAAGGGTTGACAACATAGAGGCTTATCAAGGTTCACATAAGGTAAGACGATTTTTAGGGGAGAAGGTGTCCTCCAAACTTCTTTCACCTATGGTGGCAAAATGTGCAACTATGCTCATTGAACAAGCAAGCACCATCTCCTACGAACTAGAGGGGATAACACTCCATTCAGTTCAGACTCACTTGAACTTAAGTGTCTTAGTTCCTCATTTCATTTACTTGTCAGTCTTCTTTTTACAAAGTTTGTAGTTAATTGTACTATAGTATTTCATGAATATTGCTTAATTTAGTGTTTTCTAAATTGATGAAATCATATGACGTGGTTTCAGAATTCTCCTGAATTCCACTAGTTCCTGCCTAATATATATTGGTGTTATGTTTACTTTTGCAGCTGTAGTACGCGAGAATTCCTTGTTATGCATATAAGAACAATAAAGTTCAGCTAAGAGTCTTTTTTTCGGCGAATCCATTCATTTTGTGTGTTTGTGTGTGTTTGTGTACATTAGGATTGTCAAACAAAAATAAAAATTAGTTAGGATTACTGTTTCCGTCATCAAGATATTTCTAAAATAAGATGAATAATCAAACTGTCACTTGGGTGGGGAGTGAAGATTGTTAAGTATTGACAAGGGTTGCGTAATGTGGAATAGGGTGTGTTAATGGATACACGTATCCCAAAAATGAATTATGTAATAGGTAGAAAGATTAAATAAACAGTTGATTAAGAAGAGAATGTTACTAAGATGTCATACAATAATTGAAAAACAAAAAGATCATTGTTAACAAGGTAGTAGAACTTGGAATTATACCCAAGGTTGAAGGAGGAGGAGGAGGCGTTGGAAAAGTTTCTTCTGTGTACATAAATCTGGGTTTCTCATCCGGATCACTAAGGCCTCAACAGTACAGGCTATACGGGAGCTTATCGTTTTCAACGGGAGGCTTCTTTCAACTTTGTCATTGACCCTGAATGAGTTCTCTTTACATATTGAGTAACCAGTGTTGAATATATGTTCAATTAGAGCACTGTTTATTGATCCACTGTTACCTCTTCGTAGCCAGGTGGGATAATGTTCTCTAACTCTTTTAGATAAAAAACACTTTGAACGACGTATATATATCTCGCTCCACATGAGCAAGTAAATTTGTAGATACACGGAGAAGGGATCAAATGCGATAGTTTATCTTTGAATTTGTTGAAGAGCAATGGGCAGCATGAGAATATCAATCGTAATGTAGCAGCACCAGGGAATGTTCTTTTCAGGGTATTAGATATCCTTTTCTCTAAGATGTCAGCCAGAAGGTAGCCTTTGAAATTCACATTGTATCTAATTCGTTTCTTTTGATTATCACAACTCAAAAGACATATCCCCCCCCCAAGCCAACCTATCAAACCAAAGGCCCCTAAGGAAAGAACAAAGAAAATCGCCCTACCATATACATAAAAGACATCACAGAAATCGCTGCAAGACTCTTCAACACTTTAGGAATTGACGTCACACACATAAACCAACAAAATCACTACACACACTTCTATGTCAAACGAAAGACTTAACAAAGAAAGAAGATAAAACCAACACCATCTGCAAGATAACTTGCAACGACTGTGAAAAAGCACTACATTGGTCAAAATGGACGTCTCCTTTAGTCTTCGTATCCATGAATAAAAAAAACTGGCCATCAAAAGATACGACATTCACTCCCTCACTCATATCGCCCCACTGCATACAGACAACCAAGCAAGGACATCAATTCGACTGCAACAACTAACGTTCAAATATTAGACAGAGGAAACAACACCAAGAATGCTAGAGAATTTTTAGAAGCCTACCTACCTGGTATTCCAGTGTATCATCAATCAATAGACACATCAACATAGGCAAAATTTACCAATCGACAAGAAGGAAACCTCACACGCACACAAAGGGTCAAAGTTCAAGTCAAAGAAACAACCAGTTCCAATATAAGTAGCCGCCTAGAGGGAGTGAAAAAACACGAAAACAACCAACCAATCACGTCCAAGGTGATCACTGACCAGGAGAGATGATTGATAAACTCGTGAAGAAATCTGAAAGCTCACTTCAACAAACTGAAGTTTCATACATTTATTCCCCCTAATGAATTTGAAGAAAGCAAGAACTACAGTTTTAGCAGAATAAAATGGTACCATCTTTTATTCCGTCGCCTTCTCGTCAGCTGCTTACAGGGCAAAAACATTATTAAATGTATCTATAAAACCAATTTAACATACTTGCACAGAGTTCATTTTAAACAAAAATCAATCGATCAATATACGCATACACTAATAATATATACATATATATGCAATATTAAACACAATTCCGAACAATAATAATCATACACAATGAAAACTTTTCAGTATCTCGCATTAGGATGAAAAATATCCAGTTACCAGGACAAAGAAAGACTGATAACTGCTTCTTTCTGAACGCACAAATCAGGTTTTAGGCGCTTGATGGAAATGGCTTCAGCAAACTTAAGGAGAATTGAGCTCTTTTGCTTATTGATAATTTTGAACGATTTTTCGACGTCCACCTCATGACCGACCGAACCGTGTCAAGGAGATGCCTGGCGATGGCACTGCTTAAAGCATTTGTTCCTTTTAGACGTAAGCTTTTTGGTACATGTTCAGAAAATCGTAGATATGCCCTTCTTTCTGTTCTTCCAATGTAACTGCTCCCGCAGATACATGTAAATTAGTATATACAGTTGGAGTTGTTAACCTGAGAAGGATGGATATCTATCGATTTTTGATTGCACCATAGGAGAGCAAGTTGTTCGATAGACGGGGACGAGCTTAGCTGCAGGATAGGCTATGGCTAGTGATGATTTACTCAGCCTTCTGTTGATCATTGCTGCAATGTTTTCACCTTTATAATCAAGCTGAATGTAGATTGGCCTCTTTTTCCACTGTGATTTGTTTTACCTTCGTGACTTCAGATCTTCCATACTTGTTGATGAACCTTTCAGGGTTACCATTGCTCTTCAACATCTTTTCAAGAAACTTAAATTCTTCCTCTAGTTTCTCTGTAGAGCATATTCTTCTCGCTCTGTAGTACAGAGTTTTGACTAGTCCGCGTTTAAAGCCATTTGGACAAAAACTATTAAAATGTAAGTATTGTCCTTTCCATGTAGGCTTTCGATAAATTGACTTCTGAAGACTAACTACCGTCTTCTAGGCGTTCCATGGCGATGTCGAGGAAGTGGAACTTTCCGTGGAACTTTCATGTTCCATAGTAAACTCACTATTGGTGTGTGCATCATTGAATAATCTTAGTAAGTGTGAAGCATGACTTTCATTTTTGCACACTATAAATGTATCATCAACGTATCGACAGTAGGAAGTTGTTTCATCGATTGCATGCTTCAACTTTGTTCTTTCAAGGTTGGACATGAATATATCTGCTAAAACAGGGCTAAGTGGACTGCCCATAGCTACACCATCAATTTGGCGGTAAAGAGTGTTGTCAAATTGAAATTGCACATCCGTGGTACACATAAGGAGTAGGCGTTTGAATTCCGACTCTGAGAGTGGGAGAAGATCAGACTGCTGACAAATGATCTCAATAGTTTCGTGGATTGGAATCATTGTGAACAAGGAGGTTACATCAAATGACACCATGAACTTATTTAAAACGTTCATGTGGTTCACACTTTCCGAGAAATGAAATGAGTCCTTCATAGTGTGCACGCCTAGCCGTTGACGAATAGGTTCCAACTTCTCTGCAAGCCAACGTGCCACCTTATACTGGGGTATGGGTCTCAGGGGGACTTGTTTTTTGTGCATCTTCGGAACGCCATACATGTGTGGCAAGGGGGACCCTCGAGGTTCCAAATCATTGTACGTAGTGTTTTCAATCAATTTCTTCTTTAGAAGATCTCTCAGCGCGTTTGTGATACGTTTTTCGACTGCATCAGTCTTATCTTTCTGGCAATTGTCAACTTTGAACCTCAACGGGTCATTTAACACAGCTTTCATCTTTGCAGTGTAACGTAGTAATAGAGTGGTAATAAAATGTCAAACGTCAAGCCCACAAACGTATTCTGGAACACTGCCCAGCTTGGTTAGCCAGCCAGAGGAGAAAAGAAGAATAGCAACAGCTCGATCCTCGAACACCTTGTCATCTCTGGACATCGAGCACCCCCACATGAATGCTTCACAGTGTTACACAGAGTCCCTCAATATCGTACAAAGGGACTTCGGATACGCCATCTGTACATAGCTGAAGCATTAGCTATTCGAGACCTGAAACCGGACCTCTGCATACAAAAGCGATACATACATTCTCTTGCCTTACCATGGCCAGAGTAAAGTTCTTAGTAGAATATTGCTTCTTTTCTTTATTATGTAAATTCACTTTTATTATTATTATTATTAATACTTTTATTATCATTATTATTCCCATCATCCACATTTTATTACCACTCTATTACTGTTTATTAATATCATTGCTTTTCATACATATTTTATACAAAAACACTTTATAGCCTTTCCACTAGTTCCTGTCCATTTTACACGAGCTAACTGATTATTCACTATCTCACACTTATTACGTCATGCCAACTTCTGTCTCCTTTCTAACTTACATACCATTAGTCATCCCTTCTAGATTACACCTTACATAACGTAATACAATTTTTCAAGGACAAAATTTACCAGTATCTGATTGGTCTAAAGATTTCTTTGTTAAATACATAATTACGATTGTACAGCTCATGAAAATGAATCGTCGAAAAGAAAATTTTCTTCTCTGCTGTTTGTGCCTTTTTCTTATGACTCACTGTGGAAATATTTCGTTCATATATACTAAAAACTTGCAGTTTATATGAACAACTTTTAAAGTTAAAAAATAGAAAAAGAAGAAGAAAAGATTTTGGCAATGAAGATTACTCACTTGTTCACCAATCAGCAGGACACATTTTTGTTGTTTAGCAATTAAATCAATAAGGTATTCCGTGCGTACATTGTCTACATTCGGTACAAGTAATGAGGAATACTCCGGCGTATAGTCAGTTGGATAGACAAATTCCTCAACTCTTGTATTCCAATGGATCCATTCACCTGAATCACTAACTAGATAGTCAAATATCGTGTCATTCGAATCTGGAAGATATTCGGGAAGATCGAATTTCACTGTTTCATGTTTACGTAAATAACTTTCAAGTTTTCCACGATCAACACCTTCGAGAAAAGCACCAATACTCCACATGATTGCAAATATGTAAATACGTTCAAGATGTTTTGGAGTTATCTACAAAACAACAGATAGAAATGCATTTGTTTGGATTTAGAAAAACCTAACTAATATATATATATATATATATATATATCAAGTTGTAAACATTATTATTATTATTACTTCCTTTAATTCCTAGAGGAACATAGGGCTTCAGCTGCACGTCTCCATTGCGTTCGGTTCTATGCTAGAGTCTTCACCTGGCTCCAAGTCACACTTGGACGACCAACTCGCCGCTTCCCTTTCGGGTTCCACTCGAACAATGGCTTGTCTAGTGATATCATTTGATGGTTTGTTTCCTCAGAGTATGGCCAATCCATCTCCATTTCTTCCTGCCTATTTCTTTCACAATCGGTTCCTGCTGTGTTGGTTCGCTCATTGCCAGAGATCTCTGTTACTGATCATTTCTGTCCGGCCGGCCATCTTGGTATTGAGCGAAGGCAGCTGTTGATGAAAGTCTGTGGTTTGTTTGAGGTGCGCTTTATGACGCGCTGGCCAAGTCTCTGATCCGTGTAGTGAGTGGCACTGACTGACTTCACATTGGAGTTGAAAATCTGGATGTTATTTTTGATGCTGAGTGCTCACTGTTAACCTCCACACAGACTTGAGAGTAATGAAAGCTTGTCTTGCTTTCCCGATCCTTGCTGCTTTGATATCCTTGTCAGTTCCGTCCGCCTGTAGTTGAAACGATGCTTCCCAGGTAGGTAGGTAGGTGAAGGAGGTTGTTTCTTTCAGGTTCCTCCCATTTATGCTGGCTGATTGTTGTCTGTTGTTGTTGCTGTTGGTGTTGGCCAGGAATCTTCATCACCTCTGTTTTCTCTATATTCACCTGAAGTCTTATCTTCTCTGGATGCTTCTTCTATCAACTTGTTGCTTTTCGCTTGCATATCTTCCAGTTTGTGGGAAATCAGACATATATCATCGGCGAAGTCCAGATCCTCCAAGCCTCTTTTTGTGTGAGTCCATTTTATGCCTGTTTCCTCATTGCCCGCCACTGTTTGTCGCATTATCCAGTCTACCGGGATCAGGAAAATCATTGGCGATAGTAGGCAGGCAGCCTTGTCTTACTCCCGTCTCTGCTTCGAAGCATTATAAATGTGTTCCAGTAACTAAGGAAAAACTCTACCAGAACGCCATTAGAGATGAACACAACTAACACTGAGCGACTGATTGTACAAAAAGCAAGATTCATTGAAGAGGATTGTAGCTCACTGTTCTCCGTCGATAAGTTCAGCTCTCCTAACTAGGTGTCTTAATCATGAAACTTTCACAGCAGTTTCACACAAAACGTTCGGAACCTAATCCCAGCATGAAATGAGTTTTGTTCTTTGATAAATGATGCAATATGTGTCTTTACTTTAACAGGTTCTCCGTGTTGTTGGTTTCTATTTGTGCCGATCATTTTATTGACCCATAATTTAACCTTTTTGGCATTTCTTTTGCCAAGTAACTCTTTCCATATTAGTTTGTTTATTAGATGCACCACACAGTGAAACAGTATTAGTATTTACTCAATGACACAGTTTCGAACACAATTCACTATTGCTGTTCGTAATCATTTCCTTATCAATTATAATCACACGATTTCGAAACTTGAGTTTTATAGTTTTCTTTGTCCTCTCCTATTTGTCGTCGTCGTTGGGGTAGTAGAATTTTCCAGATATCTGTGTTGACAGGTGTTGAATCATTCCTGTTACATGCATTTGCAGTTCATTCGATAAACAAAGCTTCCGTTGTTATCAGTCTCTCCCTCCCTACACCCTATAACATTAGATTTTAAAACTGCCGCCATATCCCATCCAGCCTATTGTATCGTTGTGTGTAATTGCATGTAGTGAGTGCTATAGCTGCTGAACTATTCTCTAGATTTCTTATCTTATTCGGGTCACCTAATCCAGATTTCGCTGCTAGGTTTCTATGCTGCTCGGCTAGTCTGACTCACTGACTGACCCTGTTCTACTACTTTCACCTATGTATTTGACCTGACAATCATTGTAGACAGGGTATTAGATAAACTAAATTGTTTTGTTTTACCGGCTCCACAGGATTGGTCCTTCAAACGACAAAGCTTGTTTCTAATTGAGTTTGTGTTTGGTTTGAATTCCAGTCACTTTTATTCCTGTCTGCCTTGTTAATAATTCAGCGTAAGGTGGTTTCCGAGGTTCCTTCCTTGTATGGAATTTGCTTTTCTTATTTCTTTTCACCTAGTTCACTCTACTCCAGTATCACCTTTATTATGTGTGTCAACCTTTTGTAATTTAACTGATTAAAAATGCCCATTAAAATAACATTCTAAAGAATGGATACTGAACAAACAATAAATACTCTTGTCGATAACTTCATCATCATCACGCTCTACAGTTATATATCCATCCATTATAGTGAGGTGACACTAGTCAAAGAACCATTGGAAAACCTGGGAGTACATTGGCTAGGGGTCGCGCCATGTCGTGAATCGGCAGAAGTTAGAATTCATGCTCTGGTCATTGAATCGGGTCCCAGTGGCTTAATGGTGTACGAACTGGCCTTTTAACCAGAATGTCATGGGTTCGAATCCCGGTGGGTACGTACTGCTGAAGAGTCCCAAACTAGGACAACGGACACACCTGTCGAGTACTCCCTGCAGCTTTTTCACTGGTTCTCTAACTAATGTCACCTTGTGATGGAATCCTGTAAGCATTAAAAGTTCTTTGAACTGATGTTCTTAATTTCTTTGTAATAATCTCACTTGTCATATCGCCCTTGAATTGCAGTCGTATATAAAGAGGTTTCTTGTTTACAGATAGTGAGTAGTCCTTTTCCGCCGCTCTCTTTGTCATGTGTTTCTTGATAAATTTCTCGGGATAGCTTTTTCCGATCAAAGTCTCTTATACAATGCTTAATTCATCTTCAATTACTTCTTCTGAGCATATAGCTCTAACTCTGTGGCCGAGGGTCTTTAGTAAATTGGCAAAAGCATCGAAGCACCGCATGCTCCAAACAGCAGAGGCTATTGCGATACGCCTCAAACAACCAGTGCTTTGTGTGCAGAAGAAGCAAGTACAGCTAGCCCCTACTACTGCCCTGGCCTTCAGTAGAGACTAGAAATTCATGGATTTGTAATATTATCTTTCCTAATTCAACTGACATTCAGTGTGTATTGTTATGTTGATGCTATTGAGCTGTAATCCATTGGTATTATTATTATTATTGATTCGATGTTATTTAAACAGCAACATTAATGTTGTTGTTCATAACACTAATTCATTCATTCATTCACTATAATGGATGGATATATAACAACTGTAGAGCCTGATGATGATGATGAAGAGGTTATCGAGAAGAGTATTTATATTCTTTGTTCAGTGTCCATTTTTTTGAAAATTAAAGATTCATCTGTAGCAATACAAAAACCTTTATTATAATGAATATCATGTACTACCCAATGCCTAAATTTTTTCAAACTGTTAAAAGTGAACTTCGTTTGGACATAAGTAGTAAAGTAAAGTTGATTATTGAAGAAGTTTGTCCGATGTATATCGCATCACATTCCAAGCAAGCATTTGATTTTATAGACACAATTAGATAGAGAATCTTTAGGGATTTGGTCTTTTATATAGACAAGGTTGTTTCGTAGCGTGCCTGTCTGATGTTTTAAAGAAAACTCTAATGTCAAGCTGATTGAGTACTCTTCTGATGATATCGTCTGATGTTTCTGCTCTACATGGAATGACGACCGTTGAGGTCCATGTTTTCGGAATACGTTTCTGGCCATACTTAATGTCAGTGTTGATTTTGTTGATGAAGTCCCTTGGGTAGTTGTTTTGCTTGAGGAGAGTTTCAGTAATGTTTGATATTTCTTCTTCCACATTTTCTTTCTCATCCGTTAACATCAGAGAGTGTGCTCGTCTAAGAAGACTTGAAACAACTGAAATGTTTGCGCTGATGGAGTGTGATGATCTGAAGTCTAAATATTTGTTGTTGGAGTGGGTTTTCATCCTGAATAAAGATATACTAAAATGTCCGTTTTCTCTCCTCTTACCTAGCAAAGCCAAGTAATCCACAACGGGAAGCTCACGGAATCCTTCGAAGTGAAGACAGGAGTAAGACAAGCTGGCTGGCTGCCTACTATCGCCAATGATTTTCCTGATTGCAGTAGATTGGATAATGCGACAAACAGCGGGCCAGGCAGCGAGGAAACAGGCATAAAATGGACTCACACAAAAACAACTTGGAGGATCTGGACTTCGCCGATGATATATGTCTGATTTCCCACAAACTGGAAGATATGCAAGCGAAAAGCAACAAGTTGGCAGAAGAAGCATCAAAGATGGGACTTCAGGTGAACATAGAGAAAACGGAGGTGATGAAGATCCCTGGCCAACACCACCAACAACAACAACAGACAGCAATCAGCATAAATGGAAAGAACCTGAAAGAAACAACCTCCTTTACCTACTTGGGAAGCATTGTTTCAACTACAGGCGGATGGAACTGACGAGGATATCAAAGCAAGGATCGGGAAAGCAAGACAAGCTTTCATTACTCTCAAATCTGTGTGGAGATCAACAGCACTACTTAGCATGAAAATGAAAATAAGATCGGGATTTTCAACTCCAATGTGAAGTCAGTACTACTATACGGATCAGAGACTTGGCGTGTCACAAAGAGCATCTCAAACAAACTACAGACCTTCATTAACAGATGTCTTCGCTCAATACTCAAGATCAGATGGCCGTAAAGGATCAGCAACAAAGATCTCTGGGAGCGAACCAACCAGGAACCGATTGTGAAACAAATAGGCAGGAAGAAATGGAGATGGATTGGCTGGTTATACTCTGAGGAAACCATCAAGTGACATCACTAGACAAGCCATTGGTCGAGTGGAACCCGAAAGGGAAGCGACGAGTTGGTCGTCCAAGGGTGACCTGGAGGAGATCATGTGAAGAGGAGATGAAAGCATGTGGGCAGACCTGGAGCCAGGTGAAAACTCTAGCAGGGAACCGAACGCAATGGAGACGCATGGCTGAAGCCCTATGTTCCTCTAGGAACTAAAGGAAATAATAATAATACCTAGCAAGGCAGTCTAGAAGTGGTAGTTCACCGACGTCTGATTCTGCCTACTTCCGAAGTAAACTGGATTCTGGGTGATAGATTGTTCATTTTCTCCAGGAATGAATTGTGTAGATCTCGTTTTAGTACTACAAAAGTATCATCTCAATATGTTAACCATATTTTAGGAGCGAGTATGCTTGGAAAGATGTTATTTTCGAATCTATTCATGAAAAGGTCAGCGACTATTATGGGGGAGACTGGTGAACCCATAGCAACACCATTTGTCTGTCTATATAAACTCCCTTTAAATGTAAAATGATTACTTTCTAGACAGAATTTTAAGCTCTTAATTATTTGACTGGTGTCCAGTGGACATCTTTGTGATAGCGTTGTATCTGATTCTAGTAGACTGGAAATAATATCAAGACTTTCGGTAATAGGGATACTAATATAAAAACTGTAGAGCCTCATGATGATGATGATGAAGGGGTTATCAAAAAGCGTATTTATTCTTTGCTCAGTATCTCCATTCCTCTGTAAATCCAGTATAGTTTAAACTTAGATATAATAGAGAAGATTTGTAGCTCAGGTGGATGATTTTGGTGTGGTTGTGTTCTCTGAGCTGGATGGTTTGGTTGCGAAGCTTTCATTGCTCTACTGAGCAACATCTTCAGCGCATACTTCGATGTGAAGTGAGCCGCATCCAAAGAACCCTGAGCAAACTCACCAAAACGGGTCAGATCACAAAAGAAGATCAATGGCGAATGAAATCCAATGGACCCGTCATACCTCGATTCTACGGCAGACCAAAAATACACAAGCCAAATATACCTCTAAGACCAATCGTATCACTCCCAAGAACCCCAACATACAATTTATCCAAAGAACTATACAGAAGACTGAAACACTTGACGAAATCATGTGATCACTCCATCCAATCTGCGACCCAATTTTTAGAGAAAATCAAAGGCATTGAAATAGACAACCAAGAAATAATGGTATCCTTCGACGTCACGGCATTATATACTTCGATTGGACTAAAACTAGCAAAAGAAACCATGGAACAACTACTCAACAACAACAGTCAAAAATGCAGCATTCAAGTTGGATGGAATGCATAAACTTGTGTCTCACAACTTATTTCCAATTCAACGGCCAAATGTATGAACAAATTCAAGGGACACCTATGGGATCACCCATATCAGGATTGATTGCGGAAGCCGTCATGCAAAGACTGGAAAACATAATTCTGCCAAAGATCAAACCGAAAATTTGGATACGCTACATAGATGATACATTCGTGATAATCAAAAGAGAAAACTTAGACAATACCCACAACATAATAAACAACACCTTCAACGACATCAAATTCACAAGAGAAGAAGAATATGAAAACAAAATCCCATTTTTAGACGTCTTAATCAAACGAACAACTACAGGAAAATTAGAAACCCAAGTATACAGAAAACCAACGCACACGGATCAAATACTCAATTACAACAGTAACAACCCAACATCACACAAAATTAGCTGCATACGTACATTGTTCAAGAGAGCCAGGACTCATTGCAGCACTCCCGCCTTGAGGAAAATTGAAGAAAATCATCTTATGGACGTCTTCCAAAGAAATGGATACCCACGAAACTTCATCAAAAGACATCTACCCCCAGCTCAACCAACCAAATCAAAGGCCACCAGCGAAAACACAAAGAAAGTCGTCCTACCATATATAAAAGATATCTCCGAAATCACTGCAAGACTATTCAAACCTTTTGGAATCGATGTCGCTCATAAACCAACAAAGTCACTACACTCAGTTCTATGTAAACCAAAGGACTCAACGGCAAAAGAAGACAAAACTAACGTCATCTACAAGATAAGTTGCAACGACTGCGACAAACATTACATTGGTCAAAGTGGACGCCCTCTTCGTCTTCGCATTCACGAACACAAACTAGCTGTCAAAAGACACGACATACACTCCCTCATATCACTACATGCAGACAACCACAGGCACCAATTCGACTGGGACAATGTTCAAATCTTAGACAAAGGGAACTGCAAAAATGCCAGAGAATTCCTAGAGGCCTGGTATTCAAATGAATCAGCAATCAATAGACACATAGAGATTGACAAAATATACCAATCCATACGAAGAAATTCACACAAAAACAAAGTCAAACTTCAGGTCAAGGAAACAGTCAACACCAAAACAAGTGAACTAGAAAGTGAGAAGTCACACAAAAACAACCAATCACGTTCAAGGTTAGCAGAAGGAATGACTAACGACATTCAGACCAAAGAAGCAGCCAGCACCGAGACAAGCAAACTAGGGGGTGAAATGTCACACGAAAACAACCAATCACGTTCAAGGTTACTAGAAGAGATGACTAATAAACTCATAGAGAATTCTAAAAGCTCACTTCACATCGAAGTATGCGCTGAAGATGTTGCTCAGTAGAGCAATGAAAGCTTCGCAACCAAACCATCCAGCTCAGAGAACACAACCACACCAAAATAGTTTAAACTACACAAAATGCATACCATTCCATACATTCACTCACCGATGCACTGTCCTTTTCTTCTGGTGTCGGCAATATCCCAGTTAATAGATCGCATGCTTGACGAATAACGAAAGCTTCAAGAACATTCATTTTAAAATTTAAATGTCTAGTTGCATATTGGTAGACACTTTCAAAGGATGCAGTGAATAATTGTAATAGCTGGTCAGCTTCAGTTTTACTACGTGACAATAACCAACCTTGAAGGATGGGTAACCAGTTCAGCGTAGTTGTACTTATATACACCATACCTAGTGAACAAAAAGAAATAAAAATGTGGTGTTAGTGATGATAAATAACTTTTCAACGAATTTATCATCAAGCTGTACAATCGTATATAAACACATGGTTTTAAGAAGTTATATCCGGTGAGGGAATTGAAACATAGGTGTGAATGCATAAAATAATAATAATAATACACTCGAAATGGAGAACGAGTCTAGCATTCATTCCGTTGATGTGAACTTATCAAGGAGGACAGATGGAACTCTGAAGAGATCGATTTATCGAAAGCTGTCATGGAATGGTCAGCTGACAAATTTCTACAGCTGGGTACCCACTGGTCGAAAACGAAACCTGATCCGGTCGCTTGCCACTGGTATTCGGCGAATATGTAGTCCTGATACTGTGGAGGATTAGTTAATTCTTTTGAGGAAAATCCTAATAGAAAATGGATTTCCACCACGTTTTTATAGAAAAGAATATACATTCAAATCCTATAAAACGTGACTTATCATCCGCACCAAAGAAAATACTGTACATGAGCTTGGAATTCAAAGGTCACTTAGCTTCCGATATCATGAAACGAAGGATATCACAGTCCCTGAAAAGAACATTCCCTGCTGCAGCTTTGAGAATAGCCTTTACTAGTCGACCATTACTTGTTCAATAACCTCCTGAAGGACAAGATCCCACTGTTGACCAACTCTATGTGTGTGTTTATCAATTCACCTGCTCGTGTGGAGCTAGGTATATCGATCGTTCGACACGAGTTTTGTCCAAGAGGGTGCAAGAACACTATCCTGCATGGTTGTAGTTACGAATAAGTGGAATTGGAGCCATGAGAAGCGCGATCATTGAACATCTGGTTGATAATGATCACCCTATCTCTATAGCCTCCGCCTTTAAAGTCATCTACAAGGCAAAAAGTAATTAACCCAAATCCCTACGTACCCGACTCATCTGTATTGCTGAAGCCTTCTTTGGCTATCGAAACAGAAAAGCCAGATCTCTGTGTACAGAAAAAGTTCGTTCAACCCCTCCAACTTTCATGGTCTTAATCCCTCTATGCTAAAGTATAGTAATCCCTAATCATATTTTAGCTCTACCAATTTTTCATTTTTACATTTTGTCTATTCAATTCGTATACTCTTCCTTACTAAGTCAATTGTTACTATTACTATTCTCACTTTTAATTGTATTTTTTCACTTGTTCCACTTGTCATTCTAAATCAATTCTTCTTTATTAGAACGTTAAATTCTATGTTATCAAATTTCACACAATATTACGTAACGTTCTTGTCTACTAATCTTATAATTGCTCACCCTTTACAAGTTCTATCCATCCTATGAATTATTCTATATATGATACTAATTGTTTTGCCACTTGACATTCAACTATGATTATAATCACAAACAATTTAGTTTTAATTGCATTTCATATTATTACTATTATTATTATTATTTTATGCATTCACACCTATAATTCAATTCCCACACTGGATATAATTTCTTAAAGAAAACCATATATATACGATTGTACAGCTTGATGATAAATTCGTTGTTGAAAAGAGTCTCTTCGCTCAATCATGACTTGTTTTGATTTTCTAGATAAATAACTTCACTAAAAGTATATTTCGTCTGACTTCTTTTTACATTAAGAAGTTGAGGAAGGCACTCCTCAGGCGCATAACCCAACCAACCCCTCCTCCTCCTCTTACAGTTTGTCAACTCGTGCGCATCTTACCTATTCTTCTTTACTGTTCACCCCGTGCTTATTCTTTCCTGGATTGCTTGCTTAAAAAAGACTATGTCATACTTCGTAGAACTCTGATGACTGTCATTAGGACGAGTAGTATCCCATTGGGCCATATCGTTGACATTGTCACTGATGGCCAGCACTTGATTTCATGCAACAAATTTGCTAAAGGAATTTTGTCAGACTCTGAGCATCCACGGCAGCTCCAACCTTGTGTCCCCTCAGGTAAAACAAGAAGTCTTTTCAGAAGACTTTATACACATACGTCTAAGTACAAAAATTCCACTATACCATATTTGGTGGCACGTACTTTATGTGATGAAAATAGTGTTAGGCATGAACTAACTAACTAACTAACCTTCTTTGCACTACTAAATAAACCATTTCCTCCACCCTTAAAGCATCAAACTTTATTGTTATTGTATTTCTTATACTTAATATCCTCTCAACTTTTTGTTTTTATTTTTATTTATTTTTTTCATAAGTATGGACATAATTTAAGCTGTATTGTAACTGTTGATTTTGTATTCCCCCTCACCATACTGTATCAACAGAACATTAGATCCAATAATCTATAACATGCTAAAGTTTCCAAACTGAATCGACAATACTGTTTGAAACAAACTCACTGTTATTATTATTATTATTATTATTATTATTATTATTATATTTAATAATCTCAATTCGTGCTTCGAATAGTTTTGACTTTATATCGTGAATGTGGATAAATTCTTCTGGTTAATTTTGTTTTAATTTTATTTATATTTTGAGTAAATCAGATGCAAAATGTTGTGAGAAATGCTGAGAATTCCATTCTGTATTATAAGTACTGTGTTTGGAATGAAGTACATTATTATTTTTATTATTATTGTTACTTTGAAGTACAACCCAGTAAAAAGCGTTACTCCGTCAGAATGACAAGGACGCTTAGGTAGCTTAAAAATCCTCATTAAGTGATATAAAAAAGAGACGACATTCAGCGAAGAGACTCTTTCCGACGGTGAATTCATTCACATAGCTAGATGTACAATCGCATTTATACATAATTATTTGTGTGTGTGTACATGAGGTTTTTCAAGTTAAGATAATTAATCAGGTAATACAAGAATGATCTAATATAGAAACAAGGTTAATTAGACAGCAACTAAAGTAGGATTGAGTTAGTGTGAAGGATAAACTGCCGCTTAGGACGGGCCACTTCAATGGGTGTGTTTATAAATTTACCTGCTCGTGTGGAGCTAGTTATATTGACCGCCCGCACAACTTGGCGAACACTTTCCAAACAAAGCATCTCTGAACATTATCCGGCATGGTTAGCAAAGGGACAATAACACAAGACACAATTACTAGCTCAATTCTCAAGTATTTGGTGAACTGAAGCCACGCAGCTCCACCAGAGTCGTCTTTCAAGATCATCCACAAGGTGAAGCCAAATGGTACAGAGGGTGTCACGTTTCGGCTTTTGCGTATGAAGCGGAGGCGCTGGTAATTCGTCTATACAACCCCAAACTTTCAAAGTGTCTTATTCTACCTTGGTGTTATAACTGATTCGTTTGAATTAGCCATCAGTAGACTTGCTGTCTTCAGCGTATTCCCTCTTCACAAATGTGCCAGTCGTTGAGACTATCGACTTCATATGTAAAGAAGCTGAAAGGACATACCCATTCCAACATGGGAATTGTGGATATTTCTACTTTTATATACTAAAAATGTCCAATTCCAATTCGACGGGCGTTTATTCCGTCAAGTTGATGGTGTCGCAATGGGAAGCCCTTTGGGAACACTTTTCGCACACTTATTCTTGTCAGACCTAGAAGCCGCCGGTACCTTGCAGCAACATATACAAGAAACGGATGTACACCTGAGATATGTTGATGACATTTTTATTGTCTGTGGAAGCAGATCAAAAGCTGAAGACCTCCGGTTGATAAAATTCAACTCATGCCAGCCACCCGAATCTCAATTTCACAATAGAACACGAGGAAAACGATACTATTAAATTCTTAGACGTTCTTCTAGCGAAAATGAATGATGGCACAATCGAAAGATCTAAATGTAGAAAGTATACATAGACAGGACAGTACGTGCATTTCAAGAGTTTTGTTCCAATCCAGTATAACAAGAACTTAGTCAGAACACTGTTCAACAGAGCCCGAAAAATTTGCTCTGAAGGATATTTTATCTCAGAATGGACATCCTGAGGAGTTCATTGATAAATACTCTAAAGAAATGAGCCCCTGCAAAACTATCCAAACAGTTCCGAAGAAATCTGTCTATATCAGTTGACCATTCAAAGGAGATGATGTACAGGAAGTAGTCAAACGAAGACTCGATAAAGCCAACAAGCGAACTTATTATGCTGCAAAACTTGTTTTCCTTAACACCACCACTAAGCGAGTGCTTCAACAATCAGGGAAAGACCAGTGTTCGCCAATCCTCGACACTTCAAACTGTGTATATCAATTTGATGAGTGTATTTGTGGAAGCAAATACATAGGTCGTACAGAAAGGCGATTGTGTACTCGCGAGATGGAGCATTTGCCAAAATGGTTGAGAACAGCTGAGTGCAAAATACCAAAATCCTCAATAACAAAACATCTTGTGGACTACGAACATGATATCGACGCGGTCAAGTCATTCACTGTTATTGTCAGCAGACAAACAAATAAGAAGATGCTTGCAATTCCGGAGAAGGCTTGTGCAATTTGAGTTTATAAACCAGGTCTCTGTGTACGAAAGGAGATGGCCGTGACTCTGAATCTACCATGGTAATACGTTTTACTTATTATTCTACCTCTTATTATTATTATTCTCATTATTATTATTCTTGATTCATTTAAAACTATCCTTTATCAGTAGCATTATCTTAACTCACTTCAACACTTATTATTATTATTATTGTTATTATAACTATTACTATTGATATTACTCTGTTTGCAATTCTTGTTATATTCTCTAATTGTTTATCTAAGTGATGTGTAATTGAAGCGTAACGCATTTTATCTTAACTTTGATCTCTCATACTCCCTTCCTCCCCTTATCTATTTGAACATGACCTGGAAAACATTCGCACCTGTCTTTCTGCATGACTAATTCAATGTAGTTTGTTTACTTATCAGTCTTATATCACCCAGTGTAATTTCAAAAGTATATATATATATGTATATATATCCATGTATGTAGAGTACTGAGCAGGTGACGAGTTCTACCGAAATTTGATGAATCCATCATTAAATCCTGCTTTATTAACCAACCTTTATTGCTTGTTTTAAATTCGTATCGCGAAATAAATGTTTTCAATGCGTATATATGGTTTATTTAAGAAATTATATCCGGTGAGGGAGGAAATTAGGTCAAAGGTGTGAATACATGAAATCATAATAATAGTAGTAGTATGAAATGCAATTGAAATATTTGTAATTATAATCATAGATAAATGTCAAGTGGCAAAATAATTAATGTCATATATAGAATAATACATAAGATGGATGTATAGATGTTGGAAAGTCATGAATTGCCAAGGCCTCAGCTGTCTTTAGAAGTCTGTGGCGAAGAAAACGCGGCCAGAAAGTTAGCATGGATTCTCTACATGATCTTAAAATCATGGTCAGGGTTGGTGTGGATTGATAGAAGTCGATCAGGTGTTCCAGAATAGCTCATCGAACACACTTTCTTTCTCCCTTGTAATACCATGCTGTTGGAATATGTTCTCGTATCCGTGCGGTGGAAACCGGCGTCCTCTGGCTACGACCAATATACCTTACTCCACAAGAGGATCAGGTGAACTGATAGATGTACATAGAGGCGGTCAGACGGTGGAGGGGGAGCTTATCTTTTACACAGAGGTAGAGAACAACTTGCGGCTGGTGAACGTCATTTGTAATTTTGCTGCAAAGAACGTCTTACTGACTGATTTAGAGAGATGATTGTAATCACAAATATTTTAATTGCATTTCATGCTATTACTATTGTTATTTCATATATTCACACCTTTGACCTAATTCCCTCACCGGATATAATTTCTTAAAAAAACCGTATAATTATACGACTGTAGAGTTTCGAAAAAACCAATGTTCATAGAATTCCAGTTCCTCGGTGACAACATCAGTGAAATCATAACACAGCGAGCCCCTGAAGAATGAAGTTAAAAGAGCTTATGATGCAGCAGTGAGAGGTAGGTTGTCTCTTCACAACTATCTAAATTTGTCTCTTCCATGTGTATCTACCAGTTTGACTGGAGCTGTAGCTGGGCGTACAATTAGGCAGGTTCATCGTCGTATTCCCGAACATCATCCAGCATGGTTAAGCAGCAAGGGACAAACAAGATCTATTCGTACTTCTATTTTAGCACACCTTAATGATATTGAGCATAAGGTTGATGTGAAGACTGCATTTAAAATTATTTATCGCATTCCGATTAATCTTAACCTTGCTCTACGAGTTCGTCTTCTACATACCTACAGCTGAAGCAATAGGAATCCAACTGAAGAAGCCGAACCTGTGTGTGTATTCAGAAGAAATTTGTACAGCCACTTTCCTTACCTTCCTTGGCCATCTCTAGAAGAATGCATAAACAGGACTACGTCGACCCCTCCCCCTAAACCTATAAAAATTATAATTGTCCAAATTATTTTATTTTCATATATTTTGACCAATTCATTTTTAATTACGTGTTGTCCTTGTGAAATTAATTTGTTCTAACCATTTATACCCTTTAACTGTGTGTCTTGATTTTCTTCGTTTATTATCAACCCATTGACATTTTGACACTGTTTAATTATTGTTAACAAACATATCACCACTTGATTGGTAAATTGTTGTGTATTGTGAAAATGCTATATATATTAGAGTAGAGCCAGAGATGAGGATCTAATTGAAAAGTAAATATTTCTTCGTTGCTCAATCTTTCTGTTTTCCAAATAAATTTGTTGTTGAAAAGAGTCTCTTCTCTGAATATCTTGTGTTCTTAATGCTACAATTGGGGGGAATTATTAAATGACATTCGTCACTCACAGCTATTAAATACAATAATATTGCTAAAAAGAAATTAAAATAAATAGACAGGAATGAGTGGATTAATTAATTATGGGAACAACAACAAAGTTGAATAACAGAAGTTAAAACAAATAGAAAAGAAAAGAAAAGAAGGCAATTAGTCTGTGAGTACTACTCACCGTTTCTTGAAACAGTTGCAGGTGATGCATTGTCTACATTGTCCACTTCAAAAATAATCTTACAACACGGTGCCATTGGAATACGATCACCATTGGCCAATGTCAGAAGTTTACTATCATCCAGGACAGAATTCAAATTTTCAATCCATAAAGCATCAACTGGACCATCCAGCACTAACCAGATATGTTCACCTTTCTTTGCTTTCAGTGTTCTACGCCATAAAGTGGAAAATATACCATCAGTCCAATCATTAGTGGCTACATCCAATCGGCCAAACATTTGTGCGGCGGTAATCGCTTTCGGATTCATACGCATTTCACGATGTGGTTCAAAGCATTGAGTCATTGCCTGGTATATGAATAATAGTAATAAAAATAAAAACAAAAAAACAATCGTTTAAAATTAATAATAATAATAATGTACATGAAAATCTATAAATATGTGTTGATTTCCTGAATATACGATCTATTTGGCTGGCCCTTGTCTTCTGTTGTTACATTTGGTGTCGTTGTTCTCTACTCCGATATATCTAGGGCATTTGACATGGTGTCTCATAGTATTCTCTTTGAGAAGGTGTACTCATGTGGAATTCGCAATCCATCCATCACTTCACTTCACTGGTTAAGATCATTTCCAAGAACCTGCCTGTTGTGATCGCTTGTACCATTGTCGAACAATTTTAACTTTTCAAAAGGTATTAATTTATGATACTTCACAACTGTAATTTATAACATAACTGATCGTGCCTGTAAAAATGGCATGGAATTTCTTGTAAACTTACCCGTTTATACGAAATATAAATATATGATTGTTGTCAAATTGCTAGTAGTATTCAGGCTACATGGAACTTGGAGTGATGTGTAGGTATCTTCTCAGCCAGGGTGAGGACGAACTCTACCGTGATGTATTCTCCTCGCGCTCACTGTATGGGTTATCGTCTTCACGCCTTTACAGGCATTATAAGCGTTCATTTTTGGGAAAATGAGGTATATTTGATTCGTTTCAGGTAGGCATCTGCAGGCGAAAAGACCGATATATACTTTTTTCTTGTATTACATACGCAATAATGCGTAAAATTCCTTGATACCCCAGACGCAATATTACGAAGAAAGGCATGCGCTTAAAGAAATTATACAAATAAATGACTTTTATGTTGGTTTGGAAGCCTTAAAAGTTCGATAATTACTAGTGATTCCAGGTTTTGAATTGGCTACAGGCAACGGCCGGTTAATGTCATAGCAGTTATACTGGCAAAAGATTTGGCCTTTTGATAGAGAATAAGTCCACAGACAGAAGTTAGTTAGATTGTAGTGACCCGTTTTATTACTCATCATCGCAATATACTTTCATTGTGTAATTGTACTTCGATTTGTTTATTACTCTAAATCTTGCATGTTAACAATTGATACTTTTTGTACTCGCTCGATTTTTGAATGCTGCAATAATACACTGTCGTATTCCTTCGCAAGTGCCTTTTGAATTACGTTGTGGATGTCGAGTAATCACAACGTTAGGACACAAATATAAACGCGAAGAAGTATTAGGATATGTGTATACGCTAGTTTAGTCAAAATATAGCAGCAACAAGATATCTGTTCGGAATGGATTAAGCGAGCATTTTCATTATCATCCATGATGAGTGAAATCCTGCATAACACATCCAAGAAATCATCGGGTGAATGAGACAAGCGGCTGAATTTTGCAGTGATTACGTGCATTTGAATGAAGTTCATGCATATAATGGTTCAGCATAAGATGTGATAATATAGTGAAATTTACATTGTCACATGGAAATTCGGAACACCGTGACTGCTTCCTGCATCAACGGGAACTGACTTATCTTGAAATATCAGTGTGCATTCGGATAAGAACAATACAATACATAGTCCTTCTGAAATATCGAAGTGTAGCCTGTAGGTCCCTCCTACTACTAGTACATTTGTTACCTATGTCATATCAGTTGCAGGAATCATTCGCTTTCAGATTACCAAGACATTTTGGATTTCTTCAAGAGATACCTATGTCTATGATAGATATGGAAGTGACACTTGCAACTGATATTTTCTACCACATCTGAAGTATCATCTGGTCTGAGGAGACTTCTTGAAATTCATTTTGAAGCGCAGAAGCATACGAAGTTGTGGATGGTATTATCCCTTACGGCACAGGTGATGAAATCGAATCTTTAGAGGTTGACGGTATCGACGTTCGCGAATTGTACGGAGTATAGTAGTGACGCAAGATCTTATACCAACAACTTCTATAATATTCGTTTGTTGTGTACCAAAGACAAAGCAAAAGACCAGATTTAGTCGTCCTCCAAAGTACGTGATAAATTTCGGGACGAAATAGTAAACGGTATCGAGTGAATGCTTAGCTAGCTGGGGCTAGTGATCGTGCAAGCACGTGACACAACGGAGTAGCAAATGGCAAGGATGCTTGACCTGAACTGAAGCCTTCAGCTAAACAAGTCGACTTAAACAGTGTGAGGGTCAGCATCCAATGTGTTGAGTGATGATTGCTGTGGTCAATAATTTTGGGGAATTATTTACCGCTAAAAATGAATCCGACTTAAAATTTCTTAACAAAGTAATGCTAATGTGACAAATGTTTGATAAGAAAACACTATTCAGAGGAAATGTTTAGATCGTTTACAAGTAAGTGCTACTGAAGACTCCGTAATTATTCGCATTTTAGACGCGTGAACTATCTTCCAAAGTTACAAAAATGACACCGAAATATGAAGGCATCGTTGTCTGCTTGCTTGCTTACTTGACAAAGGATGCAATTTATGTGACAGTTGAAATCACAGAGAAATGATGTTATTAAGAACACCAGATATATTCAGCGAAGAGACTCCTCTTTTCAACAACGAATTTATTCTCTTCAAGCTGTACAATCGTATATATATGGTTTTTATATTAAGAAATTATATCCGGTGAGGGAGGGAATTAGGTCAAAGGTGTGAATACATGAAATAATGGTAGTAATATGAAATGCAATTAAAATATTTGTGATTACAATCACAGTTTAATGTCAAGTGGCAAAGTACTTAATGTCGTATATAGAATAACACATAAGATGGGTGTATAGATTTTGGAAAGGGGTGCATAATTATAGGATTAGTAGACGAATATAAAATGTTACATAACATGGTGTGAAGTTTGATAAGATAGAATTCAATATTGCAAAAATAAAAACATGAAAATTAATAATTTTGGGTTTAAAATGTCAAGTGGATCAAGTGGAAAAGATTCAAAGTGAGAATAGTAATAATAATAATGATAATATTAATTCAAGTATTGGTTAGAATTCAAGGACCATTGGATCGGGTCCCAGTGGCTCAATGGTCTACGAGCTCGCCTTGTAACCAGAAGGTCCTGGGTTCGAATCCCGGTGGGTGCGTACTGCTGAAGAGTCCCAAACTAGGACGAAACAGCTGTCCAGTACTCCCAGGTTTTCCAATGGTTCTCTAACTGATGTCAGCTCATGATGAAATCCTCCATACAATATTAATAATAATCGTAGTAATAAGGGAAAAGTACATAGAATAACTAAATAAACAAAATAAATAAATGTCTATCCCTCTACGGCCAAGGCAGAAGTAGGGATTGTACATACTTCTTTTGTACACAAAGGTCTTGGCTTAAATTCATGAATTACCAAGGCCTCAGCTGTCTTTAGAAGTCTGTAACGAAGAAAACGCGGCCGGGAAGTTAGCATGGATTCTACTGTATATGATCTTGAAATCATGGTCAGGGTTGACAGAGTGACAGAAGTCGATCAGGTGTTCCAAAATAGAGCTTCTCACACATATTTCCTTTCTCCCTTGTAAAACCATGCCGCTGGAATATGTTCTCGTATCCGTGTGGAAAGTGGCGTCCTCTGGCTACGGCCAGTGTACCTTGCTCCACAAGAGCAGGTGAACTGATAGATGCACACAGAGGCGGTCAGACGGGGGGCGAGCTTATCTTTTACGCAGAGGTAGAGAACAAATTGCGGCTAGTGAACGTCATATGTAATTTTGCTGCATGGAACGTCTTACTGACTCATTTAGAGAGACGATTTTTGAGCATATCTGAAGCTTGATCACCTTTGAATTCCAAGTTCATGAATAAGGTTTTCGTTGGAACTGTGTTGGTGACCAGTTTAGACTGCTTATCTTCCATGTTGCTGTCAATAAATCGGTTAGGGTAACCGTTTTCTGTGTCGCTGCCTACCGACAAATGCAAAGCCTATGCCCTGCAGTTTTTGATGGAAACATGTGGATCTTCGGGCAGGACTTCGAGGCTTCTTCGCAGTTGAGTGGCGTTCTGTCAGATCTATCAGCGATGAGGCTACTACTTGGTACGCTGCTGGGAGGTCGGGAGAAAGCAGCATATGATGAAAGTGTAAGGCGAAATACCAACGATTGTTCGACAGGGTCAGACAAACAGTTTCCAAAGTGAGAAGGAGGACCACATATAGTCACTTTGAGATGATAGGGTTACGCAGACACAATCGCAATGGTAAACAGAGTGGTAAACAGGTGAACATCAGCGAGCTCCGAGATGCCAGACAGCAAGACAAACGAACAAAGCCCCAGGAACCAAGAAGACCAAACCAACTTCAGTCGTAAGTCTTTGAGTATGGTGACAGCCGGCTGCTAGGCAAAGTTGGTAGATAGTAATTTACGTCAATGTTTATCTCCCCAATATGGGTCATGTGACAGAAACAAGAACAAAGACTGACTGACTCAACAACCAATCACAGCCTACTTTGTTTGCGTAGGTGGATACAATTAGCAGATAGACAGATGATCTGACCTTCAAGAAACAGTCACAAAGAAGAAACAACCAATCAGAAGACTGTGTTTGTCTGCTAACAATAATCGATAATAATGTACATGAAAATCTATAAATATCTGTTGATTTCGTAAATAAACGATCTGTTTGGCTGGCCCTTGTCTTCTGTTGTTACAATTTCTTCTAATTTCTAACTGTTTCAACTCACTATCATATTTTCTCTACAGACAGGCCAAGATTTGTATCGCCTCTATATTATGAAACATTGGTAGACACAAGCCTGTTTATCATAAGAATGTTAGCTGATGATTTTGCTGTTCTGGGATTTTGTGACATATTTTACGGTTAAGATTAAGATGCTCAGCACTAGTGGACGAGATAACCAACCTCAGAAAGCCTAGCAACACTTTGTAATTCCATCTACAAAAAATAGCCCAGCCGGAAGCATATATGTGTAACAAAGTAACCAATAAAATAAAACACACTTAGTTTAGCATACCACTAAGATGTACTTGATTTAATTGAATTTTAGATTTTCCCGTCGATTGATTGATTGGACCGAAGTGCTCAGTCTCAGGTGCTGACATGTCTGTTGGCTTCTTGTGCAGATGCTTCGACGATCGATGTCTGGGCATGTAATTCGAATTTAATTGGTGAATGATGACTAGCAGTGGAATCCAGGACCAGGATAACGCGAATTTCGTCCTATTTGGGACTCGTCCGCCAGCTGGATGTATCTGCATTCCTCAGAGAGTTAGTGATGGTGCTCCCACCGAGACTCGAACCCAGTGGCCATAGTTTCAAGCATCAGCCAAAGCGTTATCCAATAAACCATGAGAGCTCTTGTGCAACGGGTCATAATTAATTATTTAATTGAATTTTAGATTTTCCCGTCGACTGATTGGACGTAAATGCGTGTTATCCTGGATTCTGTCACTGCTAGTCACCATCCACAAATTAAATTCTAATTACCTGCCCAGACATCGATCGTCGAAACATCTGCACAAGAAGCCAATAGACATGTCAACCTGACCCGATCGAGCACTTTGGTCCAATCAATCGACGGGGGAAATCTAAAATTCAATTAAACAAGTAATAGGAACCATTGAACAAGAGGTGGATCTTGTGGCCCAGGTGATCTAGTGGATAACGCTTTGGCTACTGGTGTTTGAAACTATGGCCACTGGGTTCGAGCCTCCGTGGTGGGAACATCATCATCACTGACTCACTGGGGAATGCAGGTACATCCAGTAGCTGACGATCTATTCCCAAATAGGACGAAATGCGCGTTATCCTGACTGGATTCCACTGCGAGTCACCATCCACCAATTGAATTCTACACATGATGTTACGTGTATTGCTTAGCTGATTTCATTTTATAAGATTACGCGCATGGGTTCTCAGTAGTAGTAGCCCAGTAATTTCACAATCCTCAAAGTGTGCGAAACACCTCAAAATAATAAGCAGATTAGGTACGTAGAATGGAGAATTGTTCTGGAAAGTCATCAATATCGACGTGGAAAGTTGTGGTGCACTGTGTGCATTACACTATACACACTATGGTTTTTTCTACCACTTTGTATCTTAAAGTGTACTTTAAGCGTTCGCGTTTCTCAATACACTGTACAGTTCCTTTTTGAGCTCACCGAGTTGATTTATGCTCTGTCCTAGAGTGATGTTAGAAGCGCATAATAAGATCTGAAGCTTGATTACACAATTTAACTGCTCCTACTATGGAGTGAGCCAATCAGTTACTTGCATAGGCCGTACACAACTAAGCGTGATTCTCGTCGGATTTCTCAACATCACCCACCCTGCACAGTGGTCGGTTGGTTAAGCAAAGGACAAACAAAATCTATCTATTCGCAGCGCTATTCTATCTCACTCATCTTGTGGATACACAACACAAGACTAATTGATTGATGTTAACCAGGTGGCTTTCAGGGTCATTTACCGCATACCAATTTCGCCTTAACAGTTCGACTACTAAATATTGGTGAGGCTTACTGGCTGGCTGTTGGGATTCATATTAACAAGCCTAATTTGTGCATCCAAAAGAAGTTGGTTGGTTCTGACTTTGTCCTTACCCACTTGTCCATCTAGGTTTGAATGATCCTCAGTTTTTGTGGAATTTTCCTTAATTTCAGTTGACATACTATTTGCTAGTATATCTTTATTATTATTATTTGACCATCCTCAATGAACTGTGGTAATTCCATTATGGTCTTACTTTACAAATCGATATTATTTAAAAAGCACACACTAATATTGTTATTGACTACTAATCTAGAATATTCTATGTATATAAACATGCATATATGTATAGATAATTGTAGAGCGAGAAGAGGAGGAATTTATCGAAAAAGGATATTCTTTGCTGGCTCAATTACTTTGTCTTTTAAAAAATGCATTTTCTAGACAAGACTGATAAAGCTTTCATGGATAGTGTGAATCTGTCACAGTCGCGCCACAACTTTTAACTGACTAAGGAAGGCATCGCTGCTATTATTAGACTGGTTTGTTTATCGAATCAACTGCAAATACGTGCCTGCAATAGGAATGATTCAACACCTATCCAGCCACATGTCTGGAAAATTCTACTACCCCAACGATGACGACAAATAGGAGAGGACAAAGAAAACTACAAAACTCAAGTTTCGAAGTCGTGTGATTATAATTGAAGATATGATTATGAACAGCAATAAATTTTTTGTTCGAAACTGTGTCATCCAGTAAATACTAATACTGTTTCACTGACTGTGTGGAGCATCTAATAAACAAACTAATATGGAGTTACTTCTCTTTCGTGTCTACTTTTAGGCTAATCATCGAGGTGCACAATAATGTCTTCCCAGTTTGATTTGTTAGACTTTGGCTCTGAAAGCACCTAAATAATCTAGAGCTTTCCCCACTTATAATAATAATCATAATAATAGAAAATAAGCTGGATGAGAGTACAGAATCACACACTATTCAACAACCTCATCAGTTGATTTCATGACACTCCTAACCATCCAGTAGCCAGAGAGAGAAGTTACTTTTACTTAGCAGACAAATCGCATGTTCTATTCTCTTATGTTAGGCATGTTAGGCCTTAACTGTATGCAGCTGACTTGGATTGAGCACATAAAAATAAAGGCGACAGATAAATTTAACTCTCTTTTTTTCATAAAGAAACACAGAGGTCGGTGGTACAATGGTTAGGTCCGGGGTTCGATCCCCTGCCGACGCACACCCGATATAATTGTAGAGCGAGAAGAGGAGGAGGAATTTATCGAAAAGGGGGATATTCTTTGCTGGCTCAATTATATTTTGTGATTTCATTTTGTTCAACTGCTAATCAGTGACCAGTGACCACATATTACAACAGTCAACAAGCAGAAGGGAGAAGAGAATGTTACCAGGACACTTAATTATTAATTATTTCAAGGTCCCATGTGACTGACTGTCCTTTATTCAGGTTTGTGTATTAGTAGAACGTTTCACGCCTCTCTCTCTCACTCCGCAGTACAAAATTATGTGTGTGCATGTGGTGAGAGCTGTCTACTAGCCAAATTGGTAGACAGTAATTTACGTCAATATTTACGTTCCCAAGATTTGTCGTGAGAAACAACCAATCGGAAGACTGTGTTTGTTTGTTTGTTTACATAACCATAGTAATGTACATGAAGTCGTGAGAAACAACCAATCGGAAGACTGTGTTTGTTTGTTTACATATCCATAGTAATGTACATGAAAACATATATAAATATGCGTTGATTCCCTTAATAAATGATCTGTTGCCTGGCCCTTGTCTTCTGTTGTTACATGCGCAAATCTATTCTCAATCGCGGTATTCTCATGCAGCAGCTAACTAAGTTCTCACACACTTTTCTGCATAATGACCGTTCCTCTTTCTCTGTCACTCTCTCTTAACACCTGATATCAAATTACAGTATGCAGCAGAATTGTGGTCGTGGTGGTGTTGTCACTCAGATCAGTCAATACCATAAAACACGTGATCACGTGATCAGTAGATTTTTATCCAAAAACAGCTCTCTGCTAGCAGAACTGATTCGCATGCATGCATGCAGGTTCATTCTGAAATGAAATACGCGATAAACGGATTTGTGTGTTATTTAACATAAACAACTATAAACAACTGTGTATAGTTGTGTTATTTGTCACACTCAACTGATACATTCGTAAGGTTAATACAAAATGTAATTTGAGCTATACACTTAAACAGAGTTAGTTACAGTCAACTGCCAATGTAGATAATAAGATAAATAGCTTTTATCTCATGGGTGAATTCCCATTGTGACAAATAGATATTCAAAACAGCGAAGAGACTCTTTTAACCAACGAAAATGATGTACCGCTGCGACCAGTATTAGATATGCTAAATTCACCATACCATCCTGTAGCCAAATGGTTAGTCGAACTCTTATAGCCTCTTCATACTGAGTTGGTGAAACACAGTGTGCTGTAAAGGATACTTTTGGATTTGTTGAAAGGATAAAACATTTAAATGTTGACAATAAATTCATGATATCATTTGTTGACGTATCCTTCCTTATTCACCAATGTACGTACCAATTATCGAAACAGTGGATTTTGTATGCGAAGAATTCTTCATAAGACGAAACATCGATGTTGGCATTCCTAAATCTTTCATGATGAAAGTGCTTCTCTCTTGAAATGCACAATGAATGTCCACTTTTTATTTAATAAGGAAATATATAGACAAATCGACGGTGTGGCAATGGGGTCACCACTAGGACCTATTCTAGCTGACATTTTCCTTGCGAAACTAGAAAATAATGGGCCTTTGAAGGATGTTATTAATGAACTCGAATTTTATTGTCGGTACATGGATGATACATTTTTGATTATGAAAAATGAGGAGGCAAAGAACACTCTGCGTAAATTTAACGAGGTTAGTCCTGCAATGAATTTTACTATTGAGAAAAAAAGACTCTAGGTATTTCATTCCCTAGACTACGTCCTTAGAACCAGAAAATAGGATGGCGCAATAAGAAGAAGTGTATGCAGAAAACCTACATGAACGGGTGAGTATACTCATTTTTTCAGCTTCGTGCCCTTGAAATACAAACGCAATCTGATAAAGTGCTTGGTTCACAGAGCAAGAGTAATTCGCTCGAATGAATGTCTTGATGAGGAACTTAATAATATTAAACGGTTGGTGAGTGGAAATGGTCATCCATAAAAGTTTATTGATAAAAATGATTATAATCACAAACATTTTAGTTTTAATTGCATTTCATACTACTATTATTATTATTTTATGCATTCACTCAGACCTATGATTCAATTCCCTCACCGGATATAACTTCTTAAAAACCATGTTTATGTATACGATTGTACAGCTTGATGAGGATAAATTCGTCTGTTGAAAAGAGGAGTCTCTTCACTGAATGGATCACCACTTGTTTTGATTTTCTAAATGTAGTTTTTATAACCAGTCAGTTAGTTAGTTAGATAGTTATCCGTTATTGTAATTGTAATTGTAACGTAAACTGTTGCAGATAAACTACTGAGTGACTTACTCTCATTAATGTTTGAATACAACAGGATTTCCCAGTTCCTGAGGGACCCAATGTCATCATCCCGTGACGAACACGTTGAGTTTCATATAACTGGATAACTTTGAGAAACCATGGAGGATGACTGATGAGATGGGATTCTGCCAGGTTTTGCTTTATAGCCTTTTCGAGTTCTGGATAACCACCTTTGTACAGGGAAAGACCTTAGATAATCGAATATAGAAACAAGCAATTGATCAGTTGGCGGGGAGGGGGAATAATATGGAAAACATAATATCATACGAAAATATTGACTAATGTAAGGGAATGATATGATTGGAAAACACGTTCGTGGTTCACGTCATAGATGAGACGAGAGATTTGACTGGGAAGAAAAAAAACAATGTTACGCCCTTAACATCTCTTCATCTGTACACCTTGGTGCACAATAGTACAGCAGGTAATTGAACATGAGCATGTATAGCATTGTCTCAACTACAGGAGGAACGGACGGACAAGGATGTCAAATCGAGAATCGGGAAGGCGGGAAACACATTCATCAACCTGAAACAACCAATCTGGAAATCTTCGTCACTCAGCAACACTCAACAACAAAATGATTCGGATTTTCAATACAAACGTCAAGTCAGTCAGTTCTTCTATACGGATCAGAAACTTGGCAGCGGGTCACAAAAAGAATATTTCCAACAGCCTGTTGCAGACCTTTATCAACAACAACAACAACTGTCTTCGCTGGCTCTATACTGAAGATCAGATGGCCACCGGAAAGAACAAGAACCAACAAGAAACTATGGGAACAAACAAACGAAACAAGAACCAATCGGCCAACAAATATGCAGGAGAAAGTAAGTGGAGATGGATTGGACACTCGCTGAGGAGGCCGCTGCTAGGTGACATCGCGCGTCAGGCCATCGTTCGAGTGGAGCCAGAAAGGGAAGCGGTGAGTGGGTCGTGTCTCCAAGGGTGACATGGAGGAGATCGTGAGAAGAGGAGTTGAAACAGTATGGACTAACATGGATGCAGATGAAAAGTACAGCAGAAGGCAGAAACAAGTGGAGGTGTGCAGTTGAAGCCCTATGTTCCAATAGGAACCCAAGGGGACAATAATAATAATGTATAGCATATTACTTTGTCCAAGTCAAACTTGATTAGTCATTTCATCACTGTGTGGAGTACGTGACAACATGATTGTACACTTTCCAGATTCCTCAAGTTCTGGTCCACGATGTGGGCGTGGGTTCGAATCCCACCTCCGACACACACGCTGTGCGTCGGTGGCACAGCGGTTAGGACTCTAGCCGATCATGCATGCATGGTCCGAGGTTCGATCCCCCGGTGACGCACTCCTGATATCTATCTATGGTCGGCTTGCTAAATTTGGGCTACCGATATCACATGCTGAAAATTTCATACTTGTACCAAAATACTGTGTGGAATCAAGCTATAATAAAAAATATTAAAAAAAGAAATTAGAGACATTGTACATGACTTTTGTTTAAAACAATTCATGTTGGAATATAAATAACTTCCCAGTAAAATCTAAAATACAATGTACTGAGCTCTTCTGCCTATTGATAATTTTGAACGGTTTTTCGACGTCCACCTCATGACCGACCGACCCGTGTCAAGGAGATCCCTGGCGATGGATGCCACTGTTTAAAGCATTTGTTCCCAGCTGTAGACGTTAGCTTTTTGGTACATGTTCAGAAAATCGTAGATATGCCCTTCTTCTCTCTGGCCTTCCAATGTAACTGCTCCCTCAGATACAGGTAAATTTGTATATACAGTTGGAGTTGTTAACATGAGAAGGATGGTGGATATCTATCGATTTTTGATTGCATCATTAGTCATCATTATTTTTAACTTTATCTTGCAAAAATAAATAAACCAGGGCGATCAAGAAAACTTTCTACTCTGCACGTCTGTGTCTAGTCTTCAGTAGCCGTCCAATGTTCACCCAGCAACTCAAAGATGTCTTACCTAACCTCAGCTCTTCTTCATGCATATACCATTTCAACTGTTCTTGTGGTTCAAGTTATTTATATAGGGCGCACGATTAGGCAAGTTCGTCTACGGGTTCGAGAATATTTACCAGCTTGGTTCAGCATTGGGTGGGGAATTAAGTGCATAAAAAGCTCGATCCTGTCACACATGGTCGAGACTGCTGGACATCATATCGATGTCAACACAGCTTTCAGGGTTATATACCGAATTCCGAAGTCGTTATCACGTACAGTTCGCTTACGTCTACTACACATAGCTGAAGCTGTTGCAATAAGATCGACTAAACCGGAAGTTTGTATCCAAAAAGAACACGTCCAGACGCTGTTCCTACCGTGGCAAAACTTGCATTGATGATTCTTCTTCTCACCAAGAGTGCTTCTTCCCCTGAACCCACTTGGCTTTCTTTTTTCCTTTACTTATTATTACAAATATTATTATTATTACAATTATTATTATTAATATTATTATTATTCGTCATAATTTATATCCTTCATGCAAACATTCTCTCAATACAATCGAATTTTCCATTTATACTATTCGGACTTATTATTAGTAGTGATATTATCTCTTTTCTCAATATATGCCTCCCCGTGTTTCTTCATTTCACACATTCTTCATTTCATTATGAACCACCTCTCATTGCAGTCTTATTATCTCCTCCTCTTGAATACATATCACTTTGTACTAACCACTCACTTACTCAATCACTCACCTGACACCTTTTATAACACTGAACTGACTGACTTACTTGCCAATTCTCCTACCCCACACTTTACGAATCTATCATGACTAATCGCTACCACCAGCATTGTCTCCCATTTCACAATATTTTGTAATCGATTTCAGCCCAGAGCACGTTTGTCACACTCAAATACGACTATTTTTGTTTTGACACCCCATAACTGCTAATCTGTTATTCTACGTTAAGAAAAAATGTATCCGCCGCATAACTGGCCTTTATTGTAACAACAACAAATATTATATTATATTTTATAATTGTAAGAACCTGAATAGGAGAAATTATTGAAAAAGGAATATTCTTCGTTCAGATTGACTTTTAAATAAATAAAGAACTCACCAGGGAATAGATCATCAAGCAGGGATAAAAACAATGGTTCATCCGGTCCAACCAGTTTACTCAAATTCATATCACGCAGGACACGCATTACTGTCTCAAATTCTGTATCATTCGGATTGGCACGTTTCACTGCACCCAGTGTACGCAAAACAGAAAGGATGTTACGCAGTCCAAAATCATAGTGAATCTTCATGATGAACGAGGAAAAGAAATGCACGAATACATGAAAAAAGGTAGGTGAAAATTTAAAAAACAAATTCACTTTTTTATTGAATAAACATTATTAATTATAAAAAATTATATTTGTAAAATCTCAGCGAGATTGAAATGAGTAATTTCAACGTTTCCTCTGTGTTCGTCGCAATCTGGTCCGAACTTCTTCAGGGAAATATTTTAGAACTATTCTGTCAAATCTTGACGACAGACAGTTCATTTGAATTATTATTTTGCAATCGAATTAAATTAACAAAGAAACTACTTGTAATTGGCACAATCATAAGCGTGTTTTCACTCTCCGTTGTCTGCAACAGAATAATGCATATCCTAAATCCGTAGCTGTCGAGTCGCCTGACAACTCCAGTAGGTCGATAATAAAGCAGCTCAATCTTCAGAAAGAAGAAGACAAAGCAATAAGTCCGACAGGGTGCTCTTCAACTAAACTCTAATCCTAAACACCATAATTTTGAAAATATACGTCTAATCATAAAATTCTAGATATACTAACAGTGTGAACAGATATGAAGGCGTGATGTGAGTTAGCTGATGCATAGGAAATCCTGATTAATAAATAAAAAACAAATGGATATGTATCACTAATTATTAATACTTGGTCAAAATTCTCAACTGTCCATATCTTCTTATGGAGACGTTAAGAAATGTTTTACAACTGTTTACCCACACACACACACATACACACTCTGTTTAAAGTGTTTAACAAAGGTAGATCAATATTTGTAAGTCCGAAGTCAAATCTTGATCACAGCTCATACAATTTTGTTTATTATATTTGCTGATTCGTGTCGAATGACTCATGAGTGGACGAAGTTTCTAAAAACAAGAGATGCCCCCCTTTTTATGTATAAACCTATGTTATGTTAATTTCGATTAATTTCCCTGAAGAAGTTCGGACCAGATTGCCGAACGAAACGTTGGAATTACTCATTTCAATCTCGCTGAGATTTTACAAATATACTTTTTTTTTACAAATGTCTACTTCTCACTCGGCGCCCAAATATTTTAGAACTATTCTGTCCAATCTGGAGGACAGTTCATTTGAAACATTATTATTCCATTAAAATTACACAAAGTGCTGTACTGTACTTCCGCTTACAGGGTACAGCTTTTCGAAAAAGAGGAAAAAAGATGCATTTTAATGGATTTCGCAATAATAATAATAAGGATGGCTTTGAACATGATTTTTCATGTTTATTAGAGGACAACTGGCAACTACTTCGCTAGTACCAAGCGGTGCCACCGACAATTAAACATCTCATCCAACAGTTAGTTGTACGACAATGCTGTATGCCAAGTAATCCACAACAGGAAAATTACGGAATCCTTCGAAGTGAGGACAGGAGTAAGACAAGGCCGGCTGGCTGCCTACTATCACCAATGATTTTCCTGATTGCAGTAGATTGGATAATGCGACAAACATTGGGCACTGGGGAAACAGGCATAAAATGGACTCACACAAAAAACTTGGAGGATCTGGACTTCGCCGATGTGATATATGTCTGATTTCCCACAAACTGGAAGATATGCAAGTGAGAAGCAACAAGTCGACAGAAGAAGCATCAAAGATAGGACTTCCTTCAGGTGAACATAGAGAAAACAGAGGTGATGAAGATTCCTGGCCAACACCACCAACAGCAACAACAACAACAGAAAACAATCAGCCAGCATAAATGGGAGGAACCTGAAAGAAACAACCTCCTTTATCTACCCACCTACATGGGTAGCATCGTTTCAAATACAGGCGGACACTACTGACCAGGATATCAAAGCAGCGAGGATCGGGAAAGCATGACAAGCTTTCACTACTCTCAAGTCTGTTTGGAGGAGATGAACAGCACTCAGCATGAAAATGAAAATAAGATCCGGATTTTCAACTGCGATGTGAAGTCAGTCAGTGCTACCCACTATACGGATCAGAGACTTGGCCAGCGCGTCATAACGAGCATCTCAAACAAACCACAGACCTTCATCAAAAGCTAGCTGTCTTCGCTCAATACCACTCAAGATCAGATGGCCGGCCAGATCACTGGAAGCGAACCAACCCAGCAGGAACCGATTGTGAAACAAATAGGCAGGAAGAAATGCAGGTGGATTGGATTGGATTGGCCATACTCTGAGAAAACAAACCATCAAGTGAGTGACATCACTAGACAAGCCATTGGTCGAGTGGAACCCGGAAGGGAAGCGGCGAGTTGGTCATCAGCGTGAGGGTGACTTGGAGGAGGTCATGTGAAGAGGAGATGAAAGTGTGTGGGCAGACTTGGTTGAAGCCAGGTGAAGAATCTAGCAGAGAACTGAACGCAATGGAGACGTGCACGGCTGAAACCCTATGTTCCTCTAGGAATTAAAGGAAACAATAATAATAAATATAATAAGAGGACAACTGTTTTTATACAGTTCTGCTGGTACTGTTTTCCTCGTAAGACAGACGATGAAGACAGTTGATACACCCGAACATTAAATTCTTCTTCATATGTTAGTCAGAGAAGTATTTGATCTTATGCTCCATAGAACAAGCTTAGCATATTCTGTTACTACAACAAACATAGATCACGACTTGACTACGCACGGATTGATATCAGTTCGAGAACCATTGAAAACCAGCCACAGGGAGTACTGCCAGACAACTGTTTCATCCTAGTTTGAGTCGTGCTAAATCACGAATTGGTAGAAGTTAGAATTCATGGGCTGGCTGGCTGGCTGGCCAATGAATCGGGCGGGTCCCAGTGAGTGGTGGCTGAATGGTATAGCCGCCAGCTTGCCTTGTAATCGGAGGCTACTGGAGCACGTACTGCCTATGATTCCCAAACTAGGCTAATGAAACAGCTTCCCAGTACTCCCGGTGGCTAATTTTCAACGCTCTTCTAACTGATATCAATCCGTGCGTGATCAACTCGTAAAAACAAGACTAATCCTTACAAACCAAAACTATAGAAAACATAGTTGGGTGCCTCTATATACAAAACGAAATCTAATCCGCTCACTGACTCACAGAATCCACAACATTTGCAGTCCGGAAACTATAGAAGAGGAGCTGAAGACCCTGAAAAGAATCCTCCTTGAAAACGGTTACCCGGAACGTTTCATCACAAAAGCTATGAAGCCCAAAACACAAAAACCGTCCATGCTTACTGCTCCCAAGAAACTTCTCTATTTGAATCTACAATTCATCGGAGATTCTTCAGCAGAAATACTGAGAAACCGCCTGTGCCGTTCACTGAAGAAAACCTTCTTCGCAGCTGAACTCAGACTTACTTTCTCTACGAAACCAATGATTCGCACGAACGTGAAGGATAAGCTTCCACTGGGGGCCTCATCAATGTGCATCTACCAATTCACCTGCTCATGTGGAGCTAGGTATGTCGGCCGTACCCAGCGTTTGCTATCCAAACGAATCAGCGAACACTTACCTTCATGGTTTTATAAAGGAGAAAGAAGATCCCGCCGCCACAGCTCTATCCTAGAACACTTGATCGAATCCGGACACCAAGCAAACCCACAAAACAACTTCTCAGTTATCTACACAATACGTGGGAATCTTGCCAAAAGAGTACGAATTAAACTTCTTCAAACTGCAGAAGCAATGGCAATTCACATATTGAATCCTGAACTCTGCATACAAAAGAAGTTTGTTCAGTCACTAAATCTACAATGGTCCTGATCTATCTTAACACCGAATACGTAATTTGGTCTTACCTCTTTCTTCTTTGTTTGTCTGTTTCTTAATTGCATTATTTTCTAACCCCCACCCTCTATGAAATCTCTACCGTCATGACGACTGTTGCTAACTTCAATTTCGTTTATTTTTAAGCGAATTCTACTCAGATTATTAACTTGACTCTCACTCATTTTCCATTGAACCCTATCAATTAGATTACGTCACCCAACCTACTTTTGTAACTTTATTTTACTTTCTAACCGATTAACGCCTTCTAAATTATGTAATTTGTTGTCACAAAAAAATTAACAATTGCATTAACACATCTTTGGAAATATTCCTTTTGTTGCCAAGAGAAAAAATTACTATAAATTTGCGGTTTGTACAGCTTGAGAATGATATCGCCGAAAAGAGTAACTCTTTGCTGAACGCCTTTTCTTTTCTATGACTGAATGGGAATTTTCAAATTACATAGATTAATTACCGAAAGTAGGTAAGCACACAGTGAATGATTGAATTACAGATTCCTTCCCTACTTCTAGTCCCACTGTAATTACTGAGAAGACTATCTATCCTTCGGTTTCTTGTAAATTAATAAACATTTTAGGTAGAATAATTAAAAATGATACTAAAGCGTGTCAAGTGAATTTTTTTACCTGTTTACTTAACTGTTCTTCACACAGCTTATACAATGTGTAAAACTTTTGTGCTGATATAATATTTTCAATAAAACCACACGAGGCAAGTTTAACACGGATAATAATCTGCCTGTCTGGAACCATCATAGCGACTGTTCTAAAATTGATCTTCAAATTCTCTGGTAACTCTTGTCTTCCAGCATAGCCAGGATTCTGTAAAAAAAATGCAGAGAAAAAGAAAACATCCATTAATTAACAAAGGTGGATTCCTTTATTCCTTTACGTGTTCCCAGTGGCACTTAGGGCGCCTTCAAGCTAGAGGCTTGAAGTTTTGACTAGCAATTGTGTTTATTTTTGTTTTTACGGGATGGGGTTGCTAGCTAGCCTCATGCACCCGCAACCTTTCCTCTTTACCAGGCTCAGTAATCATGCACAGACTAAGCCGAACTCGAGAGGAACAAAAGAGGGAAAATCAAGCGGGCTTTAGGCAAGGTAGAGGGTGCATAGATCATATCTTCACTCTCCGAAAGATCCTAGAACATAGACACACTTTTAGGCGTCCAACAATTACCATATTTCTTGACTTGAAGGCGGCCTTCGACTCCGTGGATCGAGAGGTACTATGGCAATGTTTGACTGTGAAGGGAGTGCCAAGAAAGTACATTACACTAATCAAGGCACTCTACTCAAACTCACGTAGCCGTGTTAGGGCCTATGGGGAATTGTCATCTGAATTGATAACAACCAGTGGTGTCCGTCAAGGATGTCCACTTTCCCCTTTTCTGTTTAACTTCATCATAGATATGCTAATGGAAGTATCCTTAACTGAACTTAACGACTTAGGAATTGACTTGTTACCAGGGAATAGTCTTATGGACTTAGAATATGCAGATGGCATAGTCCTGTTAGGGGAGGATGCTGACAAAATACAGCAGAGTCTTCTGAACACCTTGAGCAGCAATCTTCGTATGTTTGGCATGCGATTCGCACCTGTAAAATGTAAGATGCTGCTACAGGACTGGACTACGTCAACTCCTAGCTTAGAAGTGATAGAACATGTTGACCACTTCACCTATTTGGGAAGTTGTATCAGCACCAACGGATTGATTGGTGACGAAATGTCAGCACGGATCCAAAAAGCTCGGGCTGCTTTCGCTAACTTACACCATCTCTGGCGTAGGCGTGACATCCGGCTATCAACTAAGGAACGTGTGTACTGCTCAGCAGTTCGCTCCGTCCTTCTCTATGGCTCTGAAACATGGCCAGTACGAGTTGAAGACATGAAAAGGTTGACTGTTTTTGGCTCAAAATCGTTCTCAGTGGCGCAGATGCATCCACTCCTTGTGACTTATGATTTCCAATGAAACTGTTTTGTTCTTAGTTATTACTATTCCTTTGTCTCACCACACCTCTGTTTACTGTCTCTCTATTATACATTTCTCCTACTTTCTTCTCTTCCTTTGTGTGCTACATGGAGTGGAAGGAGTGTGGCGACTTGAACTTTCGCACATATGTGCAAAGTTCTGTGTCGAAAACCGACCGACCGACCGATTCAGTCTGCACCAATCAAAGTAAAAAATAACAATGTGCGAATTTTACAGAAAGTCTAAACTTTGTAGTTATATATATATACATATTAAGCTACACTAGTCATACCATTGTTAAAAAGATTCCAAACTCTGGATTCATATCGATCGTCTCACCATCCGTAAACACAAACTGTGACTTTCTTTCCTTTTTGCATGTTAACAAAATGGCGATCTGTTGAGCAGCGACCGATAACACAGGCAATTCAATACGATTAAATTCATCAAAGCATCCCCATGAACCCGATTGGGCTAGACCTTTGAATATTCTGCCTAAACCACGAAAATCCATTTGATCTGAACAGTTGGAGACGATCACATATTTGCCTAGACATCGGCCCATATCTTTGACTGTCTCTGTTTTCCCAGTTCCTGCTGGTCCAGCTGGTGAACCACCCATAGACATACCGATTGCTTGTGCAAGCGTGATATAACACCTAATTGAAAATTATGACACCAGAGATTGATTGATTAAACACAGTAAAAACATAATTAATGATAATAATAATAATCTACTTTATTCCAATAACAGTACTACTTATAATAGAGAATGGAATTCTCAGTATTTGTCACAACACCTTGCATCTGATTTACCCAAAATATAAATAAAATTAGAAATTAAAATAACAGTTAATCGGAGGAATTTGTCCACATTTACGATATTAAGTCAAAAATAATCGAAGTACAAATTTAGATTATTAAATATTATTATTATTGTTTCCTTTTATTCCTAGACGAACAAGGGGCTTCAGCCGTGCGTCTCCATTCCGTAAGGTTCTCCGCTAGAGTCTTCACCTGGCTCCAAGTCTGACCATACGCTTTCATCTCCTCTTCACATCACCTCCTCCAAGTCACCCTCACCCTCGCACTGACGACCAACTCGCCGCTTCCCTTTCGCATTCCACTCGACCAATGGCTTGTCTAGTGATGTCACTTGATGGTTTGTTTTCTCAGAGTATGGCTAGACAATCCATCTCCATTTCTTCCTGCTTATTTGTTTCACAATCGCTTCCTGGTTGGTTCGCTGGCTCCCAGAGATCTTTGTTGCTTGTCCTTTCTGGCTATGTGATCTTGAGTGGTGTTGAGCGAAGACAACTAGCTGTGGATGAAGGTTTGTAGTTTGTTTGAGGTGCTCTTCATGACGCGCTGGCCAAGTTTCTGATCCTTCCGTATAGTAGCACTGACTGACTTCACATTGGATTTGAAAATCCGGATCTTATTTTTCATGCTGATTGCTGTCTGTTGACCTCCACATAGACTTGAGATTAGCTAGAGCTTGTCTTGCTTTTCCGATCCTCGCTACTTTGATATCCTCGTCAGTTGAGTTCGCCTGTAGTTGAAACGATGCCACCCGGGTAGGTGGGTAGATAAAGGAGGTTGTTTCTTTCAGGTTCTTCCCATTTATGCTGATTGTTGTCTGTTGTTGTTGTTGCTGGTGGTGGTGTTGCCCAGGAATCTTTATCACCTCTGTTTTCTCTATGTTCACCTGAATTCCTATCTTCTCTGGATGCTTCTTCTGCCAACTTGTTGCTTCTCGCTTGCATATCTTCAAGTTTGTGGGAAATCAGACATATATCATCGTCGAAGTCCAGTTCCTCCAAGTCGTTTCTGTGTGAGTCCATTTCATGCGTGTTTCCTCTCTGCCCTGCCTGCTGTCTGTCGCATTATCCAATCTACTGCAATCAGGAAAATCACTGGAGATAGTAGGCAGCCAGTCAGCCTTTTCTTACTCCTGTTCTCACTTCGGAGGATTCCGTAAGTTTCCCGTTGTGGATTACTTGGCATGCAGCATTGTCGTACAGCTAACTGTTGGATGAGATGTATAATTGTCGATGGCACCCCATAGTGGCGTAGTAGTTTCCAAATCACCTCTCGATCGACGCTGTCAAAGGCCTTTTCGAAATCGATGAAGTTGAGATAGAGATTATTAAATATTATAATAATAGTAATAATAATAACAGTGAGTTTGTTTCAAACGGTATTGTCGATTCAGTTTGGAAACTTTAGCATGTTAAAGAGGGATTGAGTCTAATGTTCTGTTGATATAGCAGCATGGTGAGGGGAAATACAAAATTAATAGTTATAATACAGCTTAAATAATGTTCACACTTATGAAAAAAAAATAAACAAAAATAAAAACAAAAAATTGAGAGGATTATAAATATAAGAAATACAATAACAATAAAGAATGATGCATTAAGGGTAAAGGAAATGGTTTATTTAGTAGTGCAAAGGTTAGTTAGTTAGTTAGTTCATGTCTGACACTATTTTCATCACATAAATTACGTGCCACCAAATATGGCATAGTGGAATTTTTATGCTTAGACGTACGTGCATAAATTCTTCTGAAAAGACTTCTTGTTTTACCTGAGGAGGAGACACAAGGTTGGAGCTGTGGGTGCTGTGGTGGATCCTCACAGTCTGACAAAATTCCTTTTGCAAATTTTTTGCATGACATCAGGTGCCTATCAGTGACAATGTCAACGATATGGCCCAATGGGATACCACTCGTTCTACTGACAGTCTTAAGAGTTCTACGAAGTACGACATAGTCTTTTTCAAGCAATCCAGGAAAGAATAAGCAGGGATGAACAGTAAAGAAGAATAGGTAAAATACACGAGTTGACAAACTATAAGAGGAGTGGTTGGGTTATGCCTGAGGATTGCCTCAACTTCTTTATGTAAAAAGTCAGACGAAATATTCTTTGAGAAATCGCTAAAACATGGGAGGACCAAGGTAGGTGGTCAGAAGAGAGAATTAATCCAAGATACTTAACTTCAGACTGGGTTTCTATATCAGTATCATCAATTTCGCAAGGACCATAGGAACCAACGGCTTCATTTAACTTTCGTTTATATCGGAAACTGAAGTTGACAGTCTGACATTTGGAAGGATTTAGTTTACGGCCGTTAGACGAAGACCATTTGCTAACCATTCCTGATAGAAAGCTGTTCATCTTAGTGCAGTCTAGCTGGGAGTTAACAGGCATTGAAATAGTTAGATCATCGGCATATTTAACAAAGTTCATTTCATCATCAGAGTGAGGAAAGTCATGCAAGAAGAAAGAAATTAGAAAAGGAGAAAGAACAGCACCTTGAGGGACACCATCCTAAGGAAGCAACGAAGTGGACGACTTTCCCTGACTGACATACAGTGTACTGATTTCTTCCTGAGAAATACGAAACTGATGTTAACATTTATTTTCTGTTACAGAGAGATTCAAGTCAACAATCATCGACTGCTGCCACCAATGCTTGAATACAAAATCAAAAGTTCACAACCGTCTAACAAAGCGGCACCGTGAAGAATTAGAACAGTTGAAAGATAACAAACTATCTGCTAATAACTCGCCCGACAAGGGTGCCGGTGTAGTGCTTCTGAATCGAAAAGACTACATCGCGAAAAAATGAACGACATACTGTCCAAGTGAAGATAAATTTTCCCAACCTTCCAATGAAAGAAACAAAACGGAACCGATTGAGAAACAGCTCACAGATGTCTTGAAGAGAATGAAGGCCAGTCAACTAATCAGTGGGGATATCTATGAACAGATCCCATCAACAGGTTCAATAATACCAAGACTTTACGGTCTACCAAAGGTACATAAGGTTGGTCTCTCACTTCGTCCAATTCTAGATATCTCACCTTCCCCTTACCACTCTATCGAAAAATGGCTAGCAGATATTCTGGAACCTGTAAGGCAACCATTATGTACGCACTCGCTCAGTGACACCTTCCAGTTCGTCGACTGCATACAAGACATGAACGTATCTAACAAAATTATGCTGTACTTCGACATTGAGTCACTTTTCACCAATGTCCCACTGACGGAAACGGTCTGCTTCATATGCAAATATATAGATGACAATCATCTCAGTATTGGAATACCAACAACATATTTGAAGGAATTACTATTCAGATGCACTCTGAACGTCCAGTTCACATTCAACAACACCATCTACAGACGAAAAGATGGTGCTGCAATGGGATCTCCGTTGGGTCCACTATTATCAGATTGCTTCGTCGCAAGCCTCGAGAAAGGTCCACTAAAGCCGAGCATTGACAATTTGCGACTGTATAAAAGATACGTAGACGACATATTCATTATTTGTGACAACAACAACAATGACCCCAATCTACTGCTGAAGACATTTAACTGTGGCCATCCCGCAATAAAATTCACTCTTGAAATGGAACTAAGAAGAAGAACTGATGGGAGCTTAAGAAGATCGATCCATAGAAAACCTACTTGGAATGGTCAACTAACAAGCTTCTATAACTGGCTACGCATTCAACAAAAGCGAAATTTAATTAAATCACTTGCCACCCGCATCCGATGCATCTGTAGTCCCAACGTTCTGGAAACAGAATTAGATATTCTAAGAGAAATTTTCATCCAAAATGGATACCCAATAAGATTCATCGACAAAAATCAAATCAAACCAAGAATTCGGAGAAACGAAACTTTAAATGCACCAATAAAGAAACTCTACATGAACTTGGATTTCAAGGGAGATTTAACAAGCGATATTCTCAAGAGAAGGATCACATCATCTCTGAGAAGACCATTCTTTGCAGCAACGCTAAGAATAGTGTTCTCCAGTCGCCCACTGATCTGCAAAAGCCTCGAGGACAAGGTCCCACATCTGACCACTTCTACATGCATATATCAGTTCACCTGCTACTGTGGAGCCAGCCACGTACATCGGTCGTTCGACGCACACCCTGTCCAAGAGGATTCAAGAACACTATCCAGCCAGAATGGTTGCGAAAAGGTAATAGTGGTGCAATAAGGAGTGCGATAATTGAACACCTGGTTAACACTGATCATTCCATTTCAACAAACGCCTCCTTCAAGGTAATCTACAGAGTCAGCAATAACCTATCACCTTCTTCGTATCGCTGAAGCTCTGGTCATTCACATAGAAAAACCGGAGCTGTGCATATAAAGGAGGATTACTCAACCACAACTTTTCTGATTTGATTTGATTTTTTTTTGATTTTCATGACTTAATTTTGTTTCTTCGCCTGTTCTTTAATTGCTTATAATTCTTGTATTCATTTTGAACTCTCACGTAATTTCGTATTACCTACTTTGTTCCTGTGTGAATCCTGAGTAAAACTCACTCATCAAACTATTCATATTATTACATAACTTCTTTTTAACAACTGTTTGTGACAACTCATCACCTTTGTTACTACCCTAATTTCACTAGCACCTAATTTTCTTGACTGATTTTGTATTACGTAACTCCAATTACCAATCTTCTTCACCTGTTTAGTTAAAATAACCATAACCAATTGTCTATTTTTGTTTGACAAACTTGATGTTCACATTCATACAAAATAACACATGTATATATATTTGCGATTGTACAGCTGTGAAAATGAATTCGCCGCCGAAAAGAGATTCTTCACTGAACACTACGTGTTTTGTTTACATAAATACACACACAAACACACCATGACAGGATTCTTTCTTATATTGATGTTTCAAGTATTGGTTTGGTAGGGATTTTGTTTAATTGCATGGAGGATTTTCATCATGAGCTGACATCAGTTAGAGAACCACTGGAAAACCTGGGAGTACCAAACCAATACTTGAAAATTAATCTGATGCTCACTAGTGACTGGCCCTATTCAGGCAGTTAACCTGGGGTTCTAGTGGGAAGCCGTGACCAGTAGGGTACAGCAGGTTGAAGATGAGGCAGTAACTCATCTAAGAAGACATGCGAAATGGTCGCGCTATGTCGTGAATTGGCAGAAGTTAGAATTCAAGGACCATTGGATCGGGTCCCAGTGGCTCAATGGTCTACGAGCTCGCCTTGTAACCAGAAGGTCCTGGGTTCGAATCCCGGTGGTCGCGTACTGCTGAAGAGTCCCAAACTATGACGAAACAGCTGTCCAGTACTCCCAGGTTTTCCAGTGGTTCTCTAACTGATGTCAGCTCATGATGAAAATCCTCCATGCAATTATGTTGATGTCTCTATATATTTGATAGTGTGGAAAATTCCCATATTATCAATTAAAAGTCAATCTGAACGAAGAATATTCTTTTCAATAATTTCTCTTCTGGTTCTTACAATTATAAACTATAATATTTGTTGTCGTTACAATAAAGGCCAGTTATACGGCAGATACATTTTTAACGTAGAATAACAGATTAGTAGTTATGGGGTGTCAAAACAAAATTAGTCGTATTTGAGTGTGATACAAACGTGCTAGGCTGAACTCGATTACAAAATATTGTAAAGTGAGAGACAATGGTGATTAATCATAATAGATTTGTAGAGTGTGGGGTAGGAAAATTGACAAGTAAGTCAGTCAGTTCAGTGTTATAAAAGGTGTCAGGTGACTGAGTGGCTAGTACAAAGTGGTCTGTGTTAAACGGGAGAGGCAACAGGTGGAGGCATATATTGAGAAAAGAGATAATATCACTAATAATATGTCCGGATAGTATAAATGGAAAATTCGATAGTACTGAGAGAATGTTTGCATGAAGGGCATAAATTATGACGAATAATAATATTGATAATAATAATAGTAATAATAATAATAACTGTAATGATAACAATATTTGTAATAATAAGCATATATATATATATCTGTTGAATATTTTCTTGGCGCAAAAAAAATAACAATTAACTAATTCAAGTCAGAACAAGCTGGATTCAGGAAAGGCAAGTCATGTTCTGACCAAATTGCAACTCTACGCATCATCATCACAGAACAAAGCATGGAATGCCAATCAAACCTCTACCTCAACTTCCTTCATAGACTTTGAGAAGGCGTTCGACAGCGTTGACCGCGAAGTAATTTGGAAACTACTCAAGTACGCTGGCTCACCCCAAATATTCATCAACCTTATTCAACAGCTGTATGACAACAGCACATGTCAAGTGATCCACAATGGAAAACTCAGTGAGGCGTTTGGAGTAAACACAGGAGTCAGACAAGGGTGATTATTATCACCAATGATATTCCTAATTGTGGTGAACTGGATTATGCGTCGTCAGACAGTGGGAAACGAGAAGACAGGGTTATCCTGGACCGACCTAGGAAGAAGAACCTAGAAGACCTGGATTTCGCGCGTGGATGATTTATGTTTGATGTCACACAAAATCGAAGACTTACTTACAAGCGAAAACCGACAAACTGGTCGAAGAAGCAGCAAAGACAGGACTCCAGGTGAAAATAGACAAGACATCCGGCGCCAATCACCATCAACGGGAAGGATTTGAAAGAGGTTACTTCATTCACTTATCCAGCTAGGGAGCATTGTCTCAACTACAGGAGGAGGAACAAACGAGGATGTCAAATCGAGAATCGGGAAGGCGAGAAACACATTCATCAATCTGAAACCAATTCGGAAATCGTCATCACTCAGAAACACTCAACAACAAAATTCGGATTTTCAATACAAACGTCAAGTCAGTCAGTTCTTCTATACGGATCAGGAACTTGGCGGCAGGTCACAAAAAGAATATTTCCAACAGCCTGTTGCAGACATTTATCAACAACAACGACAACTGTCTTCGCTCCATACTCAAGATCAGATGGCCACCGGAAAGAACAAGAACTAACAAGAAATTATGGGAACAAACAAACCAAGGAAACAAGAACCAATCGCCAGAGAAATATGCAGGAGAAAGTAAGTGGAGATGGATTGGACACTGGCTGAGGAGGCCGCTGGGTGACATCACGCGTCAGGCCATCGCTCGGGAGGAACGTGAAAGGGAAGCGGCGAGTGGGACGTCAGTGCAAGGGTGACATGGAGGAGATCGTGTGAAGAGGAGTTGAAACAGTTTGGAATAACATGGATGTAGGTGAAAAGTACAGCAAAAGACCGAAACAATTGTATAAATGGATTATAAATTACAAAGTTGCTGACCAACTTACCTATCCGTGAGTGGTGTGACAACCAACCTTTCTGTGCACCCGATAAATTCATCCTGATAAACAAAATTCACATCAGTTATGGAAATTAAACAAGCATCTGAATCTTCCAGATAGTAGAAACGTGTTTGTTTTAACCAGTCAAAGTCTGTCGGTGATTTGATACGATCTTTAACCTGTGAAGAAGAAGTAAGCACCACAGAGTGTGAACACAGCATATAGCAAATTTCACATATATGCGCACATGCAATAATGATAAAAATGCAATTGACTTTTGGGGATCAAATAAAAAAAAAGCTTCTTTTTTTCAGGGAAGTTCATCTCCTCCGTCTATTCCACTTTCAATTTCCACTTATTACCAGAAGAGAAGATCCTTATGCCAAAGCACACAGAGAAGAATCAGCTTCCATAGCATGTTAGATTTTAAAGGATTATCAATTGGCGATTTTTGTAGAGATTTTTCTTGATTGGTTGGAGGATTTCATCATGAGCTGGCATCAGTTAGGGAACCATTGGAAAACCAGTCAACTGTTCAGTCAGCATAGTTTAGACTCTTCAGCAGCGCGCAACCACCACCAAAGGTTTGAATCCTGTTTGCAAGTCAGGTTGAAGGTGGGGCAGTAATTCGTCGAAGAAGACACTGCGAAATGATCGCGCTCGTTTCATAAATTGGCAGAAGTTAAAATTCATGCACCGCTCATTGGATCGAGTCCTAGTAGCTTTAATGGTGTACGAGCTAGCTCGCCTTGTAACCAGAAGGTCGTGGGTTCGGACCAGTTGTGGTGGGCGCGTACTGATGAAGAGTCCCAAACTAGGACGAAACATATGTCCAGTACTTCCAGTCGGTTTTCCAGTGGTTCTCTAACTGATGTCAGCTCATGATGAAATCCTCTATACAATCAAATTTAATAATAACTGGAATGGTGAAAATATCACTCTAAGTGAGTAATTTAGAGTCAGTCTTTGGTAATCAATCAGAAATTTCAGTATACTATGCAAGAACGTAGTATTTCAAATAGAAAACATGAACTGGCAGTTTATTTTATCGGAATACAGACTAACGTCTGCCCAAGAAAAAATATATATAATGGATATCCTCCAAGATTTATCGAGAAAAATATGAAGTTAAAGCAAAAGCCTGAAAGAATCCAAACGGTGCCGAAGAAACTGTTATTTATGAGTGCTGAATTTAAAGGTGATACCGCTTCTGATATATTGAAGAACCACTTATCCAGATCACTGAGAAAAGTCTTCTTTCCGGCTGAGCCACGAATCAGTTCCTACAGCCGACAAATGATCAATGGATGTGGGAAGGATAAACTACCATTTCGGGCCACCTCAATGTGTGTTTATAAATTCACCTGCTCCTGTGGAGGTAGTTGTATTGGCCGCGCAATTTGACGAACACCTTCCAAACACATTTCTGAACATTATCCGGCATGGTTAGCAAAGGGACAATAACACAAGACAATTACTAGCTCAATTCTCGAGCATTTGGTGAACTCAAGCCACGTACCTCCACCAGAGTCGTCTTCCAAGATCATCTACAAAGTCAAGCCAAATGGCACAAAGGGCGTCAGGTTTCGGCTTTTGTGTGTGGCGAAGGCACTGGCAATTCATCAATACAACACCGAATTCTGTATACAGAAAAAGTTTGTCCAGTCTCTTATTCTACCTTGGTCATAACCTCTTCACTAATTGTTCCTTGTAAATAAAATATATTTTGATTTTTTCTTTTAGTTTGCTTTTGCTTTAGTAATTAACTCAATATTATCACTTTCATATGTTCCCTGTTGTACATTTTCACACCCTCTTCACACTTGTTAAATTGACACTCAACTACCACCTTTATTCTCTCTCACTTAATAGCCATGTTAACCTTATCAAATTTCTATCTTTGTGCCGTTGAGTACCACGTAATCTACAACTTTTATTTCTTACTCAAGTGTTGGTTTGTAGGCATTTGATTGGTCACAGGATTTGCATCATGAGCTGACATTAGTTAGAGAACCATTGGAAAACGTGGAAGTACTGGACATCTGTTTCGTCCTAGTTTGAGGCTCTTCAGTAGTACGCACCCACCAATGGCTAGTCCAAGTATTCTAACTTCTGCCAATTCACGCACGACATAGCGCAACCGCTAGCCAATGTCGTCGGCGAGTTTTTGTCATCACACCCGACCTGCTGCACCCTACTTGTCACGACTTCTCACTAGAACCCCAGGTAACTACCTACCTGAATAGGGCAAGTCGCTAGTGAGCATCTCATTGGTATTCAAGTGTTGGTTTGTAGGGATTTGGTTGATTGGTTACAAGATTTTCATCATGAGCTGACATGAGTTAGAGAGCCATTTGATAACCTGCAGGGAGTACTGGACAGCTGTTTCATCCTAGTTTGGGACTCTTCATCAGTACGCACCCACCGGGTCCCAGTGGCCTAATGGTATACGAGCTCGCCTTGTAACCAGAAGGTCCTGGGTTCGAATCCCGGTGGGTGCGTACTGATGAAGAGTCCCAAACTAGGACGAAACAGCTGTCCAGTACTCCCAGGTTTTATGTTTCACTTCTAAATCCACTTCTGTGTAGCCATATCAATGATGTCATCCCCTATTACTCAATAATAGACCACAATATATACATTTTTGGTAAGTATAAATACGACTGTACAGCCAGTCTGTGAAGATGATTTCGTCGATAAAGAGAAAATTTTCTTCATGAGCCCACATTGCTTAGAGAACCATTAGAAAACCTGCAGGGAGTACTGGATAGCCAACTGTTTTGTCAGTCTGTACTTAGACGCTTCATCAGTACGCACCCACCCCACTTGCGTTCAAACCCAGGACCTTCTTGTTAAAAGGCGAGCTAACTGGTAGACCATTGAGCCACTGGGATCCGATCCAATGACCGGTGCATGAATTCCAACTTCTGCCAATTCATGGAGTGGCCTTTGGATCGAATCCCAGTGGCTCAACGGTCTACCACTTAGCTCGCCTTTTAACGAGAAGGTCGTGGCTCGGAACTCCTGGTGGTGAGTGCCTACCGATGAAGAGTCCCGAAATACGCTGATGAAACAGTTGGCTGTCCAGTACTCCCTGCAGGTTTTCCAGGAGACTACAGAATTAATCATAGCTGAGGCAACACTTTATTTATTTATTTCAACACACTACTCAACTTCCTGAAAATATAAAAAGCAACAAATCATAAACAACACAGTAGTTACTGGGCACAGGTCTCATGAATTTAAAGCGTCAGGGTCAGATAGGACAAAAGACGAAAATAAAAAATACTAATGAACCAAACTATGATTGCATAAAGCATTCTTATTGCTATGCAAGTCATCTTTATACTTCAAAACAGAAATTTAAAATCGTGAAGATAAAGCAGAATAGAAAATGCAGTGATTCAGATCGCGAAACTGTACACCTTTTAAGATAAACTTATTATTGTATGATTATTATTGTTCCCTAGGGTTCCTAGTGGAACTGCACGTCTCCACTTGTTTCTGTCTTCTGCTGTACTTTTCATCTGCATCCATGTTAGTCCATAGTGTTTCAACTCCTCTTCACACGATCTCCTCCATATCACCCTTGGACATCCCACTACTTGCCGCTTCCTTTTCGGGTTCCACTTGAGCGAGGGCCCGACGCACGATGTCACCCAGCAGCGGCCTCCTCAGCGAGTGTCAAATCCATCCATCTCCACTTTCTCCTGCATATTTGTTGGGCGATTGGTTCTTGTTTCCTTGGTTTGTTTGTTCCCATAGTTTCTTGTTGGTTCTTGTTCTTTCCGGTGGCCATGTCATCTTCAGTATAGAGCGAAGACAGTTGTTGTTGTTGTTGATAAAGGTCTGCAACAGGCTGTTGGAAATATTCTTTTTGTGACCCGCCGCCAAGTTTCTGATCTATCCGTATAGAAGAACTGACTGACTTGACGTTTGTATTGAAAATCCGAATCACTTTGTTGTTGAGTGTTTCTGAGTGATGAAGATTTCCAGATTGGTTGTTTCAGGTTGATGAGTGTGTTTTTCGCCTTCCCGATTCTCGACTTGACATCCTCGTCCGTCCGTTCCTCCTGTAGTTGAGACAATGCTCCCTAGCTAGATAAGTGAATGAAATAACCTCTTTCAAATCTCTCCCTTTGATGCTGATTGGCGGCGCTGGATGTTGCAGTTGTTGTTGGTCGTGGTGGTTGGTTGGTTGGTTATTTTCATAGCCTCCATTTTGTCTATGTTCACCTGGAGTCCTGTCTTTGTTGCTTCTTGGACCAGTTTGAGATAAACTTATTGGTCAATTTTAAAACACTTATACGCACTTATATATGTGACGTGAATCTATAGGAGAATTTCACAGTGTACAGTGCATGTGGAATAGATGTTGGTCTCATGCAAGCAACTTATAAAATCGAATTATCTTCTAGGCTGGCAGTCTAACTTAGAAACATGGTGATTAAACGCTGTTACACCAGTTTGTACCAAAATCTTTATGTGCTAAACTAATCACTGGACTCGCTGTTCCGGAGATATATTCATAGACTCATTGTTTACGGTAAAAAATTAAAAATTATTAATTTTAACTACGATAACCACAAGTATCAGTAATAAGTGGTGAGAAAACACTCAGATACTGTGAATATATTTCATAAAATCATACAGTCGGTGCACATACTGAAAATTTCCTGGAGTCATTTCTAGTGAGAAGTCGTGTGACCAGTGAGGTCCAACCAGTAGTCAAGCGTGAGGATGGATGTCCGACCGATGGCATCGGTTGGTGCCAGTCGCACTAAATCACGAATCGGTCGGAGTTAGTATTCATGGGTGGGTCCCAGTGAGTGGCTGAATGGCATACTAGCCAGCTTGTCATGTAACCGGAAGTGTCCTGGGTTCGAACCCTCTGTAGTGGTGGATGGGTACTGCGCCAACGATCCCCAAACACTACGTAGATGAAGCAGCTGTCTGGCAGTACTCCCTGTGGCTGGTTTTCAATGGTTCTCTCTAACTGATATCAATCCGTGCGTGGTCAAACTTGTAAAAATAACCACCCAACCCACCGCAAATCGATATTTACCACAAAAACTATCAACTCAAAACATGACTTACTAATGCTGCAAAAATGTCTTTCTGATGTAGATGTATAGTGATTAGTGTTTCTAGTTTAGTACGTTCAACTGGTGTCAGATTATGCGTAGTCTGTTGGATCAACATATTCAATAGACGACCAAATTCATGATCCGTTCTTTGCATTATCTTCTTGTTATATTTAGCCTCGCGTAGTGCATTCGTCGAGTCTCTTGTCCATATAAATTGTATGCCTAATAATCCGACCTGAAAGTAAATAAAAGCAGTAGATTAATCAAGTACGATGAAGAAAAATGTGTTACAAAATGTTACGCTGCTGAAAAGTAGTTTTTTTCTAAAATCAAAAACCTGCCATTTAAGCCTCCTCCGATTCGTGGGTATTTAATTGCTTTTATAGTGGATTACGTCGCGAACAGACAGTAATCAGACAATCAGACAAGAAAACCAGTGGGTAGCATAAAGAGAAATGTGCATAGGAAAAGCACTTGGACAGGACAATATACACACATTTTCACAGCTTCGTTCCCATCAATTACAAAAGAAATTTAGTGAAGACCCTCAACCACAGAGTTACTTACAGCTATAAGCTCTGGAGAAGTAATTGAAGATGAATTAAGCATTGTATATGATACTTTGATCGAAAATGGTTATCCTGACAAATTTATCAAGAAACACATGACAAAGAAAGCGGAAAAAGACCAATCACTGTCTGTAAACAAGAAGCCTCTTTATATACGACTACAATTCATGGGTGATATACCAAGCGAGATAATTAATAAGAAATTAACAAAATCAGTTCAAAGAAGTTTTAATGCTGGCGGCGAACTACACGTATTATTCTCTACAAGACCGATGGTGCTACCTCGACTGAAAGATGAAGTACGTAGACTAGACTAGCTAGCCACTTCAAATTGTATCTATCAATTCAACTGAACTTGTGAAGCGAGTTATATTGGCCGTTGCTCTAGGAACTTGATTTTTCGTGCTCGAGAACATATCCCACTATGACTAAGTAAAGGTGTGTAGTGAAAATCATCATCACCAGTTCGATATTGGACCATCTAGTGCAAACCGGCCAGCCAGCCACAAAGCCAGCGTAGAAGAATCCTTCTCTAGAATATACCGGGTGCCTAACAAATTACCAAAATCGTCGAAGCACCGCATGTTTTAGTTTTTGTTGTTGTTGTCTTTATATTTATTTTTTTGAAATACTCCTTTTAAATGTTTGATAAAATTAGATGCAAATATTGTAGATACGTGCTGAAAATTCCGCACTGTACCACTAGTACTGTTTCTGCAATAAAGCAAATAATTATTATTATTATTGATACAACTGAATGTTGCCGACTGACTGGTTGGCTAAAACTGCTGTGAGTATTAGACAAAACCTTTAAATGATCTGTCTGACAGAAAAGAAAACTGTAAGCAATATCCATTAATCAATTGGGAGGCTTCTAAAGCCATTCATCGACCATTCGATCGGGTCCCAGTGGCTGCTGCTTAATTGGTCTACGAGCTTGCTTGCTTTGCAAACAGAACGTGGTCCTGCGTGCGAACCCCAGGGGATGGGTGCATAGTGCTGAAGAACCAGTCTAAAACAAGACTGGCGAAACAGCTGGTTTTCCAGTACTCCCCCTGCAGGTTTACCAATGGTCCTCTAACTGATGTCTGTTCATAATGAAGTCCTGAAACCAATCATCCAGTGGCTGAAACAATAAAATTGTCTCACTCACTGAAACCTAGTGATCTCACCATATATATTGAAAGCATTAGTTCCAAACCATTTGTTGTAAAACTTAATGCCTCTAGTTGTTGTTACCTAACTTCATTAAAGAATTTTCTAAACGCCATTAGACAAAGTAACACACATTTGCAATGCTGACCGTCAAAAGACACTCAAATTCGAGAGCATTGACTGAATTCCTAGAAGAAAAACCTCCAGAGAAGGGTATGACATAGTGAAAATTATAATGACTATTGATATAAGTATAAAACTTGGGCACTGTGGTGGTAGAGTATAACTACTCCATTATGGATAAGATTTTCTGTTTTGATAAACTGTCACTCACAGTGTGTGTAGTGTTATACAGTAAGTAATATTAACTGATACGACCACACGCTTCGAGCACAATTTATTATTGCCACTCATAATCATCATATCAAGTCACCCACTCACTCACTCACTGACACAACTTTCGTCTTCCTTCATTTATATACATGAGTGGAATTCATGATTAGACATTTGAATACAAATCAGTAATATAGGATAATGTACATTCAGAAGTAATAATAATAATATGAGTGTTATCAATCAAGTACAATCAGATGTGAAATAAGACGAATGTTTTTATAGTCAAAATAATTGACCAACTTATTAGAATGTTGTGATGTACGTGAGTTGAATTGAAATAGAATACAAGTTAAGATTATTCATTATCCTCCTATGATTTCACTGACTGACTGACTGACTGGTGGTAATAATATCTTCCATACATATCTCTGGTATTTGCATTGAGTCATTTCTGTTGCATGTGTTGTGTTGGGTGTAGGTATACTCGATGAACCAGGCAGGATTCAGTGATCAACCTCTCTCTATCTCTCCACCTACATACATTACTTCTTAGAATCTTAATCCTCTCCCACCATGCTATTGTGTGGTTGTGTGTTAATGCATGCATGCAGTGCAATGTAGTGCTGAGCTGTCTTCTAAATAACTTATCTTCGTGGGGTCAGCCGTTCTTACCTTAGCTAAATTCCCATCTGATTGTTGATTTGATTAATAACACTCATATTATTATTATCATTATTTCTGAATGTACATTATCCCATATTACTGATTTGTATTCAAATGTCTAATCATCAATTCCACTCATGTATATAAATGAAGGAAGACGAAAGTTGTGTGAGTGAGTGAGTAAGTGACTTGATATGATGATTATGAGTGGCAATAATGAATTGTGCTCGAAGCGTGTGGTCGCATCAGTTAATATTACTATGTAACAGTACACTGTGTGACGCTTTATCGAAATAAAATCTTATCCATTATGAAAATTGTAATGACTGTCTAGACCTTAGAGTGACAGAGGTCAAAATCAAACTCAGCTGGACTATGAATATGCCGATGTCAGCTGTGTAAATCCGCAAGTACACTTCCCCTAACCCCGCCCCCCCCCAAAACACACACTGATGTGATAAAAAAGGGAAAAGGCATTAAAAAAACTTTTAAAACGAAATTCAGTACGAACCTGAGCAGGGAATGTGGCTAGAAATTCTAATATATTCACGCCTTCTTCCATTGCAGCTTGGTAGCCTTCCCTGATGATCTGATGCAGAGAGAATTGAGCTTCTTTCAGCAACTTGTTTAGCCAAATCTCTACGTGTCCTTCAGCTTTTACAGGATGCTCTAACTACAAGAGAGAGAAAAGAAGAATTTATATGGTTGATTTTTCCAGATCTCAAACAAACAATCAAACAATATTCGATCAGAACACGAAAATATTTACAGCGAGAACAATTGTGGTTTTAGTAAATTCTTCCTTCTTCAGGCTGCTCTACAATTATAAATCCATTAATAAATTTAAGCATAAAATACCCAGTCAGCCAGTAAAGGCAAATTAGAATCATTTCAGAAAGTGTATTGTAGAACAAGTATAAGTGGGATGGATGGGATGGAACAATAGTCAGTTAGTTTTTTAATATGCATGGTCAATGAGAACATGGGACAAAATCAGATGAAGTAATTTAATTTAATGATGTGTGTGTGTATATATAAGTTAATATAGCCAACAGAAAATACAGGTTTCGAGAGTGAGTGCAACCAGGATGTGTGGGACAATATGAAAATAGACCAACGAATGGGGCGGACTAGATGCAAGTTCAAGGTTGAAAATAACGACAATAAGAATGATTGTCAGATAATAACGATGATATGATGGTGTAAAATTACAAGTACTATTGGTGAATGATTGTCAAATAATAATAATAATGAATATAATGAAGTGGAATGAACAGGATTTTGTAAATACGATAACAAGTTAGAAAAGCACTACTTAAACCTAAGGTAATAGAAATCATAAAAGTCGAAAATGAACGTTTGTCAATGAAACAGAGGAATAGAAGAAGAAGAGGGAAAGAAAAGAAAATTGTGAAAGGAATTTATAGTGTTAATGGAGGATTTGTTGGCTTTATTGTAGGCCAAGGTAAACATAGAGGTTCAACATACTTCTTCTGTATGCAAAGAGTGTCGGTCTTCTGGTATTAATTGCCACCGCTTCAGCTACGTAGTCGAGCTCCTCTAGATAAATTACTAGGAACGCGGCAAAATAAATATTCGATCACCATACTTTTTTCTCAGTCACATTTTGTCACAAGGTAACAAACATCAGTCGAGAAAAAAACTGTACATGGAAATAACTTTGGGTATAGTCAGTAATTGGAACTGACAATCATGCAGCATGTGATAAAACCGTAGGACACCAAGCGATGAACACTTAATTATTCAATATAGCAAAATTATTCATTCAGATATCTATAGAACACAAAATAATTGAGACAGCAAAGAATGCCCTTTTCGATGATTTCATCCTCTTCTCACTCTACAATTATATATATACAGAACAAAATATTTACAGCGAGAACAATTGTCGCTTTCAGTAAATTCTTCCTTCTTCAGGCTCTACAATTATAAATCCATTAATTTAAGCATACAACAGCCAGTCATTCAGTAAAGGCAAATTAGAATCATATCAGAAAGTGTATTGTGTGGAACTTATGTCTAGTTCGCCCCATTCGTTGGTCTATTTTCATATTGTCTCTCAGACACCCTGATTACACACACTCTCGCAACCTGTATCTTCTGTTGACTATATTTATTTATATATATACACACACATCATTAAATTAAATGAAATTACTTCATCTCGTTTTGTCCCATGTTCTCATTGACCATGCATATTAAAAATACTAACTGACTATTGTTCCATCCCATCCATCTTACTTATACTTGTTCCACAATACACCTTCTGATATGATTCTAATTTGCCTTTACTGGCTGACTGGCTATTGTATGCTTAAATTAATTAATGAATTTATAATTGTAGAGCAGCCTGAAGAAGGAAGAATTTATTGAAACCACAATTGTTCTCGCTATAAATATTTTGTTCTGAATAAATTATGGGAATATTCAATTTAATTATATATACATATGTTTGTATACATAGAATATTCTAGATTAGTAGTCAGTAACAATATTAGTGTGTGTTTTTTAAATAATATCGACTTGTAAAGTAAGATCACAATGGAATCACCACAGTTCATTAAAGATGCTTAAATTATAATAGGCATAAAAATAGAGATACAGTAGCAAATAGAATATCAACTAAAATTAGAAAAATTCCTAGATGGCCGAACGAGTAAGGACAATGTCTGAACTAACTTCATTTGGACGCACAAATTAGTCGTCTTAATATGGATTCCAACAGCCAGCCAACCTCAGCAGTATTTAGTAGTCGAACTATTAAGACGAAATTGAGATTCGTAGATATGTGGTAAATGACCCTGAAAGCATTGTTAACATCAATCTTGTGTTCTGTATCCAAAAGGTGACATAGAATAGCGCTGTGAATAGATTTTGTTTGTCCTTTACTTAACCAACCAACCACTGTGCATGGTGGGTGATGTTCGGAAATTCGACGAGAAACACGCCTAATTGTACAGCCTATGCAAGTAACTGGTTCACTCCACAGGAGCAGATAACTGGGTAGATACACATGGAAGAGACAAAATTAGGCAGTTTGTCTTTTACTCCTGAACGAACACAAGAGAGGAGAGTGGTTTTGAATAAACAGCGTAATTGAGAAGCAGCAGGGAATGCTCTTTTTACCGCTGCATTTCTAAGACACAGCTGTGTTAGTATCTGGCTGATGTTGTCCCCAAGGAACCGACTGCATTTGTAGGAATAAGGCCTTCCTTTTTCACAACCGTCGGTGTAACTTGGGCTGCTTCGATTTTAGATTCATATTCTTACCAGTAAACTTTTGTGGATAGCCATTCTCACTTAGCAACCGATTAATATTATTAAGTTCCTCATCAAGACATTCATCCGAGCAGATTGCTCTTGCTCTGTGGTGGACCAAGCACTTTATGAGATTGCGTTTGTATTTCAAAGGCGCGAAGCTGAGAAAATGAGTATAGTGACAGTCAGTTGATGTAGGTTTTCTATAAACAGTTCTTATTGTGCCGTCCTCTTTTCTGGTCATAAGGACCTCTAGAATTGAAATACTAGAGTCTTTTTCTATCTCAATAGTAAAATTCATTGCCGGGTGAACCTCGTTAAATTTATCCAGGATGTTCTTTGCTTCCTCCTCATTTTTACATAATCAAAAATGTATCATCCATGTACCGACAATAGAATTCAATTTCATCAATAACGTCCTTCAGAGGCCCATTTTCTAGATTCGCAAAGAAACTATCGGCTAGAATGGATCCTAGTGGTGACCCCATTGTCACACCTTCGATTTGTCTTTATAGTTTCTTATTAAATAAAAGTGGACATTCATTGTTCATTTCAAGAGAAGCTGCTTCATCCTAAAAGATATAGGAATGCCAACATCAATGTTTCGTCTTATGAGTTCTTCGCATAAAAACTCCACTGTTTCCATAAGTGGTACGCACATTGGTGAATAAGGAAGATACGTCAACAAATGATATCATGAATTTATTGTCCTGGGTTCGAATCCCGGTAGGTGCGTACTGATGAAGAGTCCCAAACTAGGACGAAACAGCTGTCCAGTACTCCCAGGTTTTCCAATGGTTCTCTAACTAATGTCAGCTCATGATGAAAATCCTGTAACCAATCAAATCCCTACGAACCAACATTTGAACATCCTATCCTATGTCAGTAAAAATAGGATTGGTGACATGTTTAAGTGACAACAGAGCACAAAAACTAAGTTGTACCAAAGAAAATCTAAGACAGGAAGTGAAGCATATAAGAGAAGCCTTGAAACTTAACAATTACCCTGATAAATTAGTCAGAAAGTATGTAGGGAAATTTGAATAACAATAATAATAATAATACTAATTCACTGACTGTGTGATACATCTAATAAACAAACTAATATGAAATTGCTTACTACCACCACAGTGCCCAAGTTCTACACATATATATTAACAATTCATGCATCTTTTGACTAAGGCGTCAAAATTAGTTACGCTGAAACTTGGAGGATATGGACTTCGCCGATGATATATGTCTGATTTCCCACAAACTGGAAGATATGCAAGCGAAAAGCAACAAGTTGGCGACAGAAGAAGCATCCAGAGAAGATAGGAATTGCTTCAGGTGAACATTGAGAAAACAGAGGTGATGAAGATTCCTGGGCAACACAACCAACAGCAACAACAACAACAGACAACAATCAGCATAAATGGGAGGAACCTGAAAGAAACAACCTCTTTTACCTACCTACCTGGGAAGCATCGTTTCAACTACAAGCGGAACTGATGAGGATATCAAAGCAAGGATCATCGGGAAAGCAAGACAAGCTTTCACTACTCTCAAGTCTGTGTGGAGGTCAACAGCACTGATCAGCATAAAAATGAAAATGAGATCCGGATTTTCAACTCCAATGTGAAGTCAGTCAGTTCTTCTTGCTACACGGATGGATCAGAGACTTGTCCAGCGCGTCATAAAGAGCATCTCAAACAAACTACAGACCTTCATCAATAGGTAGTTGTATTCGCTCAATGCCAATCAAGATCAGATGGCCGGCCGTCCGGCCAGAGAAGATCAGCAACAGAGATCTCTGGCAATGAGCGAACCAACACAGCAAGAACCGATTGTGAAACAAATAAGCAGGAAGAAATGGAGATGGATTGGTCGGCCATACTCTGAAGAAACCATCAAGTGACATCACTAGACAAGCCATTGCTCGAGTGGAACCCGAAAGGGAAGCGGCGTGACTTGGAAGAGGTCATGTGAAGAGGAGATGAAAACGTGTGGGCAAACTTGGAGCCAGGTGAAGACTCTAGCAGAGAAGCGAACGCAATGGAGACGCACGGCTGAAGCCCAATGTTCCTCTAGGAATTAAAGGAAGCAATAATAATAAAAAGATACATATATGTATATAAATATTTATATATAATTATTAGGCAACTAAAAATGAAACCTATGCCCACCTCCAAGACTTCACCTTCTTGTGAATAACACGTTAAAATGGTCTCATATTGTTTTTCATGAAATTTTACTGTCTTAATATTATCGAATACTGAAAGCAAATGTGCCTGTATTGTATGCGGATCTGAGGCTTGACCGAGAATCTCCAGTAAGGTTGGATCGGATACGAAAAAGAAACGTGGGAATAGGAGACGCTTTTTCTCTAAATACCTAAAAAAACAAATAACCATTCGGAAAACAAACAAAAAAAAATTGCACGTAATGAGGAAATATATACGCATACTATTTATTACATGTCAAGTGACAATTATTGTCGGTTAACCAAAATAAAACAAAGGATATTATTATTATTGTTCCTGGTGGAACACAGGGCTTCAACTGCATGTCTCCACTTGCTTCTGTCTTCTGCTGTACTTTTCACCTGCATCCATGTTAGTCCATCCTGTTTCAACTCTTCTTCACACGATCTCCTCCATGTCACCCTTGGACGTCCCACTACTCGCCGCTTCCATTTCGGGTTCCACTCGAGCGATGACCTGACGCGCGATGTCACCAGTAGCGGCCTCATCAGCGAGTGTCCAATCCATCTCCACTTTCTCGGGCGATTGGTTCTTCTTTTGTTTGTTTGTTCCCATAGTTCCTTGTTGATTCTTGTTCTTTCTGGCCATCTGATCTTCAGTATAGAGCAAAGACAGTTGTTGTTGATATGATTATGAGTGTCAATAATAAATTGTGCTCGAAGCTTGTGGTCGCATCAGTTAATATTACTGTATAGCACTGCATACACTGTGTGACAGTTCATCAAAATAAAATCTCATCCATAATGGAGTGGCTATACTCTGCCTCAACAGTGTCCAAGTTTTACACTTATACCAATACCACTTCAATTTCTTTCATATGTAATCCTTCTTATACCGAGCATTAAGGATGCAGTTTTTAAAAAAAAAAGCTTTCGACTCATCAAACTATACAAAAGACGTTCTCCTTTGAGACACTTCCACTTTCCATCTAGATGCAGATACGACAGTTTTCTTCCTCTGACGGTATTCAGTTGATCGTGACTAGCAGTAGAATTCAAGACGCACATTTCTCATTCTCTTAGGAACTTATCTGCTAGACTTACCTGTATCCTAGTGAGCAATTGTTTCCCATCTAGGATTCAATGCTGAAAGCTATTGTTTTAAACATCAACAGGACAATATACACAATTCCTCAGTTTTGTACCAATCCGATACAAAGTCAATTTGGTCAGATGCCGCCTCACGAATAGAGCAAGACGTATTTGTACAGATGACTCCCTACAAAATGAGCTAGGATATATCCAAAATACGCTGGTCCAAATGGGTTATCCCAGTAGATTTTTAAGGAGACAGGCGCATGAACACCAAGTACATACAACAAAGAGAAACTGACAACACAGTTAAAAAGAAACAATTCTTCATGAAATTGCGATTTAATGGTGACGTGGCTAACGGAGTCTTACATCTGAGATTATCGAGAGAAATAAAACGGACTTATACTGCCAACGTCACCCTTTGTTTTTCATTTTTGCAGTTACCGACCAATTATCATTGCTCAAGTGAAAGACAAGCTACCTAGCTAGCTAGCTGTGCCACTTCTATTTGTATCTATAAATTTAGTTGCTCCTTGTGGAGAGAGCTGGCTATATAGGGCGAACAACTAGACGGCTTAACAAACGCATTAATCAGCATCTTCCTTCATGGTTTGGAGAAGGTCAAATAAAATCTATAAGAAGTTCTATTTTGGCTCATTTGATTGATGATAGCGGTCACCAAGTGGACAGAAGTAGTGCCTTGAAAGTTATCTATCGAATTCGAACCCACCTTTTACACATATTTGAAGAAGCTATGGGAATTAATTCGAGAGAACTATCCTAGTGTCTTTGCATACAACAAAAGACGTTTGTTCTACCTTTGTCTATACCTTACTTAGCTAGCCTAGGTGAATTCTGATCAAAACCCTCTCACGCACCCTTTCTTATTTTCCACTTCCTTCGTACTTTTGTGATATTTATTTAAACTCTGATTACATCTGTCCAATTCACCTACCTTCAAGTATTACGTAACTTTTAAGATTTGACCTAATTTGTTTATTGATTGAATTGTCTACATATACACATATTACTTACCATATTCGTTATTCTTATCGCCACCTGCATAAACCTTATTATCAATATTTTATTATCATTATAATCATGGTTATTACTACATTATTATTATTATTATTATTATTAAAACAATTAGTCCCTTTGATAAATTTGAATAAGGCATTAAGAAGACAAATTTCACGAGATGATATCGTCATTTCGTAGTTTCTTTACAACCGCTTTACAACTAACATGGTTAACAATAATAAAATAAAATAAAGTTCATGACAATTACTCAGTTAAATAAAAAACAAAATACATACTAATGACCAATCATATTTAGATAGGTCAAGTAGTCCATGGTAGGCGAAGATTGAAGCGATGGGTAGCCCTCTTGGGCCCCTGTTAGCAGATATTTTCATGTCGAAATGGGAGAGACAAATGCAAGGTATGCTTGGAGAATTTATACTGTATAAACGTTATGTAGATGATACTCTCATTATTGGTAATAATATTAAATCTATTGAAAACTTTATTACTCTATTTAATCATATTCATCCAAATATCCGAGTGACTTCCGAACTCGAATCGAATAACAAACTCGGTTTCCTCGATATTACAATGACCAGAAGAGATGATGGAACGATTCAGCGATCTATTTTTCGTAAACAGACATGGAGTGGACAATATCTTCATTTTACCAGTTTTGTTCCTATCCAGTATAAACGTTCCCTAGTGTGAAATGTTTGTTCTCAAGGGCCCGAAAAATATGCACGAGTGACACATTGTGATGGATGAGTTTCGACATATACATTCAGTTTTATTAGCTAATGGTTATCCGGAGAACTTTATCATTTGTCACAGTGAAGAAAAACCACATCTAGAAAAGACAGCTTCTGTACCAAAGAAAGCTATCTTTATTAACCTACCATTAAAGGGTGATCAGGTTATGCAATTGACAGCTCAAAGACTTCAGTCAGCCATCAAACGCACATTCTATGCCGCATCTCTTTTTCTCATTTGCCGAACATTTTCGATCCCTGTACTTACGATTAAAGGACGAAGTTCTGTGGACTCTACTTCAAACTGTATCTACAAGTTCACCTGCAGCTGCGGTGACACCTATATAGGTAGAACCAACAGAATGTTCCAATGTCGTCGAAAAGAACATCTTCCAAAATAGTGACTAAATCACATAGAAAATCCCAATGCGATTAATCTGAATAGAAATCCAGCATCATCACCCATTGCAAAACACTTATTATTGTCAGGTCACAAAATCAATATTAATGACTGTTTCACCACATAACTCTAATTCAAGGTTGGTTATTGAAGGTGATGGAAACACGCTTCGGGGATTAATCACATACAGCCTAAACTGTGTGTACAAAAATCAATAGACTTCAATCTTCGCCTACCATGGACTACTTGACCTATCTAAATATGATTGGTCATTAATATGTACTTTTGTTTTTATTTAACTGAGTAATTGTCATGAACTTTATTTTATTATTGTTAACCATGTTAGTTGTAAAGCGGTTGTAAAGAAACTACGAAATGACGATATCATCTCGCGAAATTTGTCTTCTAAATGCCTTATTCATATTATTATTATTATTATTTAATCCACAAACAAACCGTCATTGGTTAAATTTTTTTATATACATAAAAGCCTTTCGAAGTTAAACAGTGTCAATCGCATAACAGATTTATATTGCATGGCATGTTTTGCTACAAAATAACCTTCTCCAATAAGGCTACAAAACTGTATAGATTGCAGGTGAAGTTACTGTGAAGGAATATTCTTTACTTCTGGGAATTTGTGAACAAATAAAATAATAATAGCTGTGTACTTTCCTAAGTGTACACATGTGAAGAAAAAAACACACAAAACACAGCGTAATCTCCGAAAACGTGTAGCTGAACACTATCCAGTCTGGTTAATGAAAGGCGAACGTAGAACTGCGAAGTCGTCTATCTGTGATCACCTGTTAGAGTCAGGTCATTTAGCCAGCCCCACGTGATTCATCTTTCAAAGTTATCTACATGGCAAAATCGAATCGATCCAAAAGTATCTACGTTTTCTTCACTTATGCATACATAGCCGAAGCTTTAGCTATCTATACATGAACAGAAACCTAAATTATGTGTTGTTCAAAAACGTTTTGTCAAACCCCTTTCTTTACCTTGGTCATAGTAATGTTTTCTTTCTAGTTTTTACTTTATTTTATTTTTACCACTTGAATTCTTTCCACTTCACTTCATATCTTCATTCTTATCGTAATCGTACTCCTAATTTTTTTAAAATTTTTAGACAACACTTGACATTAATATATGTGTAAAACTTGGGCACTGTGGTATTAAGTAATTCCATATTAGTTTGTTTATTAGGTATATCACACAGTGGAACAGTGTCATTATTTACTGGATGATGTTTCGAACAAAATTTATTGTTCATAATCATATCAATTGTGATCACACGACTTTGACACTTGAGTTTTATAGTTTTCTTTGTTCTCCCCTATTTGTCGTAGGGGTAGTAGAATTTTCCAGATATCGGGGACAGGTGATGAATCATTCCTATTACATGTATTCTCTCTCAGTTGATTCGATAAACAAAGCTTCCGTTGTTATCAATCTCTCCCTCCCTACACCCTGTGACATTAGATTTTAAAACTGTCATCCTATCCCATCCAGCCTATTGTATGGTTGTGTGTAATTGCATGTAGTGCTATAGCTGAACTATTCTCTAGATTTCTTATCTTATTCGGGTCAACCAATCTAGATTTTGCTAAGTTTTTATGTTCGGCTAGTCTGACTGGCTGTCCCTGTTCTACTAGTTTGACCTATGTATTTGATCTGACAATCATTGCAGACAGGGTATTAGATAAACTAAATTATTTTGTTTTTGAAGCTCTACAGGATCCTTTAACCGACAAACCTTGTGTCTAATTGAGTTTGTGCGTTTGAATGCCATTTTTATTCCTGCTTTGTTAAGAATTCTGCGTAAGGTGGTTTCCGAGGTTCCTTCCTTGTATGGAATTACTACTGATGATTTAATAATAATAATAATGCCTTTATTCCAAACAGTATTTGTGGTACAGGTATGGAATTTTAGATTCCTTATTATTGGTGTCGTCATTAATATTATTATCTATCGCGTTCCATCGAGCCTTTCGAAAGGAATTCGAACCCACCTTGTACACATATTCGAAGCTATGGGAATCCTAGTGTCTTTGCATACGACAAAAGAAGTTTGTTCTACCTTTGGCTCTCCCTTGCTTAGCTAGCCTAGGTGAATTCTAATCAAAACCCTCCCACGCACCCTTTTTTATTTTCCATTTCCTTCTTACTTTTATGATATTTATTTAATCTCTGATTATATCTGTCCACTTCACCTACCTTTAGTATTAATTACGTAACTTTTAAGATTTGACCTAATTTATTTATTTATTGAATTGTCTACACATGCACATATTACTGGCTACATTCGTTATTCTTATCGCCACCTGCATAAACCGTATTATCAATATTTTGTTATCATAATAATCAACGTTACTAACGACGTTCAAAACATTTACCACATTATTATTATTATTTGATCCACAAACAAACCGCCATTGGTTTGCAGGTGAAGTTACTGTGTACTTCCTAAGTGTACACATGTGAAGAAAAAACACATAAAACACAGCTGAACACTATCCAGTCTAGTTAATGAAAGGCGAACGTAGAACTGCGAAGTCGTCTATCTGTGATCACCTGTTAGAGTCAGGTCATATAGCCAGCCCCACGTGATTCATCTTTCAAAGTTATCTACATGGCAAAATCGAATCGATCCAAAAGTTTACGTTTTCTTCACTTATGCATACATAGCCGAAGCTTTAGCTATCTATACATGAACAGAAACCTAAATTATGTGTTGTTCAAAAACGTTTTGTCAAACCCCTTTCTCTACCTTGGTCATAGTAATGTTCTTTCTAGTTTTTACTTTATTTTATTTTTACCACTTGAATTCTTTCCACTTCACTTCACATCTTCATTCTTATCGTAATCGTACTCCTAATTTTTTAAAATTTTTAGACAACACTTGACATTAATATATGTGTAAAACGTGGGCACTGTGGTATTAAGTAATTCCATACTAGTTTGTTTATTAGGTATTTCACACAGTGGAACAGTGTCAAAATTTATTGTTCATAATCATATCAATTGTGATCACACGACTTTGACACTTGAGTTTTATAGTTTTCTTTGTTCTCCCCTATTTGTCGTAGTTGGCGTGGTAGTAGAATTTTCCAGATATCGGGGACAGGTGATGAATCATTCCTATTACATGTATTTGTAGTTGATTCGATAAACAAAGATTCTGTTGTTATCAATCTCTCCCTCCCTACACCCTGTGACATTAGATTTTAAAACTGTCATCCTATCCCATCCAGCCTATTGTATGGTTGTGTGTGACTGCATGTAGTGCTATAGCTGAACTATTCTCTAGATTTCTTATTCCTAACCAATCTAGATTTTGCTAGGTTTTTATGTTCAGCTAGTCTGACTGCCCCTGTTCTACTAGTTTGACCTATGTATTTCACCTGACAATCATTGCAGGGTATTAGATAAACTAAATTGTTTTGTTTTAAAGGCTCTACAGGATCCTTTAACTGACAAAGCTTGTTTCTAATTGAGTTTGTGGGTTTGAATGCCGTTTTTATTCCTGCCTTGTTAAGAATTCTGCGTAAGGTGGTTTCCGAGGTTCCTTCCTTGTATGGAATTACTACTGATGATTTAGATTCTTTATTGTTGGTGTCGTCATTAATATTATTATTATTATTATCACTATTATCATTATTATTGTTATTATCACTATCGCTACTATCATTATTTATTTTATTTTTACATTTCCTTACATATTTCCTGACTAATTTATCCGGGTAATTATTAAGTTTCAAGGCTTCTTTCATGGGTAGCAGTTCCTGTTTTAGATTTTCTTTGGTACTACTTAAGTACTACTAGGATGGGATAGGATGACAGTTTTAAAATCTAATGTCACAAGGTATAGGGAGAGATTGATAACAACGGAAGCTTTGTTTATCGAATCAACTACAAATACATGTAATAGGAATGATTCAACCCCTGTCCACCCAGATATCTGGAAGATTCTACTACCCATACGACAAATAGGAGAGAACAAAGAAAACTATAAAACTCAAGTGTCAAAATCGTGTGATCACAATTGATATGATTATGAACAATAAATTTTGTTCGAAACGTCATCCAGTAAATAATGACACTGTTCCACTGTGTGATATACCTAATAAACAAACTAATATGGAACACTTGACATTTTTAAAACATTTTTTTGATTTCAATTCACTTATAAAACAATCATCTCTTAGTAATTTTGTAATTTATCCACTTCAACTCTCTACCCCTTATAACATATTAATTATCGTTATTCTTATCGCATATATATATGTATACTGACTGAGCAATTATTTAGTGCCACTTAATAACCTTTTTTCTATAATATAAATACGACTGTACAGCTTGAAAATGAAGTCGTTGAAAAGAAATTTCTTCGCTGAACAAAAAAGAAATGCAGGTACATCCAGCTGCGGACGAGTCCCAAATAGGACGAAATGCTAGTCACCATCCACCAATTAAATACTAATCAAATGCCCAGACATCGTCGAAGCATCTGCTCAAGAAGCCGACATGTCAACCTGAGACTGAGCACTTCGGTCCAATCAATCAGTGGACGGGAAAATCTAAAATTCAATTAAATCAATATGACCCGTTGCACAAGAGGTGGCTCTCGTGGCCCAAGTGGTCTAGTGGATAACGCTTTGGCGTTGGAAACCATGGGCAGTGGGTTCGAGCCTCGGTGCGGGGAACATCATCACTCACTGAGAAATGCAGGTACATCCAGATGACGAGGCCCAAATAGGACGTAATGCGCATCCTGGATTCCACTGCTAGTCACCATCCACCAATTATTTGATTTTTTTATTTACAGCTTGATTCCACACCGTATTTTCAGTACAAGTATGGAACTTTTAGCATGCATATCGGTAGCCCAAATTCAGGCCGACCATAGATATCGGGTGTGCGCCGGCAGGAGATCGAACCCCGGACCATGTACATGGTCGGCGAGAGTCCTAACCACTGTGCCACCGACGCACAGGCGCCCGACTAGCAACCACTAAGTCGCGAATTTGAATGCCGCAGCCCACAGAGACGCTTGAGCAGGAAGGTAGTATGATTAGTCGTCGAACAATAGGGGTATGCCAACTGCATGGAAACGCAAGTGGAAGTTGGGTGGGTAATATTTCCTTTCTTCATTTATGGGAAGTGGAGTGAGATTAGAGGACAATGGAGAAATAATACCTAAGATGAGAAAGCTGGAACATCATACAGAATACAGACAATTAATAAGCAGCTGTACTACAACTGCCCGCCATCAAAACCCCGTTTGAGTTTCCTCTTAGTATAGCCCAAGTCGTATATATATATATACTGGTGTAAGCGTGATATCTAGTCATCCATCAGCTGAGATGTCGCTGAAAGCGGGAGGTAAGAAATGACAAGCAGTTATTAACAAGAGGACCACATTCACAATCATCTTGAGCGGAGCACCATGGTTAGTCATAATGAGGCTACGCGTAGTGTTAGGTTAGAAGGGAAAGTCCTCCAATGAAGTCAAAGAGCTCGAGTCACTAACTTTTCTGACAAAGTTAGGTGAAATACATTTTTTCCTTAGTTTCATGTGTACTTTTCTAGAGTGTGCGATTTTGTGCATGGATTCGCGCTGATGAGTCAACTGGTCTTAGTTTTGCTGGTTCTGATAGAAATGAAACTGAACACCACGACATTCTGTAATGTTAAGTCGTAGGCTTTGTTTATTTTTGCAAATATCAGGGCTTACAGGAAATAATCACCTGCATGCGATCACATTAAATTAGTTTAGAAAGCTCTCACCAGACTAGTTATTTCAGTCTTGTTATCCAACTGCGAGAAAGGTGGAAAACCACAGAAAACTGCCGAGGAAGTAGTTATCGAAAGTCAGTAATGTAGAGTGTAATGTAGTTTCTGTTTGAATGAATATCTGATACAGTAAACAATAATGCGTATGAGTAAAGTACAATTAAAGAAAAACAGTGTGTTTTTACAATCCACTTACCCAGTTAAACTTTTTTGACACAATTCCAACTGTTCCATTAAATGCGGCAATAAATGACTGAGCATTTCATCACCAACACAACAGGTTAACACATGTGTCGTCTCGTGGGCACGTTGCATAATCCGACACCAAGATTTATCGACATTGGTGAAACGTTTCGCTTCTTGTGGCAGTTGACGAGCTATATCCCCACCGATGAACACAGCTTCAAGATAGATCCATAAATTTTGTACAGCAAGCCATTGTTCAATAATTTCGCTGGAATTCGACAGTCTTGAAATGAAGCTTTGAATATCCTTACGAAATGGTGTATTGTAACGGTTGCTTAGCAGTGAACCAAGCGCCATTAATGAGTCTTCCATAAGACTGATCAACTCCAGGGTATGATCCCCACGTAGTAGCAATTCTCCACGATTTTTGAATTGAACAAACTCAAACTCTTGGGCACTCCATTCAGCTTTTATACTGATAAGTTTGCTCTCAATATCACGTTCCTTGATTGCTGATACACATATATCCTCGACATCATCGTAATGTTTGAGAAGAGGAGCTTCAAGAATACTGCGAAGAAGGAATCCACTCTCTTCAACATTAAATGTATGCCCTGTAAGGGTGGTTAAACGTTTCCAGTGTCGTTCACGCATCGCTGGATTAGACATCAACTCGAGCAGTGGGATGATCTGATCAAAGTTCGCTAGAGTTTGTCTTAGATCATCGTAAGCTGGATATTCTCTTAAAGCTTTAGGCAGTTTAAGGCAACGATTTTGAAACTCTTGTAGTTCTTGTGAAATTGAATCGATTCTAACATCAGACCAGGGTAGATCATAATAACCGGCTGTTTTGTTTAAAACACTATTGTATAATAGATAGAGTTTTTGTAGTAGATTTAGCTGTTTCCTGATTTCGTCTAGTCGGTTGTATTCGGTAATTGGTAGGCCGAATAATTGTTCTCCAGCACTGTATGTTACGTAATTACGATAGAGATTGTCGAAACGATTTTGAAATATGATTAGACGGTCGGAGGCTTCTCTGGGCGGTATACCTCGAACCATTGGTCCAACCTGAATTTTTAAAGCAGAACATTGAGATATATATATGTCCAAACCAAGTTCACTTTTAACAGTTTGAAAAAATTTGGATATTGGGTATATGATATTCATTATAATAAAGGTTTTTGTATTTCCCTATTTAATGCTACTGATAGCTTTATCAAAGTAGTATTATTAAACCAGAAGAATTTACAAAATCCACTCAGCATATATATATAACAAAGAGTTAACAGGTGGGTGAGAAAACAGACTACTAAGGTCAAGTTAAAAGGAGGACATATTGAGGGTCAAAATAACAATGAAGATCAATCACTAAACCAAATAACAGAGGTAATAGTACATCTGCCCTGGCTGGTATCAAAACAAAGTTTACTAACTTGATCATCGTTCGTCAGTCTGGGGGCATTTTTCGTTGTCAAGTTGGTCAGTTGATAAAGATAACAAAGCCAAGTGTAGAGGACTGTTGGATTTGATCAGTGTTTAAAATTATAAAGGCAGTGTGTCTTTACATAGGGCTGTTGTAACCAGGTCCGATTCTGTTTTAGTCCATCATTTCTATTCAGTTCAGACAATTTGGATTCCACTTGATATGAAGTGCTTCTGATGATATTAGACGTTCTTTATGATTTCTGAAATGCTTTTTCTGGATGACGAATTCAATATTGTGAAAATCAATTTTGTGGCCTCATTCTATAGCGACCTATGGCTGGCTGATGATTTTTCAAGCTTTTCTAGTTCATTAACTGGATTTATTTCTCGGTGGTCGAAACAGATGCTCTACGGTATTCATTTCTTCTGATTACCTTGATTTCTCTCTCCCTAGCGATGTTTGTCCGATGTATATCGCATCACATTCCAAGCAAGCATTTTATTTTATAGACACAATTAGTAGATAGAGAATCTTTTACGGATTTGGTCTTTTATATGGACACGGTTGTCTCACAGTGTGCGTGTCTGATGTTTTGAAGAAAACTCTGATGTCGAGCTGATTGAGTACTCTTCTGATATCATCTGACGTCTCTGCTCTATATGGAATGACGACCGTCGAGGTCCATGTTTTTGGCCACATTTAATGTCAGTGTTGATTTTGTTGATGAGGTCCCTTGGGTAGTTGTTTTGCTTGAGGAGAGTTTCAGTAATGTCCTTTTAACTTGACCTAAGTAGTCTATTTTCTCACCCACCTCTTAACTCTTTGTTATATATATGCTGAGTGGATTTTGTAAATTCTCCTGGTTTAATAATACTACTTTGATAAAGCTATTAGCAGCAGCATTAAATAGCGGAATGTCAGTAAAAACAGCAATATCGATTTGTTTTTCATTCACTGGGAAATACAAAAACCTTTGTTATACAGAACATTGATAGTGGAAAAATAAAAGATTTTTTTATTTGCATAGGGGATTACTGAATAATTCCCCCCCCCCCAGCTTGCTTTTATTACTTTCCGTCGACTTTTCACTAGTCGCTAGTTTAACGGTTACAGTTAGTCAACCATACAGTACACAAAACTGTAATATTATGGTGAAAGCTGTCTGCTAGTCAAAATTAGTAGACACCAATTTACGCCAATATTTACGCCCCAATTCTGGGCCACGAGATAAAATAATAACAACAAAGCCTAACCTTGAGGAGCTCAACAACCAATCACAGCAGATTTAGCGTGGGCGGATACGATTCGCAGATATATGGTCTGACTAGCCACAAAGAGATGACAGAATAACCTAGAGCAAGAAAACAACCAATCAGAAGACGCTGTTTCTCTGCTGCTAATAATAACGAATAATAATAATGTACATAAAAATCTATAAATATCTGTTGATTTTGCTCAATAAACGATCTGTTGCCTAGCCCTTGTCTTCTGTTATTACAGTAAGACTCTGATATTCTTCGTTTATAAATTTTATTAGGTGATAATTATCATCCATTTATTATAAATTTTTATAATGACTTAGATTGGAAAGAACAAGGAGTTCAGCAAAGATGTCGATCTTTTCGGCGATTTCATTCTCAAAAGCACCTGTACAATCGCTTTTATATACATTGGTTCACATGGATACAATTATTATTTGTTTAATTAATTCCACATAGTAACGAGGCAGATAATAATTTTCAACTTGATTTGAAAGTTTGAAGGTACGAATATAGAAGATTACAAGGGACTTAGAGACAAGATTGCATAGGATTAGAAAAGACAGTTACAACGTATGCAAAATTAATATTTGATAACTGGAGAAATAATAAGTTAAAAGGCGAATAAAAGGTGACCATTATTTTCAACTTGATATGGATTACGAGGAGAGGCTTAGAAACAAAAGTTATACAGGGATAGAATGAATTACAGGTGTGAAGAAGGTGAGCATGGAAACAAATTGAAATCAAAATTTTCAACTTGAAATGGAAGTTAGGTGTGAATATAGATTTCCTCTCCTCCTCCTCCTTACGTAGCACTCGATCCATGTCTACCCTCAACATCGATAGAATGCGGATATCTGGACAGTGGAATTAAAACCACATCAATTAGCACATCAAAGATAAAAACCTACAATCTAAACTATAATCACTTACTTTATCATAATCATCATAGAAGGTTAAACAACTTTCATGGAATTCACCAATATTCTCTAACAGATTACTACGAAATTGTGGTTGAACTTCAATTAATTCATTTTGTACCAGTAACATTTGTTTGCATAACTTCTCCCATTCATAACGTAGTGTGTCAGCCTTTTCAGTCTCCTCCTTATCCACTGGAATTGAATATTTCGACAGTAGAGCATAGGATTCTTCAATTGGGCCAAGTTGTAAGTCTACATTCACTTCCATTTCACGTAAATCCTGATGATAATGGATGATGAAGTGTAAAAAGAGTGTAGATTAAAAAATAAACTGTCGACGATTACCGAAAGGATATATATAATACAATGTTATGTGGTATATAATTCAAAGAGGAACCTGATATACGCTCTTTCCTCGAGGATTCGGAAGATATGCAGCGAGGAAGTGATTGAAGAAGAACTGCGTAATCTCCGAAAAACCCTGAGATGGAAAATGGTTTCCCGCCCAGGTTCATAGACAAAAATCTCAAATCTAAGAAGACTTCCAAACAAGTTCAATCCGTTCCAAAGAAAATACTTCTGCTTATTCTAGAATTCAAAGGTGATATTGAAGCAGAAATCCTGAGTAAACGCCTCTCCAAATCTCTGAGGAAAACATACTTCGCTGCGAGCCTACGACTGACATTTTCCTGCAAGAAACTTTTCATCAGCCAGAACGCGAAAGACAAGCTGTCGCATTGGGCCACTTCAACGTGCGTGCATATACCAGTTTACTTGCTCTCTGGCGGAGCTGCTGAGTACATCGGCCGTACCATGCGCCAACTTGGAAAACGCGCTCGCGAACACTACCCAGCCTGGCTAGTAAAAGGAGACCGAAAACGTGTATACAGTTCAGTGACAAAACATCTGGTCAACTCAGGACATTCAGCGCCTTTCGAAAAATCCTCCAAAGTAATATACACGATTCAATCAAACCTATCAAAGGGAGTCAAATCAAGACATCTGGGCATAGCTGAGGCGTTAGCTATCCAAAAGCTCAAACCCACTCTTTGTATCCAAAAGAATTACGTCCAACCCCTATCCCTGCCATGGCCATCATAAACAGGTAAAATTTTTTTTAGTAATGACAATCTCATCGCCTTTCTTATCTAAACTTCCTGTTTATTCATGTTATTTTAAGTTTTTCTTAATCCCTATCTACACTACCATATCTTCATATCCACACTTCCTGTTTATTTTGTCATTTTACTATTTCAACATATTTAATCCCTGATTACATAAACAATTATACATTGCATTAGTTTTTTATCCAAACATCCCGTCTATCTATTTTGTTATTTCTACATTTCTAACCCCCAAATGCACAATGTCAGTCTTCTTAGTTATTATGATGCTACTTTGTTTGAGTTTTATCCGTCCCCTTGTTTATTATGGCATACTAATTCCTAATCGTAATTTTTATTAATTTGACCCTTAACCGGAAATTATTCTGGAACTTTCCCATCCATTTGATATAAATACACGAATGTACAGCCTAGATGATGACTTCGTCGAAAAGAAAATTTTCTTCGCTGCATTATTCAATAATAATAATAATTACTTTATTCCAAAAACAGCACTACTTTCCTCGTGTTCTATTGTGAAATTGAGATTCGGATGGCTGGCATGAGTTGAATTTTATCAACCGGAGGTCTTCAGCTTTTGATCTGCTTCCACAGACAATAAAAAATGTCATCAACATATCTTAGGAATACGTCGGTTTCTTCTATATGCTGCTGCAAGCTACCGACGGCTTCTACGTTTGGCAAGAATAAGTCTGCAAAAAAGTGGTCCCAAAGGGCTTCCCATTGCAACACCATCAACTTGACGGAATAGACGCCTGTCGAATTGGAGTTGGACATTTTTAGTACATAAAAGTAGCAATATCCACAATTCCCATGTTGGAATGGGTATGTCTTTTCAGCTTCTTTACATACGAAGTCGATAGTTTCAACGACTGGCACATTTGTGAAGAGGTAATACACTGAAGACAGTAGGTCTACTGATGGCTAATTCAAACGAATCAGTTAACACCAAGGTAGAATAAGAGACTGGACAAACTTTTTGTCTGTATACAGAGTTAGGGGTTGTATAGATGAATTACCAGCGCCTCCACCCCATACACAAAAGCCGAAACGTGACACCCTTTGTACCATTTGGCCTCACCTTGTAGATGATCTTGAAAGACGACTCTGGTGGAGGAGCTACGTGGCTTCAGTTCACCAAATACTTGAGAATTGAGCTAGTAATTGTGTCTTGTGCTATCATCCCTTTGCTAACCATGCCGAATAATGTTCAGAGATGCTTTGTTTGGAAAGTGTTCGCCAAGTTGTGCGGGCGGTCAATACAACTAGCTCCACACGACCAGGTGAATTTATAAACACACACATTGAAGTGACCCGTCTTAAGCGGAAGTTTATCCTTCACACTAACTCAATCTTACTTTAGTTGCTGTCTAATTAACCTTGTTTCTATATTAGGTCATTCATGTATTACCTGATTAATTATCTAAACTTGAAAAACCTCATGTACACACACACACACAAATAATTATATATAAATGCGATTGTACATCTAGCTATCTGAATGAATTCGCCGTCGAAAAGAGTCTCTTCCCTGAACGTCGTCTCTTTTTCATATCACTCAATGGGGGGGGGGGATTTTTAAGCTACTTAAGCGTTCTTGTCATTTTGACGGAGTAACGGTTTTTACTGGGTTGTATTTCAAAGTAATAATAATAAAAAAATAATCTACTTTATTCCAAACACAGTACTTATAATACAGAATGGAATTCTCAGTATTTGTCACAATATTCCATCTGATTTACTCCTCAAAATAGAAATGAAATTAAAAATTAAAACGAAATTAACCAGAGGAATTTATCCACATTTACGATATAAAGTCAAAAAAAATTCGAAGCATGAATTGAGATTATTAAATACAATAATAATAATAATAACAGTGAGTTTATTTCAAAAGGTATTGTCGATTCAGTTTGGAAACTTTAGCATGTTATGGATAATTGGGTCTAATGTTCTGTTGATATAGCAGCATGGTGAGGGGAAATACAAAATTAACAGTTATAACACAGCTTAATTGATGTTCACACTTATGAGAAAATAAATAAACAAATAAAAACAAAAAATTGAGAGGATTATGAGTATAAGAAATACAATAACAATGAAGTTTAATGTTGTAGGGGTGGAGGAAATGGATTATTTAGTGGTGCAAAGAAGGTTAGTTAGTTAGTTCATGTCTGACACTATTTTCATCACATAAAGTACCTGCCACCAAATATGGTATAGTAGAATTTTTATACTTAGATGTACGTGCATAAAGTCTTCTGAAAAGACTTCTTGTTTTACCTGAGGAGGAGACACAAGGTTGGAGCTGCGGGTGCTGTGGTGGATGCTCAGAGTCTGACAAATTCCTTTAGCGAATTTGTTGCATGACATCAAGTGCTGGCTATCAGTGACAATGTCAACGATATGGCCCAATGGGATCCCCCTCATCCTACTGACAGTCTTCAGAGTTCTACGAAGAATAACATAGTCCTTTTTAAGCAATCCAGGAGAGAATACGTAGGGGGTGAACAGTAAAGAAGAATAGGTAAAATACACGAGTTGATAAACTGTAAGAGGAGTGGTTGAGTTATGCCTGAGGAGTGCCTTAACTTCTTAATGTAAATAGTCAGACGAAATATTCTTTTAGAAATCGCTAAGACATGGGAAGACCAGGATAGGTGGTCAGAAGAAAGAATTAATCCAAGATACTTAACTTCAGACTCGCTTTCTATATCAGTATCATCAATTTTGCAAGGATCATAGGAACTAACGGCTTCATTTAACTTCCTCTTATATCGGAAAGTGAAGTTGACAGTCTGACATTTGGGAGGATTTAGTTTAAGGCCGTTAGACGAAGACCATTTGCTAACCCCCGATAGAAAGCTGTTCATCTTAGTGCAGTCTAGCTGGCTGGAGTTAACAGACATTGAAATAGTTAGATCATCGGCATATTTAACAAGGTTCATTTCGTTATCACAGTGAGGCAAGTCATGCAAGAAGAAAGAAAACAGGAAAGGAGAAAGAACAGCGCCTTGAGGGAGGACACCAGCCTCAGTAAGCAATGAAGTGGACAACTTTCCCTGACTGACATACAGTGTACTGATTTCTTCCTAAGAAATACGAAACTGATGTTAACCTTTATTTTATATTGTTGAAACTGAATGAATTCCCGTTGGAAGTTTGATTTTATTATTTCAATGAAAATGTTTCATCCTTTCAAATAAAAAAAGATAATTTCCATTGGACACTGCAGTCAGAGACGTTAACAGCACTGAGCTATTCGGGCTCGCGATTGACCTCTTGTAGGCCTGTAGCGGGTATCTGGATTGGACATTAGTCCGTAACTAGTGTGACGTGTCTAGTCCTTTCTTTGGTGCAGAGTGAATTCTATGAGTCAGTCAGGTTTGCAACCTGTTGAGGTATACAGGTTGTCTCAGGTTTCACATAATTTCTTATTAGATGCTTTGTAAATGTGAATGTATTGCGTCTCAGGTATCATATAAGCTCTTTTTGATTATAAAGCAATAGCTTAAAAATCCCCATTGAGTCATATGAAAAAGAGAAGAAATTCAGCGAAGAGACTCATTTCGACGGCGAATTCTTTCACACAGAAGCTGTACAATCGCATTTATATATAATTATTTGTGCGTGTGTGTGTGTGTACATAAGGTTTTTCAAGTTTAGATAATTGATCAGGTAGCTAATACAACAATGATGTAATATAGAAACAAGGTTAATTAGACAGCAAATAAAGTAGGATTCAGTTAATATATGTGTAAAACTTGGGCACTGTGGTGGTAGTAAGTAATTCCATATTAGTTTGTTAATTAGATGTATCACAGTCAGTGAAACAGTATTAGTGTTTACTGGATGACACAGTTTCGAACAAAATTTATTGTTCATAATCATATCAATGGTAATCACACGATTCTGACACTTGAGTTTTATAGTTTTCTTAATTCTTCCCTATTTGTCGTCATCATTGGGGTAGTAGAATTTTCCAGTTATCCGGGTGGACAGGTGTTGATTTGCAGTTGATTCGATAAACAAAGATTCCTTTGTTATCAATCTCTCCCTCCACCATTGTCATCCCAAGTAGTTTGCAGTTAGCTGACGAGAACCTGTGAAATAGAATGATGATGATGGCATCATCTTTTTTTTACTGCAAATCTGATCTTTCTTTCTCTATCGGAAGTTGTCTTCCTTTTGAGGTATATGGAACAGAAGGAGCATTTGTGTTACCTGACCTGACCTGACCGCAGAACGCAGGGGACATCTACTTCAGACGACCGGTTACACACGGTCTGTTTGAAGTGGATTTTGGAATGGTGTCCGCTGTATTAAGATCTCGCTGGCGGCTGCGGCCCGTCAGAAGGTGGTAGGTAAGTCAGAATGTATAATCCTCGGAGTCGACCGACCTTTATTCAATCGCACGTGTCTTCAGAGCGGAGAAGCAGAATAGCTGGCTGGCTTGCTGATCGTTCGAAGGAAACACTTTGTTCCTGTTGCTTCCCTTCCATACAAGGAAGGAACCTCGGAAACCACCTTACGCAGAATTCTTAACAAGGCAGGAATAAAAATGGCTTTCAAACCCACAGACTCAATTAGAAACAAGCTTTGTCGGTTAAGGGATCCTGTAGAGCCTTTAAAACAAAACAATTTAGTTTATCTAATACCCTGCCTGCTGGAATGATTGTAAGGTCAAATACATAGGTCAAACTAGTAGAACTGGGGCAGTCAGTCAGACTAGCCGAGCATAAAAACCTAGCAAAATCTAGATTGGTTGACCCGAATAAGATAAGAAATCTAGACAATAGTTCAGCAGTTATCGCAAGCACTACATGCAATCACACACAACCATACAATAGGATGGGATAGGATGACAGTTTTAAAATCTAATGTCACAGGGTGGAGGCAGGGAGAGATTGATAACAGAAGCTTTGTTTATCGAATCAACTGAGAGAGAATACGTGTAATAGGAATGATTCATCACCTGTCCCCGATATCTGGAAAATTCTAATACCCATACGACAAATAGGAGAGGACAAAGAAAACTATAAAACTCAAGTGTCAAAGTCGTGTGATCACAATTGATATGATTATGAACAATAAATTTTGTTCGAAACGTCATCCAGTGAATAATACTGTTTCACTGTGTGATATATCTAATAAACAAACTAATATAAGATTGAGTTAGTTAGTGAGTTAGATGACGCAATATATAGTTGACTAAAGTGCTTCAACCTAGGTCAGGATAGCAACAGAGGTAATTACAGGTAGAGACTAAGTGGTGGTGGAGTAAAGAATAATGCCATTTAGATTAGAACTGAAATTGAGCAAATAAGTTGAATGACCCATTCTCTACACGACCGAGGTTGATTCCTCGACTGGAATCTTCATCACCTCTGTTTTCTCTATGTTTACCTGAAGTCCTTGCTATCTGTGATGCTTCTTCTGCCAACTTGTCAATTTTCACTTGCATATCTTCCAGTTTGTGGGAAATCAGACATATGTCATCGGCGAAGTCCAGATCTTCCAAGTTGTTTTTGTGTGAGGATGGATTTCAAAACAATGACATTGGTTAGTGCCAGTACCGCTAAATCACAAATTGGTAGAAGTTAGAATTCATACACTGGCCATTGAATCGGGTCCTAGTGGCTGTATGGTATGCGAGCCAGCTTGCCTTGTAACCAGAAGGTCCTTGGCTCGAACCCCCGTGGTGGGTGCGTACTGCCAATGATTCCCAAACTAGTCTGATGAAACAGCTGTCTGGCAGTACTCCCTGTGGCTGGTTTCCAATGCTTCTCTAACTGATTGATATCAATCCGTGCGTGGTCAAACTCGTAAAAACAAAACTAACCCATAAAACCAACCATGGAAATAAATAAATTCAACGAAGCAATAAGAAGACGTAATTTCTTTTAAATAAGTTAGTTAACTACTTATAAGTAGTACAAATAAAATCCACTTACTTTCAGTGCATTCATAAGTATTCTTATATCATCCAAATCATTAATAGGTCTTGATAAAATTTTGTCATATTTCTCAATCATTGCAAACAACGATTCTACTTGTTTTTTGAACTTTGAATTACACAATTTTCCATATTCTAATCGCCAGTTACTGGTTTCTACAAGAAGACCTTCTTTTAAGCGTTCTGTATTAATGGCCAGGGGACTACAGTCAACAACTTCCGGTTCAGCAAGGATCAATTCATCCTATGTGATAGTATAATAATAATAATAATACGAAAAGGATAAACCAAAATACAGAAACCAAGAAATTTCATTCTGAGCTTATGTATTTCAGGGGGAACACAGACCTTGGAACATGTAGAACACCAAAGTATTTACCGTTAAGATTGCGAGAAATCTTCGTTTGCTGTTTCTCCTTGTGGTCGTTGGAAAACACTTTGGAGTGAAGTAAATAGCTTTCACAGAAAGCGAAACATGCAGAAACAACACTAAGGGAATTCTCACCAAAAGATAACTGTTCAAATTGGCAATTGATTGTCATATGCTTTTTAGGGTTTGTTATCTTTTTCACCAGTCTACAACAATATTCAAGTATTGGTTTGTAGGGGGGAATTTGATTGATTGGTTACAGGATTTCATCATGAGCTGACATTGGTTAAAGAACCATTGGAAAACCTGAAAGGAGTACTTGACAGGTGTCTCGTCCTGGTTTGAGAGTCTTCACAGGATGCACCCTTCACAACGGGTTCGAACACAGGGCCTAGTTACAAGGCGAGCTAGCTCGTAGACCATTAGGCAGCCACTGGGACCCGATCCAATGGCGAGCCAGCCCATGAACTCTCACTTCTGCTAATTCACGACATAGCGCGACTGGCATTAGGCAATGTCTTCGGCGAGTATTTGTTCTCCCACCCAACCTGCTGTACTCTGCTGTCCCATACTCCCAGGTTTTCCAATGGTTCTCTAACCAATGTCAGCTCATGATGAAATCCTGTAACATATTAATTAAATACCTACAAACCAATACTTGAATATCGATGAGATGCTCACTGACGACTGGCCCTATTCAGGTAGGTAGTTAATCTGGAGTTCTAGTGGGAAGTCCTGACCAGTAGGGTGAAGTAGGTAGGGTGTGACGACAAATACTCGCTAAATACATTAACTAGTGCCAGTTGAGCTATGTCGTCAATTGGTAGAAGTTAGAATTCATGGACTGGAGTGCCATTGGATCGAGTCGGGTCCCAGTGGCTTAATGGTCTACAAGCTAGCTCGCCTTGTAACCAGGTCCTGGATTCGAACCCCAGTGGGGTGGATTCTTACTGTGAAGAGTCCCAAACTAGGACGAAACAGCTGTCTAGTATTCCATGTGGCGGGTTTTCCAATGGTTCTCTAACCAATGTCAGCCCATGATGAAATCTTGTAACAAATCTACAATATCTTAGGAGTCTTGGTTACATTTTTCAAACCTCCTACACACTGACTCATAGATATAACATTAAGTGTAAGAAGTTGTTAAAATGTAGTAGATCGTCTATGCAGCCAATCACTGTCATGGAACTTATCTAAATGATTCACAAGGCAGAGTTAAACGTTAGGCACCAGTAAGCACCAAGGGACAAATGACCTTGAGCGCACCAACCACATGATAAGGGCGATTTGCGCGTATGAAATACATACGTATTCATGAAAATAGTAAATTAAAAGGCATGAAACTGCTACAAAGACAGGATAACTTTGTCCAATGCGTGACAAAATTACCTCCCACTTTTGGATCGGAGTGTCAATAGAGTAATTTAACTACACTCTGTGCATGTAAATATCCAGTCTTCTAGCGCTACCAACAAACCTAATGTTTCCTTAACCTAACCCGAACATGAAAATATCCCAAAACCAACCCTAATGTCACCGTCGTTAGGTTAACCTAAACCTAACCTGTCCTTAGCCTTGACCTTGACGCGCTTTTCGATTACTACGCTACATTTACATAGTTACATAAAACTCTTATTTTTGTGAAATATCTTGCGAAAAAGTTGCAAAAAAAACTATTGCAATTATTCGCCTTTGAAACACTGAACCTTTGGATATAATACTGTTAGTAGATAATACCTGTAAGTATCTATTTGCCACTCTGTGCTTGTTTAACACTAACTAATATCTATAATTGTATATATTGATGGATTTACATGTTCAAGTTGGCTCAAGTCAGTGAGTCTATGATTTTGGTTAACTGTACTTGACTGTGATATTATTATTGTTGTTGTCGCTTGTTACCCTTCTTGTTGTTGTGAATTATTTTCCTGTGCCGGTGTTGTTCTGATTGCTTTATTCCTTGTTTTCGTGGTTTCAAGGGACTGGGACCAGACAACACAGGAAGGGAACTCATCATGGGTAGAGAAGCTCTCGGAGAAATGAATGAAAATGGAGAACTCTTCGCCGACTTCTGCGCCTTCAATCAACTAGTGATTGGTGGCAGCGTATACAAACACAAGGATATCCACAAGGCTACATGGGTGTCACCAGATGGGCGAACCAAAAACCAAATCGACTTCATCTCAATCTCAAGGAAGTGGAGGCGCAGCCTACTGGACACGAAAGTAAGAAGAGGGGCAAACGTTGGCTCAGACCACTATCTCGTACAAGGGACAATCCAAATCAAATTAAAAGCTTTCAGAGAAACAGGAGCTGCAGATAGACCACATGCCAAGTTCAATACTCAAAAGCTGAGGGATGAGGATACGAAGGACATCCTCACTGTAAGCATAAAGGACAAAGCCGAGACACAAATCAACACCAGCGAAGAGGTCAGTGTCGAAAAGCACTGAACAACTTGAAAACCATGTGGAGTCAAACCTGCATGGAAGTTCTAGGCAGAAAGAAGAGACAGGACAAATAGTGGCTCACTACGGACACTTGGAGACTTATAGAAGAGAGAGGGATGGTGAAACAAAAGATTATCCAGTGCACCGACGACCTTCTCTCTAAACTATATTTTAATGTGACAATCCCCTTCACAGGCGTGAGGCTAGCAACCCTACCCTGTAAACAAAGTTGCTACAGAAACTTCAGCACGATGAATCTCTTTGCGCCAAAAGAAAAAAAGTCCTTAGCCTAAACCTTAACTTAATCTTTCGCAAACCCTACCTGAAACTTGCCAGATATCCCACTGAATAACACATCTCATTGAGCACATTTCATTCATGATTATAACATTATTTACTAGGTATCCCTAACTCGCCTACTGAGAGTTTCAAGGTCATTGGTGCAGTCGCGCACACTCCACTGATACTTACTAGTGCTTAAAGTTTAAAAAGGCCTGATTCTTTTTTCAATTTGAAGAGTTTTTAATTTTTTTTGGGGGGGTTGGTGGGGTGGGCGAACACGCCTTACACTGAAAGTAGTTCAGCATTATTACGTAACAGCAAGAAGGTACAGCCAATTCAGGGGGAGAAGACTGAGTAAAATCAGGATTCTGGATATAAGACCATTATATATTCAAAGCATCTTTTCGGTGGTATAGCGGTTAGGACGCTCGCCGACCATGCACATGGTCCGGGGTTCGATTCCCGGCCGACGCACTCCTTTACCTCGCTAAGCCAGAAATGATGCTGGTGAAGAGGAAAGGTTGGGTATGAGGCTAGCAACCCCATCCTGTAAAATAAACACCGCTACAGAAACTTCAAGCCACTAGCTTCAAGTCCTATGTTCCACTGGGGAACGTGAAGGAAAAAAATAAAAATTTTTATCGAACACAATCTCATGAAAACAATATGGGGAGAGTGAAAACGGTAGACAGTCTCCATAAGAATTATTTGAAAGCATTTATGTCAATCAAAGTTCCCCATAAGTTAGTTAGACTGAATATAAACTCCAGACGGCGATTTACTTTTACCGCCAACAACAACAACAAAAACAACTGAACTGCGCCAATAATTCCATTGTGTGTGTGAATGGATGTCAACCAGTATTCCACCCCCCACTATCCAAAAAAATAGAATTTTGCCGTGTGATTCTTCCCCTAGTTTAACGTGACTGTTTTCATGTTCTTATAAACACACACTGAAATTTTTTATCTAAACATTTTGGTTTTAAAAGACAAGAGAATTAATTATCTGGGAGTACTGAACAGGTGTTTCGTCCTAGTTTGGGGCTCTTCATTAGTACACACCTTCCGGGATTCAAAACCAGGACCTTCTGGTTACAAGGCGAGCTCGTAGACCATTGAGCCACTGGTGTCAGCTCATGATGAAATCCTCCATGCAATCAAACAAAATCCCTACAAAACCAATACTAGAAAATTAAATTATCTGTCAACAGGCTTAAAATAGCTAATATCATAGTATGAAGACTCCTCGGTTTTTTACTACTCAAATGTTGTAGTATATCACCTGCTTAACAAACGCGTTAGATAAAACTCACAACTTAATAGACAACGCCTTCAACGATATCAAATTCACAAGGGAAGAGGAATACTAGAAGAAAATTCCCTGTTTTTGGATGCATTAGCCGAGCGAACAAACACAGGGAATTAAAAAAACTCAAGTTTATAGAAAATCAATTCGCACAAATCAAATACTGAATTACAATAACAGCAACAATCCAATAACACATAAAAGGAATTGTTTACAAACACTATTCAAGAGGGTTAGCCAGCCAAGACTCATTGCAGCATTCCCACCTTAAGGAAAATTGGAGAAAGATATCTCATGGACATCTTCCAAAACAATCGATGGATTTCCACGGAACTTCTTTAAACGACATATACTCCCGAACCAACCTACCAAGTCAAAGGCCCTCAAGGAAAGCACAAAGAAAATTACCCTATCATATACATATAAAAGACATCTCAGAAATCACTGCAAAACTCTTCAAACCTTTAGGAATTAACGTCACACACAAATCAACAAAATCACTTCACTCAGTTCTGTGTCAACCAAAGGACGCAACAATGAAAGGAAATAAAGCCAACATCATCTACAAAATAAATTGTAACAACTGCGAAAAAACACTATATTGGCCAAAATGGACGTCTCCTTCCTCTTAGTATCCATGAATATAAGCTAGCTGTCAAAGGACATAATATCCACTCCTTCACTCATATCGCCTCACTGCATACAGACAAGCACGGAAATTAGTTCGACTGGGATATTAGACAGGGAACTTTTAGAAGCCTACCTGGAATTCCAGTGAATCATCAACATCGACATCGACATAGAAAAAATTTACCAGTAGATAAGAAGGAAATC